TTTTTTTTATTACCAAATTTTAAATGGAGTTTATTTAACTAAAACAATAAATTTGCAACCATAAAACCCCATTTAAACACATCATAAAAGTATTAAATAATTCAACTACATCATAAGGCTATAAAAATAGAAAATGACTTCATAGTCAAGGCTAAAGGTAAACAAAAAACCTTCATCAGCAAAATTTTATATTGGCAAATTTCCAATGAAGTTTATTATACTAAAATTGTTGGCAAATTTCCAATGCATTTATTAACAATAAAGTTATTGGCAAATTTCCAATTTACATAATTTAAAAGCAGTGTAAGTGAGATATTTAAATGAGTTTGAATTACCAACCTTACACTGCTTTTAAATAATGTTTTGTACTTATTTGTCTATTAACCTGGAAACCCTTGTTTTTTCACCTTTTTTTCCCTTATTATTTAAAGGTTTGAGCCATAACCCTACCCCAAATCCAATTCTTAAATTCCAATGTAACCTAAATTTACAATATACATAACTTCAATTTAAGTTTTTGATAAAATCAAACCACATCATTATTATTTGCTTTTATATCTAAATCAGAAATAATTAACCAACTTTAAGTGGAAAATTTTCACACATCACGCCCCCCAACCTCAATCCCAGCCTTCAGTTTGTGGTATGGTACCTTGCAGTACAATTTCACAGAGATCCAATTACTTAAACACAATTAATTGTTGGAAACTAAAAAAAAATGCTTATTTTTAACCCCTTTTTTAGCCCCTTATTCCTAAACATTTGAGCAATTATCCCCCAAACTCAATTCCAACTTTCTCTTTGTGATCAGAATTAACCAACTTAAAATGGAAAATTTTAAAGAAAAAAAAAAGGAAAAAAAATCCCCCCCCAAAAATTTTTTGACCCACTTCCCTTTGTGGTATGGTACCTTTAAGTACAATTTCAGAGAAATCCATACACTTGAACACAAGTTAATGTCTGGAAACTAAAAAAATGCTTATTTTTGCCCCCTTTTTTGGCCACTTATTAATAAATGTTTTGGGCAAACATTTTATAATAATATTTAAAACTGAAATTAATTTGTAACCTTGAATTAAATAGAAAATGACATCATAGTCATAGCTAAAAATAAACAAACTATTGGTAAATTTCCAATGGAGTTTATTATATTAAAACAATAAATTTGCAACCATAAAAGCGCATTAAAATACATCATAAAAGTATTAAAAAAAATTTAACTACATCATAAGGCTATTAAAATAGAAAATGACATCATAGTCAGACTAAAGGTAAACAAAAAAACCTTCATCAGCAAAATTTTATATTGGCAAATTTCCAATGAAGTTTATTATACTAAAATAATTGGCAAATTTCCAATTTACATAATTCAAACATAGTGCAGGTGAGATATTTAAATGAGTTTGAATTACCAACCTTACACTGCTTTTAAATAATGTTCTTTACTCAATTATTTGTCTATTAAAATGGAAACCCTAGTTTTTTAACCTTTTTTCCCCTTATTCCTTAAACGAAAAAAAATAATTACCCCTTTTTTGACCCCCCCCCCCCCCTATGATTCATCACCCCCCTTCCCCCCCAAACCAAGCTCAATAACAGCCTTGCCTTTGTGGTATGGTACCTTGTAATACAATTTTAGAGAGATCCATACACTTGAACACAAGTTATTGTCTAGAAACTAAAAAATGCTTATTTTTCACCCCTTTTTAGGCCCCTTATTACTAAACGTTTTGGGCAATTACCTTAAAACTCAATTCCAGCTTTCCCTTTGCGAAATGGAACCTTGTAGTAAAATTTCAGAAAGATCCATACACTTATACACAAGTTATTGTCATGAAACTAGAAAAATGCTTGTTTTTTGCCCCCTTTTGGCCCCTTATTCCTAAAATTTCGAGGAAATTAACCCCAAAATCAATCCCATCATCGACCCTTTGTGATATGGAATCTTGTAGTACAATGTCAAAGAGATCCATACAATAACACACAAGTTATGTCTGGAAGTTACAAAAATGCTTATTTTCGGCCCCTTTTTGGCCCCTAATTATTTAACTGTTGGTACCATAACCCCCAAAATCAATCCCCACCTTCCTATTGTGGTATTGAACCTTATGGTAAAATTTCACAGAGATCCATTCACTTAAACTAAAGTTAGAGTGCGAAAACCATTGTGTATTCGGACGACGACGCCGGACGACGACGACGACGACGACGACGACGCCAACGTCATACCAATATACGACCACAAAATTTTTTTGCGGTCGTATAAAAATCCACGGTTTTCTAATCGCTGAAATTGAATATTTCATGCCCTTCTAGTAATCAATCTATATTCTCAGAAGATAATGTTGTCATCATTGAGCAGAAGAATATGTCGACTTATATTACTCGAAGAAATGAAATTGAAACAGGAAGTTTTGAATGAAACGAAATTATCGGCAGTTACCAGTAACGGAAATGAACAAAATCCGGAAAAAGTAAATTTAAAAAAAATTAAAAAATCGAAGGGGACGATTTCAGAGGGGCGGGCAGGGATGAAAATCTATCAATTAATTTTAATTGGCCTTATTAATCTATCAAAGACAATTATTACAACAATAAGTGAGAATTATTATTATGAACAATTTATGCTCCCAAACACACCATCAATTTTAAATATTTCCATGTGTTTTTATGAATTTCAAGAATTTATACTATATAAATATCTGAGGCCGCAATTAAAAATATCTTTGTTTCCCCTTAACCTACCCACCATTTTGGAAGTGGGTAGGTAGGTAGGCTTTTTTTTTTTTTTTTTTTTTAGAGAAAATCCCTTAAATATATCTAACATACAGGAAAACACAGAAAAACAACAAATTGAACTTTATTGATACTAAAACAACATACTGTATAACGTATTATGCATGACTAGAAGACCTTACAATTTCAGACTAGAAAATGTTTGTAAATATCAATGTCTTTGTGACTTAGAGTAGACCACATATAAATTGAGACACGGTTCTATATCTTTCTTATAGTTTTATTAATTCAATTGAAAATATAAAACCCCAACGAGACTGCTACCTAGTAACATTCGATGCAAAAAATATGTACACTTGTTTTTCATTTAAGGAAATACTAGAAGCCACAAACCGTGATCCAAGCGAGTATGACTACGCCTATTAAGGCTTATTCTAGAAAACTATGAATTTATTTTTAACAATAAACTTTACCATGAAACCTTGGGCGTGCCTATGTGCCGATCAGCATTCGCTGAGTTAGCAGACCTTACAATGTTTGTTAATTCTTGAACACATTTTACAACACTTTCAACACAGAGAAACAAAATGATAATGATAGTTGAAGTTCACCTACGAATTTTCCTGTAATGAAACAATATTCTTAGACACTGTCATAATTATACAAAGGAGAAAGATTCTTTAACGAAGGCATAGTATGATACAAGACATTAAAACCAATGTCAAACCAACTGAAACATATCAATATCTGCACAGACACTGCTCACACCCAAAAAGTGTTTTCATTGAAAGGATTTATCAAGGGCGAAGTATTGAGGTATCTCAGAAACACAAGCAGCAAAACTGATCTTAAAAAAACAGTAAGAAGCTCAAACGAGGATATCAAATATCTGAAATCAACGATTTTTTTTATCAAACACAAAATACAGAAAGGGAAACCTTGCTAACACATCGCCCAGCGAAACGGGAGCAACCGCTAGTAATGTTAACAAAATTCAACCCATCTATACAGAAACTAAAAATATAATAATGAAACACTGGCATCTTATTTCACAAAACCCTGAATGTGTGACCATATTTAATCATCAGCCCATTATAGCTTATAAAAGACATAAGAACTTACAAGAACTTTTATCAAAGCATTAGCTGGTATAGTCATCTCGACACAATATGATGCTGAGCTCGAAAAAAATCAACTACTATTTTATCCAAAGACAACTAGTGTATGGTCCAATATCACATACGAAATGAAACAAAATAGCATAAATAGCATGCCAATATACAACTTATTGAGTACACCACTGATAAAGGCGAACTCAGGGATTTACCACAAACACGACAGAAACACCGGGCCTAACATTTAAGCTCAAGGGTGAGCTCGGATGCGCAATCGTAACTACTCGGCCATTCTCGCTACGCATTTTGTTATTGGAGGCGTAGCTAGAATGGAATAGTAGTTAAGATTGCTTGGATGCATTTATTTAAAACATTATTCCATTCCAATTTCAGTATCCTTGCATACGTTGTTTACCCTTTGCTGCAAACACACGGGCGACAATGATTTCGCGGAATGTTGAAAATACGGACCATTCAAGGAAACGAAATTAAAAAACGAACTTTTGAGCGAAACGAAAAAAAAAAAACAACGTGATTTTCGAAAAAAAATTATTTCAGTCGGCGGATTTTTAGAAGGTTGGTCGGGTAAGGGGAAACAAACTTAATTTTAATTTTGGCCTGAAGAAGTTTATTAAACTTTAATACCCTTAATATTAATATTTATTAATAAAAGTAGGGAGAACGAACCCAGGGCAAACTGACTCTATGGGCGAACAAACTCAGGGCGAACGGACCCAGGGCGAACATGTAATCAGGGCAAACATGTAATAAGGGCGAACAGACCCCATACTGAAGCTGCCACAAGATTCTGCGGGAATTAACTCATTTGCAATAGTGGTAAACAAGAGTGGGGCGAGTTGGTAAAAAGTGGGGCGAAGTGGTGAAAAGTGGGGCGAGTTGAACTGGGGCGAATTTGCAGTGGGCGAGTTGTCTTGCTTCCGGAGGGTACGAAATGACTTTAATTCGATTTATTATTTATGACCGGTGCATTTCCAAGTATCTCTAGTTTAAACATATTTTATTTGCTAAATATCAGCAAAATGGATGAGACACAAGTAAATCATACTTATGAAGTCTTCTCCAAGTATCTCTATGCATATATCCCTTTTAAAACTAGGAAGAAATTAAAAAAAAAACGGGTCTGCTTACTTTTTCTCTGGCTTCGAGAACAGTGAATGTCTTGTATTTGTCTAAAATTCTTTTCAAATCGTCAGAAACTATTTTGCTCATGTTCAATTTGGTTTCATGGAGGCTGACATCTTTAATTTCAATAACAGCTTCCGCTTCCGTTCTTCCTTGACAACATGTAAATCAAAATGGCGGCATAAGTAGGTTTTAATTTGAGTTTGTGCAGTTCATACAAATACAACCATATCTGCAGTGAAATATGATTATTCAAAACCAAAACTAAGAGCATGAATTCAAAACTAACTTTGATATCATCACATTCCAAAGCTGTAATTATCTCAAGTGGGAGATTCCCACATTGAATCCCCCAAACATTTGTATAAATACGGCCGCAATATTTATCACATAATGAACATGCATTCATGAAAGAAAAAAATGTTGATCTGAAGTTTCAATGTGATTGAAATGAATAAATAAAAAACTCATCTTTTACTTTAGGGGTCCTTATACTTTTAGTGTTAGTGTTTCATTTATGGTTAGTATAGGGGATGTTCTCTTCTTCTTTTTTAAGTTTCTAGCGATCCTTCAATTATTGAAGATTATTCTTCTTATGCCTTTAAGTATGGTATCCAGTTATCTATCAGATTTTTTATGATAATTAACTGCTGCGTACAGTCAGACCTGTCAACTATCCCGATTTATGGGGGATATCCCCCATGAGCATGAGAGAGGTGGACCTGAATTTTGAAATTCTTTATTAATATTGTGTAAACTGAACACCTCAAAACCGGCATTCAAATGAGTTAAAAGGATATTTAAGCACATACATACTCATTCAAACAATATAGTAGTAGATTAAAAACACTTGTGACAATATAAGAGGAGCATTAGGTCCTCTTGCGCTTAAAACCCCCCATGGAGATTTTGAAAAGTTGGCAGGTATGCATTCTAGGTTAGGGTTACAGAAAGTTTAGTATAGCTCTTTTTGAATTGGGAACTCTGAATAAACGTATAAACTCTTGGTATTTAATAGCTGAATTTTGTCTCTGAATGACCTTAGATCTGCCCCCGAATAACCTTCTGACGTCAAGCAACAATCACTTTCTAACTATGACGTCAAATTTTTTAAATCGTGATGTCAAATTTTTTTGGGAACTTGTGTGATTTTAAGTAATGGCAGACAAATTTGCATACAAGTGTAAATACGTCTATTCAAAGAGACCGACATAGATGATAGCTCAATAAGGGTTGGGACCCTAAGTTAAAAGCAGTATTTACGCTCAACCACAGGTCCACCACTCCAGCCCATACTTGTAAAAATACTGTCAGGCCTGTAAAAATCAACTCTACAGGCCAATAGAATCTAACTTAAATTTTTATAAAATTCAGCCTGTAGATTCAAAAGTTTATTGTGAAGACTGTAAAAGAGGGTCCATAACCCTATGTGATTGTCTTTATTATCAATAGAATTATTTACACACTTGTATACAAATTCGTCTGCCATTACTTTAAGTCAAACAATGCAAGTTCCTGCAAAATATTGCATCACAATTAAAACCATTTATCAGATGTCAAAATTAAAAAAGTGATTGTTGCAAAACACCAGAAGGTTATATAAGGAGCTAGATCTATGGTCGTTGGATACACAACAACTTGTACCTTTGCCAATTCATACCTTCGCCAGCTCATGCACATGTACCTTTACCAACTCTTACCCATTTTTGTAGCATTGTTAATTATGCATCATTTAATAAGATAAATCATAAACTTAACATTTGGTAAGTTGTAGAGAGAAAATACTGACATTACATTCGATTACTTTATCAAACGTGAATAGATTACTCTTCAGTTCCTGGCAATTACATGCTACATATATGTATATAGATATAAGAAGACGTGGTATGAGTGCCAATGAGACAACTCTCCATCCAAGTCACAATTTGTAAAAGTAAACAGGGCCTAATCTAGGATTTTTGAGAAGGAGAAGTGACTTCTCCTTCCATGACAGAGTTGGGAGAAGTGGTCAATTTCTTGGAGAAGTGAAATTCCATTACCGTTTCGTTTGCATAGTGTTTTCGTGCACATCATAAAGGTAAAATTGTTTTATTTGTGCAATAAAAAACATACTTGCAGTGTTTTATATGATTATGATATTGTATAAAATGTATGAATTGAAAATGCTTAATAAAAAGGTTTAGACAATGTAATTGTTATTTATTCATTCAACCTTTTGTGCTGTCAACTTGAAATTAAGTTTGTTGCTTGCCTAGTAATATTATCATGCATTAATCCCATGTGCATCTGATTCTTTTTTTTTTATAAAGTTCAGAAAAAAAAGACTCCCAGTTTATGTGATGACTTTATAATGACTGGGCCATTTAATGTTTATCATCACGTCATAATTTTGTAAAATATTGACTGTCCAGGACATCATGTCAGCTGTAAGTTGAAAATCTCGTGAAAGATTCTAAGCCTATATATTAATGAAAATATTTATCAATTACATTTCAATTAATCGATAAAGAGCTAATTTTTATCATTTTGTTATAAAAGATATATCCCTCATTAACAAATTGGTCGTGAAAAACCCACTTCTGACCACAAGCGTGTTGTACGTTTGCAATCAACTTATCCATTAGCTGTCTTTATATACCTTTTATATTTCAATTTTTAATCAAAGAATATAAAAAATCTTCTGTTCATTCCCACCCTTATCCTACCGAATAGTAAAATTGATCGTTTCGTGATAAAAAGAAAACAAATCAGCTGAGTGATTACGCAACATCCTCAGATGAAAATCATCGTAAAATGATAACTCAAATAGACGCTCGGTTTCTCGTTTCAATAGTTTTGAATGTTAATTTCATGGATGTATTAAGTCGCCGTTGTATTTATTTCATTTAAACGTCGACAGTATTAGTCATGGGTCGTTTTGAAAATTTTGTTTTTCCTTGTCGACCGCCATTTTTGTTTACCTGTGAGCCCTGTCAAATTCAAGTTGTCTCCCTTTTACCGATTTTGATAGCAATTTGACTTCGCCAAGTAGTCAGTCGGCCGGCCAGGTTTAGCGATTTTCAAAATTCCTTGGCGACTTAAATCGTCATTTCGCCGGCAAGATTATGGCCTGGTAAACCATTATAGGTCAAATTACGGTCTTCAACACGGAGCCTTGGCTAACACTGAACAGCAAGCTATAAACATGATAAAGGGCCCCAAAAATGACTGGTGTTAAACCATTCAAACAGGAAAACCAACAGTCTAATCTATATAAAAACAAGAAACGAGAAATACTTATGAACTACATCAACAAACGACAACCACTGAACATCAGGTTCCTGACTTAGGACGGGTGCAAACAAATGCAGCAGGTTTAAACATTTTAATAGGCGCCAACGTTAACCTTCACCCTATAGTATATTACTAAATTTATTTTTTATTATAATCAAAATGTAATTGAAAAGTAATCAATGGTTTCATCATATTTTTTTGATATGTAATTGAAAATTTTGACCTTTACAGATTACTGTCAATTACTTGAAAAATGTAATCAATTACAATCAATTATGATTACCCCATTCCTGGTGCTATTGCAAATGAAATTACACCTTACAAATTTTGAAAACTAAATATTAAAGAGAAGTAAACCTGCAAATGGCAAATAATATTCTATGATAGAAAGGCAAACAATAGTTCAGCATTGATTTATATAATGTGCCTTTTTTTATCAGATTAATGAATTTGTAAAATTGAATATTTTTCCATTATTACCTCAATTTTGAGAGACCCCCAATACAGTGGGAAACCATAACTACAGTACTGGGTATTCCTATAATTGTACTAATATACATGTTTAATCCTTTATAATTCAACAGCTACATGTATGTTGTAGTGATTTATATATACAAATTGATACACCATATTCTAGCATTTCTATTTTTATACATGAAGATAATGAATATTTACATTTAGGAAAGAAGTGTGAAACATGAGTACTACTGTAGCTCCAAATGCTCCTGCCCTTCATGGGACAGACAGTAAAGCTCTGGTTGCTGCTGAAGGTAAGTTATTATGTACATCTTCTAAGACAATGGGTTAATCATTTGAATTTTAAAGAATGAGTTTGAGAATGTCGGTACATAAAAAAAGAGGAATAACCATAAATAATATACAGTACAACAGACCACATAAACCACCAACACCAGACTTCTAAAAAACCTATATGTACAAACAAAGACACACAATAATGAACAGCATATGGTCCTGATAGCCTGACTTGGAAGAGGCCCAAAATGTGGTGGGTTATAACCAGTTTTACATGTGCACATACCTCCTCTTTGCCTATCTACTGTGTGGTGTAAAATTAAAACATTCATAAAAAGCCTGCAGAGGCTCTATCATATCTCTATAACAAAATAAGAATTGAACTTCATACATTACTTCTGATCAGTCTTAAGGCCTCATAATCATGTTAATTGAATTTGCTTTCTTGTGAATTCATGAAAAAATGTGTGAATAAAATATGATATTGGATTTATGTCAATAAAACAGCAACCAAACAACAAGGGAAAAAAATGGTGAGCATATGGCCTTTATCAAGTTGAGAGAAATTGTGAAAATTAAATTAAAGAATTTTCTAAAGATCTGCCTTCAGCACAACTTTTTTTAAATGGAAAAAAATCATAATTGAAGACAACTGACAAGGTTCCTGACCTAGTGCAGGTACATACTGGTAAATATGTAGACTACAGGTTAAACTATTTTTTTTAGATCTAGACTCTTTCTTCTTTATCAATGAAATAATAAATAATTACTCAGTCAAAGCAATCAAAATGTGTTTAATTCCAAGATCAAGAAATCAATGCAACTTCTTACTCTTTTATTGACTACTGTATATTTTACATAGCAATCTTTTGTCTTTCTGTGTGATGTTATTTGTGTCTTGTGCAATCTGATGAGTTATGTCCTTTTCAACTGATTTTAAATGTCACATTCCATATGTGTGTCGGAAGTCAGGTGCCTTTTATAGAATTGTTGAGTAGGGAGGTTTGGAAAAGGGGGTTGGAATGGTTTTTACTTGTCTTACAGTACACCTAGCTATCCTGTGATGAGATTTTTTTTCTTGAAAATCCTGTGTATAAAAATATTTTTTCTAGCAATATTTGAAATTCTGCACCTATTTAGTTTGGTAATAATGTCTTGGTCATAATTGTGCATTGCATTTTTATATATGTTTTTAAGAATTATCTTGCCTTGTTTTAAATATAATTATTATGCTTTATTTATAATTTTCTTCTAATATTTATGAACAAAATTTACAGATAAGCAGTTGCCAGATTTAAAATCCAGTGGCCATGTTGTTGATAGAAACAAACCCCTTCCAACTAGTCTAATGAGTGATTTTATACCTGAAGATGTTTTGTTTGCTCTCACACAACCACCTCCCGTCAAAGATCAGCTTGGACCTCCTTCAAGAACAAGGAATCTTAATACCTCAATAGTATGTATGGTACAGAAACCTTTATTAAAAAAAACTGTTATTTCTGAGATAAATTATTCATGTAGATACATGTAAGCATTTACCAAAAAAAATAAGGTAATAACTGTATTATAATCATTGTTAATTTACTAAAGAGTCAATAATTCAGCATGCTGATCATTAAAGGATGAGAACCTAGTTTACTGATCAAACATGGTTTATTTGTAAATTTGAATCTCTAACATTCTTAGTTAAACAAGAAATCTTGACATGCAAAGCTTAGATTTTACATCAGTAAATACATATCAGTCAAATTTTTTTATTGTTGAAATATAAAAGTCTCAGGTTTGAAACATAGTGAACATTTATATATTATCTCTACAGTCCTACCCAAGACCTCCACCAAATGGAGTATGGAACCATAAAAGAAGAGAACGATTTAAACATTTGACAGAAAATCCACCATGTATATGTGGTGCAGGACAGTATGTATATCTTACTAAGTGAAATAGAACAGTTAAATGTCTAAATGCTTGCATGTCCTTTTTGAATTCCATATTTTTATGCTCCTTTCACTAAGTGGCTGGGTCATATTGTGTTACCAATGTCCGTCATTTCACTATTCTGTCCTTTTGAAATCAAACAGTCAAGACCTTTTCCATTATGTCTGCACTTATATAACTGATTTTTGGAACATAATGATAACTTACAGATCAAGTTTATGTTTTATTCCAGTTGACCAAGTTTTGGCAATATGTATAGCGTCCGTTGGACATACAATTGTTCTTTCCTGGACTTTTTTTTTTGTGATGCCTGCAGCTCAGAAACTAAATTTTTGTATGCTGACTTACAGGTGGTTTACACTTTGTCTCTAAGTTGCTGACTGAATTTTTGTGGAATAACGGCCCTTCAATATGTTAAAACAATTGTATTTGTCCTCACCTTATTTTGAAATGCCACCTAGTTTATTAATTGAATTATACCCACCTCTCTGTACATTATTTTGGTACTCTTTTAGTATATATATATATTGTATATACATTTCTAAACAGTTAACATAAACATTCTGAATAAGTTTCAATATAGATTTTGCATTTATTTTCATCCTATGTCTTAGATTTAGTTTAAGGGATGTGCTAAAGCAGCTAAGCTTACATTTTTGACAAGTTTAAATACAGGAGTAGGAACAATATAAAACCTCATATATATTTCCAGAGATATATCTTTCCTGTATGATGTCCCCAATGATGCTGCCAATTTGGAAAGACCTGATAAAATTGATAAAAGTGCTGTCAGGAAAGAAATGATTGATAAACAGAAAAAGGTAATATACATGTAATGGACTTTAATAAATATGTGAAAATAATAAAGGGGGAAATAATAAATCCTGAATTTAAGGACACACATCAACAATGACAAAAGCTGCTTCAGAAGGGCTGGCAATTTCTGCTCTGTATATAACACCTGTCCTGCTACTTTTGCTAATCTTGGCTATAATTCAATAGTAAGAAAAGAAGATGAGATTGTGATTAAGGCAAATTGGGTATGGTCTTTTGTGATGTAAATATTCTAAAATAATCATTTTGACCACCATTCATAATATAAATTAAGCGGAAATACTAGTTTTTATAAATTCATGTAGTTATAGAACCTAACTATGATCAATTGTAACGCAATTAGTTTTTTGGGACAAATTTAGAGTTGAATTGGAGGACTCTGTTGTCTAACAAATTTGGTTGTTATATTGTACTCAGGAATTAAGATTAAAAAAAAAAGAATGATTTAAAATGTCTGCTTATGTTTCTTATTGACTAGTTCCAGCAGGAAAGTTGCTTAGATGGCCGAATTTCAAATTTTATTTTAGTAGCTGCTTGCTTTGGAACTAGGCCTTCTAAGATGTCTGTTCCTCTGAAAAAGTTTGACCAATTGATACCAAACTGATCCTAAATCATTCCACTGTTGTTTTTGTTTCAAAATTGTATCCCATGGTATAGCCTGCCACTAGGGAGCATAGTTTAACAATACTGTACTCCAATTGATTCAGTGTTATGCAAAATACCAGATAAACAATAAAATGCTCCTCTGATTTTTAATAATTTAGAGGCAAAATGAAAATTATGCGAAATATAGAAATGTGATTATGAATAGATGCAAGAAGTAGGTTGAATAGTGAGAATAGATGCTTTCAGACGCCAAATGATTTAATGTGATTAGAAGCAATGCACTTACTATGGCGGTCTATATTAAACATATTGAATTAGGAATAGATTACAAAATGTTAAATGAATTGAAAAACTATGATGGTTATTTTAAAGTGTGCACCACATTTTTTATGTTATTTCGAATAGACAGAAAAAATATTACAGTCATTTCTTATAATTCAACTCTAAATTCCATTTTAAACCAGATTAAACCATGAAAAAAGGTTGATGACGTCTCGGTCACATGACAAAATTATGTCTATGAGCTGATAAACAAAACAACGTCAGCCAATCAGAAGAGGCGTTACATCCAAAATTAAATTATTGGTCTATCCAAAGAAATAAAAAAGTACATATTGGTGAATAATTGAGAGAAAAATATCTGACATTACATCACAAATTATATCAAATTTGTTCTGCAGCCATTACAGTTACCAGATACCTTAATACCAGAGGAATATCACATTGTGAAGAACAAAGGTGTGATGGGGATAGAGTTCCATGAAGAGTAAGTAAGGAGTTAAAATAGAAACAGTAAAGAAAGGAAGAACAACAAATAATTTTCACAATTAATTATTTTAGAAGTACCTTATTTGAATATTATTATTCCATAGCTAGGAGCAATGTTTGATAAGTAAAGAAAATAAGCTTAATATTTAATTTGTGCAATTGACATTTCATGATTAAACACATGCATAAATGTGACCAAAACTGTTTATTGTAAATAAAAGACTGCTAAAATGACCAAACTTTTAAGAATGGGCTAATTAAGCATTAACATCTAAAAATTGTTATGTATACTTTACATAACTCAAATGTCTTCCAATATCTTTTGTTGTCTGTGCCTTTCTTAAACCTGAATATTTACAATTTGTGTCTGTAGATTAAAGTCAGTGATAAATAGATGGATTTTTTAAATGTGGCTAAAATTTGTTCATATTATACATGTGTATGATCATGAGATGCACCCAAGAAAAAGCATGTCAAATTTCTAAAACAAATGCATTATAAAATTCTATTAATTTTTAGTTATTTAATGTTCTTACATGGAAGGTTTAGAAATTAAGGTACTGTTATTAAGTCTCCCAAACGAAGTTTGGGAAGACTTATTGGTTTTGCTCATTTCTTATTATTATTATTATTCTTCTTCTCCTTCTTCTTCTTCCTCTTCCGCCGCTTTAAAATTTGAACTTGTCCACACCCGTTCTCCAAAACCGCTTGTCAGATTAACTTAGGGTTTCACAATATGTTAGACTAACATGTCTAGTGGTGCAATCAGGGTTTTGTTTGTGCAATAGGGTTTATAAAGGGGTACTTTGAGGGGCAAAAAGAAAAGAGGGTTTTACTATAGAACCCTATGGGATTATATTTTTTTAAATTTTCAAATGATTATAAATTGAAAACCGTTTGTGATAGACACAATCTTTTAAATTGAAAATGTTCTGAATGATAAAGCACATTAAATGAAATACAGGGTTAGTCCCCAGCTGATCCCAGAGAAATATCACTTCATGAAGGGGAGGGGGATAGAATTTCTTTAGGAGAAACCATCATTAAGTCAAAAAAGACTTTATTGGGCTAAAATTGAGTAATGGCATCTTTAAAATAAATTTATGATTTTTGCATTTAATTTTAGCAAGTACAGTACACAGATACAGGATCACGAAAAACATTTGGTGCTGTTTCCTTCTATGTAAGTCTTGAATTATTTCTTTTTGTTAATTAAGACAATACTATTGAAAACTTTAGCTGCCAATTGTAAGCTTATCATTATCCATTGATTGAGCAGCATCAGCATTCACATTACGCTGGATTTAAAATTATCTTTTTTGTAAAAACAGATTTTAATCATTATATTATTCGAAACTAACTGCAAATTTTCTTGATAAACCTTTTTGTATTATCATGTTTAAATATGATATATAAACAGTAATCATATTAAAAGTGAAATAAAGACAAGATAGACATTGGTCACTTGAATTGGTTGTAGTTGATATTGCATACAATGTGTATATCTAACAATCATGTAAGTTTTTGTAAAGTTTTGATCCTACTTTTGATTTATAGGAAACCTACAAGTCGATATGAAGTGATTCAACTGAAGAAAACATTTAATAAAATGATGATAAAGTTAGGAATTACAGAAACAGATGTTGAAGTGAAAGGTCCTACCCAGGTATGTGCATTAACATACATTCAAAAAGGAAGAATATTGGGTTGATGCACATGACAGAAAAATAGATGAAATGCCTCAAAATATCAAATATTTTAAAACTGAAGCTTGTTTTGTCATTGATGAACTGAAAAGCTCACACTTTGAGCAAGGTCAAGACATACAGGTCCTAGTATTGCCTGAAGCAAGACACAGTTATAACATCAATTTTTATGGCCCGACCACGCCATATAGTTTTCACCTTATCTGTCCTTCCATTATTCAGTATTAAACAGTTATACAGACTTTTTTTCTAAACGCCTTCACATATTGAGCTGAGTTTTAGTATGTGAATCTTCTATGATGAGGTACCGATCAAGTTTACGTTTGGTTCCACTCAGCTGATTTTTGTTGAAATTATAGGCTTTGGACTTTGAAAATTTCGTATAAATAACAGTTATACAGACTTTTATTCTCAAATTTCCACTCCTAAAAATTGCCAAGTTTTTTTTAGAGCGGGGCCATTCGTGTCGTTTTTAAATTTGGGCGGGGGTATTGAACAAAGAATTCCTGTCCTTCATAAAGTTATGTAGTGATAATTTTTAAGCATAATAAATATTGGTTTGCAGACAATTTTGTGAACTCTTTTGTTATAATTTACATTTATCCTGTACTCACTTGAGTTATAATTGCAATTACAGCAAAGAATAATTTCTCTTTTGAGGTTGAAGCAAAGGTTACTGTTGCTACTTATAGAATGATGTGTATAAATTTTGTCTATTATTACTATTGTTATCTTGTGCCCTTCAGTTTTCCTAAAAGAAAAAAAAATAATCTGTGAATAGCATAAAGATTTATTGTTTATAGATCAGACTTTTTATGAATGAATGACTGAATATATTATCTCTTATGCTAATATTGAATAAGCTCAGCCATTTTGCATTATACTGAGTAATATTTAAACTCAAACCAAGTAGTTTTTACACGTTGAAATAATCCAATTACTCAAGACTCTGAACTTTTTTTGTTGAAAGTATCAAAATGAGAAAACTAATTATGAAAATGTATTCTTTGCCACAGTTAGATTATATTGGTAGTTGTAATTAAACAGTTCATGGTGTCAACAAAGGTTCAAATATTTATATAATTAATGTTAAATATATATTTCAGATTCATAATTTGTTAGAACTGATAAAAAAGGAACAGTCCATCTTTGATACAATTTTTTCAGAGTTGATACGACAGGTAGGTATAAATAGAGAAGGTATCATGTTAATATCAGTTGATTTAAAAAATATAATAATGAAAATATAACCATGCATGTTAATAAATATTTCAAATTACAGTAAAAAGTTAAAATTTTTAATAGCAATGAGAAGCACTATTTAAGTTAGAACAATAATTATCTACATAGAAATTAGAAAACTATTACTCTAGAGACATAACAGTCAAAATATGTATTTGTAGACAACTATAGAATGTGCAGAGAGAGGAGAACTTTTATCTGAAGTGAGAAATAAGTACAGAGACTTGATTAATAATGTACCAAAACAGATAATGAGGTGAGTATCTTCTTTTTGTCTCCCTTGACGGAATCAAAAAGCGAGACATAGGTATGCTGTTTCCGGCGACGGCGTCAACAATGTATTAGTTTGTGATTAGGTCTAGTTTATGGTGAACCACTAATGTTAAGTCAATGATATTTGGTATGCAAATTTATTGGCATTTGCAAGTATCGTTTCCATGGAGATTATATAGCCCCACCCCTGATCATGGTTCATTGACTTTCAAACTTTTACATAGTTTACAAGTTAATGTTTGTGTTTAGGTTTGTTTAAAGGGAATGACTTATAATAAGTCAATGGTATTTGGTATGCAGTTGTATTAGCATTGGCACATCTCATTCCATGGAGATTGTTTAGCAATGTACCTTCAATCATGGTTCATCGACTTTGAATATTTGCATAACTTACATGTTAAAGTATTGCTATTTTAATTTCAAAATTTGCATTATCAAAATAACAAAAAGGCGAGACATATCTCTGTGATAACAGTTTATATTTAATATTTAATGTTGTCTCCCTTAGAAAAAAGTGTTTCTCTTTACAGAAAAAAATATGACAAATCTATTTGTATGGTACATATAATTGTAATGAAGAAAGACACTGAAAAGAACCTTATAGCAATCCTTTAGTGTTTTAATAATTAAATTTTTATATGAAAATTAATTTATATGAAAACATTAACTGATTGATCTACTTTTATTTTATAAAAGGAATCTGTTTTTATCTGTAAAATTTCATTTGCAGTTTGATAGGAATTTGAAAATAGATTTTGTTACTTATTTTATTGTAGTATGTTAAAATCAATTAGGTCTGAAAATGTTTTTTTAAAATTAAATTTCAGTTTACATGAGGAGGTAATTGCACAGAGAGCTTTAGACAGGAGATTGACAGAAGAACTGATGAGATTTAAATCCACTATTGGTATATTAACAAGGTAAAGTGTTTTATAAAGCCTCCTGAAAATATTGAAGTTCAGAAACCATAGCACAATTTTAAAAAATCCTGAGCCTTTATAATATGATTGTAGAAAAGAAATTAAAATGTATAGTTTCAAATTGTTTACTAGATGTTTAAGAGAGAAAGCTGTATTTATTTTGAGGTCAACTATACGAGTATGTCACTGAAGCACCTCTAAATGTCTACTTAACAATATTGCACCTGGCATATTCCTGTTACATTTTGACTTATACATGAGATATACATTTAACGGCATATTATATAATTATATAGGACAGATTTCAATCCCAGATAATTAAGTTTTATGTATTATAAATAACAATTGCATGAATTCTACTGTACTGCAGAAAAGGGTAACATGCCGCATATCTGATTGTCTATCATGAAGTAATCTGAAAAAGTTGTAATACAAAACTGACACTTTAATTGCAGGTTGTTGAGCAGGAAATTTTCAAAATTGAACTAATTTATTCACACTTTTAATGAAAATAATAGTTAACAAAAATTGACACTTTGGTAATCTTTCTGTATTATCATTCCCTTTTAAATACATATCTGATTTAAAAAAGAAGTAGTTCAGAAAAAGGATAAATATTATTTAAATTTTTTCAGTGAGTTATCTGCTGTCAAAGAACATGACAAAAAAGTAACAAAAGAAGCCAAACAGGCACAGGAAGATGTAAGTCTTTTTACTTAGGATATACAGGGATCTCCATGACCTGTTTTATGATGGCACACCACCATCGTTAAATTATTTTCTGCCATCCTCAAAAGATCCCCGCCATCGTTAAATTGTCTTCCGCCATCATCAAATGATCCGCGTCATTGTCAAAATTTGTTTTTGTTTCGCTAGCGGCGACCATTTTTGTTAGCAATTATAATCAATTGCATGTAATTGTATTACAATTCAAAGGGTCCTCCTGATTACATTTTAAAAGCCCTGATGGATATCCGGCTAAAGATCGCTGATCACTTGCACAGGTAGATCAACACACCTGACAGTAACAGGAGAACACTTGATGAAGATAGACGATTAATTGCATTATTTATTATTTCAGCAAATTCTAATGAAAATATAGATTAAAAATAAATTTTAAATCCAGTTATGAAAAAAAAAAGTTTTAACAAGTCGAACACGTGCTTTTATATCTTGACTTATGCAATTAGCATCCCCCTTTTTAAACGAGTACAAAATAAGACGTAAACAGAACATAATTTCATGCGAAATAACACAAGTACAACAATTATCGATACTATTGAACCACTTTACATTTTTAAAAGTAAATAAAGTTGTACATGAATATTAACTGCAACTTGATACTCTGAAGAAATTTCGTATCGTAATTCCGAATTCTTTACGTAGTTTACAATCAAATTAACACATCCGGTTTGTTTACTTTCAGACTCGAAAGATGCATGATGCATAGTCTATTACTATGAAATTTGCAATTGAAAGTCATTTAAACCATTTAAGTTGTAAACGTTTGCCCATAATCTTTCTTCAACGTTTTACAAAACGGGTACGAAACTACTTGTTCTTGATGCTGCAAATCGTCGATACCAGTTCATGACTTCTGAATTTGACAGGGAAAAAAATAGACCCCCTCCCCCGATTTTTAAATCCTAGACAATTTCCAAAATAGCAAAAAAACGACTTGGGAACCTTAAGGACAGCTTGTGGTCACTCTTGACTAAGGGGGAGCCATACAGGCTTGACATTGGAATTGTTACAAATGACAATTAATGAAAATATTGGTTATTCTATAATGAAATAAATATAATAAGCAATATATCAGTCTGTTCACTATTCCTTACATAGAAATGGAGGCATGACATACTTTCGATCACGACATGCCGTAGACGTGGGGTTTTGTCGTGGTGAAAGTTCCTCCATCTTAAATTTTCATCCATGGAGATCCCTGGATATACATGCATATATAAACAGGTACAGGAGGGTGCATGTATTCTTGTTACTTGATCTACTAACCCACATACCTTAACAGAAAAAGGGGGATGTAAATCCCGAACTACCCATAAACCCACATATTTAAATTGAATAGAAGGATACAAATCCAAACTACCACCTAACCCACATATATAAACAGGCAAAAATGATCTCTATAAAGAATGTTTTAACACCATGGGTCATTTTAAAGTAGACCTGTCTGTTAACTTGGATTTGACCTGACTAGTAAATGAACTTTTGAGTTATTTTCCTTGATCATAGTTTTAGTGCATGTTGTTTTTCTTTTGATCAAAAGACAATTTTTTGTAAAAATAATTAACCATTAATTTCTTTATATATCAATGTTTATGTTGTTATTTTAGCTTAAGGAAGCATTGTCCGAGGCACAAAAGAATGCTTCTCTATTATCAGAATATCATGGATTGTATGAGTTACAAAGGAAGAGGCTAGAAAAACAAGTCAGCATGTTAACTGATGAAAGAGAATTATGGAGTAATGCTGCTTACAGCTTAGCTTTAAAGGTACTTTGTATTGTTATTTATTATAACTTAAAGATTTGATGTATGAGGGATTTGTGTGCTCTATTCTGTCTGTTTGTCCATCACACTTTAAGGTATCCTGAAATACAGCTTGAACAGTTAAAATAACCAAATGTTATGACAATAGATAAACATTAACTATGATGGCTTGCTACAATACAGTATTACATTATTCTGTAATAAATTCCTCCTAATCAATAAAACAGTTTTTTAATAAAGTAAAAAAATAAATGTACTTTTAATTTACAGATGTAACTAACTTCACAAAAGTCCAGTAAGTATGTCTTATTATGAAGCCTTATTCAGTTTTTCCTATTTTCTGACATTTATTAGGTAACAGAGGAAGCTAATCTTACAACAGCTAAAAGACTACATGTAAGTGAGAAAGCATGGGTTAAACTAGCCACTCATTTTACTATCCTATTGAGTGACAGAGACACACAGGTTCTCACAAACCTTCAAGGTCATGTAGAAAGGTGGCGTGATTTGGTAGAGGAGTTTAAAACCGTACAAAACCAGAGAGAGGTTGAGATGAAGAACAACATAAAATCCATCAGGGGAAGTGTGGATCACTGGATGAATGAAATTAGAAAAATATGTTTGTAAGTAGAGGTCATTATCTGTGTGGTGAATATGAAAGTTTTTCTCAATGACCTTATTGTTACCCTATTTTTTTACTCATTGTCATTATAGTGAAGAAGATTTTTTTAATTAACTTTGTTATTAAGTCACTCTTTCCAAGAAATTTTAGCACATTTTTTTTTTTGCATTTAATGTAAAGTTGAAATGATACCCACTTGTAAATTGGCTAGGTAGTATACAGAACTCTCCTTGTATGTCTGTTTGTTTATCCATTTGTCAGGACTGAAATATTTCATCACATATTACATCTGCCTTCTCCGCTTCTTCTTACTAGTTGATAGCCAAAATTTTACTATACTCGCCAAATAAACTTGTATGAAAAACGAATGACTTTTATAATATGTCTAGAGCTTGATAATGTAGAGTTGCATGTTGTAAGTGATTTTCTGTTCTGCCATACAACATCTTCCTGCTTGTCAATATTAAGTATGTAGATTGGTTTGGCAGAGTGTATGTCTGTCTTACATATACCATAGATCTGTGACCTAATTTCATACTATAGTGGTCATATAAGTTTTGGAATTAAGTTTATATCTTAGAAATTTTACATATACTTGTAGTCTTAAACTTTTTTATATGTGATATATCTCATGCACCAAACAGATTTCAATTGAACATTGAGTTAAGCTCAGTTTAAGATTTTATTTCCTTTGGAAAATAGGTGATCTTCAGATCTGCTGTACATCTTGAACATGTGAGGATATAATTAAGATAATAGTTCATATAAATGCATTCAAACCAGTTCAATTTGTCATGAAATGTTATTAGAATTGCTTTGTTGAACACAAATTACTTTATTTTTTCAGTGGAGATGATGTAGAATTTGATTATTAGTAAGATGTTTATCTGTTATTTTATTCTTTCATTCGAGTTAGTTGCCATATCCTTTGAAATGTTCTGTATTTACATAAAGATTGTACATACCATGGCCATTGTATACTTTTGTTATGCTGTTGATTCATTATTATTGGGATACTTATTTTCGTGGATTTTGTGCATATAGGTGAATGACTAATTTAAATATTCATCAAATTACAAGTTTCTTGTTGACTTGTATGCAGAATTTTTCAAAACCAAGAGATCAGTCATATTTAGATAATAAGATTACAATTAAAATCCAAACTCATGCTCCATCTGTTCCAGTAAAATATCTTTTATGGTCTAGGGTTTGGTTTCTTTACACATACTCACATAGGACATATTTTTCAGGTGACATGAAACTAATGCTAATCTAGTTCATACTTAGAGAATTCAATTTATCTTTCTTTATTTTTCATAGCTTATTAGAGTGTAAAGATGTGGAGAAAATTTTGTAACCTACATAATAGATTGTTTCTTATTTTATGTCACACCACATTTGAATTTATGACTTTATGTGTAATATGGAACTTTTTAAAAAAAAGTATATACTTTATTAAGGTATCACATATCTTTAAGCCTTTTAAAATTTATTCAGAGCAAGAAAAAAAAATCAGAAATATTCATAGATTACACATCCCGTAAATATGCTTTTAATTTAGAGAAAGGAAAACAATTTCATAGTAGGCCTCTGTAAATAGGGACATTCAAGAACTATTATATATTTAGAAATTTTTGTGGAATTTGATTTTAATCTTTGTTTGCTTTATTAATTTTTAATCAAGATTTTGTAAATTTACATGTAAACTGTATTTTGCAGTAATTTACTTTAAAGATACTTAATACAGTCGTTGCAAATATTACAATATTGTTAACATTATTAGTTATTTTTAGTTGTATCAAACTTCATGGCAATTATAATAAAAGCCACAAACTACAAAATTTCTGTTTCAGTGGAGATATACTTTTTGATGATGAGTAAGCTTGCTGATGAACAAGGGCTCAACTTTTTCTTGTTTTGTCTCTTAATCCAAGAGCTTTAAAAAAAGAGTTTATTAATGATTGTTTCTATGTTGCAAATTCTAATTCCTTGGTATAGCTATTTACTTTGATCATTGATGGAGTACTTACAAAAAATCTGAAGTCAAAGTATACAAGTTTTTAAAAAAAGTTAGACTAATATATATTGAAAATGTTAAATGAAGTTTATTTTCATTGATTTTTTTGTTGCTGTTTGTAAAAGTGAACTTTGGAACATGAGGTTTCTAAAATTTGATAAAAGATTTTTGTTTTAATGTTCATTCTTTGCCAGAAATCATCAACAGACTGATACATTTAACATTCTTAAGTTAGGTTGATGAGTATTTTTTGACTTACGTTAAAGACATTGTTTGGTCAAAGTAAATAAACATTGAGGTACTGTTCATCATCTATGTGGTGACGGCCATTATATCATCATTACAGTGAGGGTCATTACTTTATCACCATAGACCTTCTTATATATCTGGATTTGTGTATGAAAGAAAATATCTTTTATTTTACTGCTTTGTTTGTAGAGCAATAAGAAAGAGGTAAGAATGGTTCAAGGTCAACATTTATCCCTTTCACTGCTAGAATGGAATAGCTTTCCTTGTCCAGATATACCACAGTTTCCATTTAGGGGTGAAAGGGTTACTTTATAGCTACTGTTGTCAAGATATGGAATTTGGAGGTTATGACCTTGTTTTTCATAAACATATATGTTGAATTACAAATAGAATCAAATTTTGAAGGAATATTTTAGAAACAAATACTTCAATCAGTTTTACAAGTTCAATTTACTCTCAATTTTAAATGTTCATGTACATGTACTGGTAGAATATTACCAGCAAAATGAAACAGTCATCCCTTTGCATATTTGTTATCAATGATGTACCCCTTTTCCATTCTCAATTTTATAAATTCATTAATTTACAATGTATCAAATCTGTTATTTTGTGCTATCATAGAACTGAATTTTACTGATTTAAGTTTTCATTCATTATTCAGTTGATTCTGGTGATGTTCTTTTTGTAGATCATCAATCTGATTAAATTGCAGATCCTGTGTCTAATCTTTGCTTACAAGGACCTGACAACACTCAGTCTTACTTTCTGTTCTGGTTATTATTACATCAGCCAATGAAATTTCAGCCTTCAAATTTTTGAAAGCTGAAATAAATCTGACAAAACCAGAGAATCCCGAAATCTTTAAAACAGAAAGTAGAAAGGAGCATTTTCAGATCCTTGTAAGCAAAGCTTGGATATAGGATCTGTATTTTAATCAGATTGGTAGATCATGTATGTATATGAAATGCAAGATGTGGAATCTGCTTCAGTCCTATATTATGTCTACACTTCAACATCAGTCAACATATAGCTTGACTTTCACCTTGGTGATATGGCCTAGACCTCTAGTAATATAGAATTAGAATCTCAATGGTAACAGACTCTCAGCTAACCATTAAATCAAAATATAACAAACATTTTAAGAAATATGTTTCAATTATTTACTTAAAATCTTCTTTTCTCCAGAAAATTTAGAACATCTATTTCTTTTCTTTTCATTTCTTCCATATTAAAAAAAATAAACAAAAATTTGAACTTTTTATTTCTTCAATTTATTAACAAAAGTAACATTTTACAAGCTATTTTTCCCTCTCACTAAATCATGATGTCCCCAATACTTATTTATAATATTACATTTCAAAACAAAGAGCTATTTAAATGTTAATGTAGATTTTTTTCAGTCTTTTCTATAATTAATTGAATTAAATATAATAGTATTTAATCTTCGACAATAATGTTGTATAAAGATTTTTCATAGACCTGCATGTGTAAATCAGTAACATACCAGAGACTTATATATATATATATATATGTAATGGTTAGATTAAAGCACATGTATGCATGTGAGCTCACTGCATGGGTAACACTATGCACAGTTTAAGAAGAAAGATTTTTTTTTTAATGTCGAGCCTATGATAGTAGAGGGCATCATAATTTCCGGTCTATGTGTCAGTCCGTTTGTCTGTCACAGTGCATACTTTTTTAATTTGAATATCTCACTATAAGTTACCCCATGGTTTGTATGTTGTGGCTAAAAAAAGAGAGAATTCCTGGCAAATTACCTCTAGTTGTTGTGGCATGAAAAAAAGTATTGTTATTTTGCATTGTATGTAGTGAATGATCTGGCCATGCTTTAGTGTTATAAGATGTACTTTGTAACGAAATACTGAATGATCATTATGCCTATGATTATAGGGTTTGCTTGAAGTTTTATTATTTACAAACATTGAAATTTTCCCCCAAAAATTATGTTATTTTTTCAAACAGTTGTGTGTATTATGTATCAATCACTTAAACAATTATTTTTAGGGAGTAGAAAAATATTTTTTATTTCATATTATCAAAAAGTAATCCAACCAGTTTTTTTAATCGACCTAAAAATAATTTTATGCTATTCTAGTGGTTATGTTTTACCAATCTTTTATGGAAATCAATGGCATAATTGTTAATGTTAAATTTCATGCTTTGATAGCTTTAATTGTATAATTACAGCAATGCTGAAGGACAATTTAGGAGACCACCAGATGATGAGAAGTTAAAACTTTTCCTTCTAGATATGAAGAACTGGGAAGTGGTAGGTTGTTATAATTAGTACTCTGCTTCATATGCTGTTATATTAAAAAAAATATTACATTATTTTCATTTAATGCTTTACCTGTAATATGGTAATATGGTAGTGCTATCTACATCTGTAGGAGAATGTTGAGAACACAGGTTCATAGGTACTGCAGAATGAATTAAAAGAAATTTCAAATTTGACTACCATGATTTCTGTATCATGTATTGTTTTTTTCTTCAGATATTAAGTAAGGAATCAGAGAAATATGGTGGAGAGACATTACTAGAAGGACAAGACAAATTGACACTGATCAGGTATCAGATGGAGGGATGGACAGATAATGCTCTTAAAGTCTTTGGTCGTCATCGTAAAGATCCTACCAAAAATCACCCAGACCAAGACAGAATGGTCACATTAAACCAGGTAAAATAGTATCAGTAATTAAGTCAAATAAGACAAAATTGTCTGGATCAAACAGAATCCCCCATCAATATTTTATCAATCAATTTAGAAAAAACTACATTTAATGAAAATAAATTCTTCTGTCAGAATCTGTCTTAAAAAAAAAAAAATAACATGGAATCCCCATTTCTTATGCAATTTTATTTGTATCTTTAAAATTTGGATTTGATAGGCTAACTTCTGCAGAAAGTTTAATTATAATGCAGTAATTAAAGGTATAGTCAGCAGAAGTTGCCATATTAAAAAACCTAAAATCCAACATGCCATAATTTTCAAAAGACACAATGTGTTTAAATGCATCATTGAAGACTGCATTTATTTACCTCAACAATTTATGTCATCAAATCAAAATATAAAGTTGTCTCCTAATTTTATTTCATCTCTTTTATTTTAATTATTATCATATTTTCACCTTTAGACTTTCCTTTATCATGTTTATAACAACAATGTCTTAAATATAAGTATATATATAGCGAGAGAGCATTTGTATTTGGTAGAATAGAACAGTCATCTTAAGGACTAAAGGTTACACTTCTGTAAATAAAGACAATGCAATTTCCCATAGGAACTCTTTTTATGGTTAAAACTGTGCCACTTTTACTATGAAGTTTCGTAAAAAATTATATCCTAGAATGGAAAGTTCATATGCACTACTATTTTTTTCAAAAGTTAAAACAGGGCTGTGCTGCATATTTTCAACATTTATATGCCCAAAACTTCCAAGAGTTTAAACTTATACTAAAATTCTGTAATACCCCTCCCTTCATTTTGGGTCTTCCTCAGAATTCAATTTAGCCACTATCCATGTGTATTTATACTGGAAACATTCCCAAATTATGCCTCTATGAGATGAAACATAGAGATCATATTTGGGAACCAGTATGTAAACAAAAAATATCTATGAATATTATATATCGCCCCAAAAGAGGCGTGGCTTGTGAAACAGCTGTATTTACAAAGTGCAATCTAAAGTTTTAATATCAATGGAAAATGAAGGTATTTACATACACTATGGAAAAAAAAAAACCATTGATTTAACATGTTTATGAAAAACCAAAACTGTTAGTACATGTACAATGATATAGTATTAAAACTTTGAATCTATATTTTTAGGAAGTAGAAAATCTTCTTCATCAGTTTGACAACAGAATTACAGGGGAAAATGGTATGTTTTCACATTAATTCTATTTCTGTTGGACTTGTAAGGATGTAAATAATGTGTTGTTTATTTTGGATAATTTATGAAAGTAACAGCAAATTTTGCTTTTTATTTTGGATTTATATCATCTTTGAGAATAAAATGTTTTAGAATTTTTTTATTTCCAAAACCTCCAGAATTAAATAAATCAATTCTTTGAGGCACATCCTTTTATGCAAAAAGGAGAAATAGATTTGTTATTTTACTAATCACATGATCTTGTAATATCCAATCTCAATTATTAGAATTAAAACCAATTATTATAAACAACAAACATTTTTTTATAGATTTTAGCAATATTTTTTATTTCAAATGTGTGAGTTTTTTTAGAATTTGCTCTTGAATTATTTGTAAATAGTTTAGTTTATCTCTTTTTATGAATTGTATGCTAGGAAAGTATTTTGAATCAAAAGAAATTCAGTATCCAAGAGGTAGGATATGCACATAAGATATATACAAATTGGCATTTTTTATTTTACTGATTTCCCTAGCACCATTTTTCCATTTCATGCCAATATAAGCACAAGGGCAAAGATCTTTAATTTAATTGATTTTTTCAAAGTGGTACTGTAATAATCTTTTGAACTATTAACCATTTGACTTATATTTAGCAATCTTGAATGTGTAAACTTGTATTTCATGGCAATCAAAATTAAAAGTAAAAGTAATACATGTAGTATTATATACACATTAAGTTGCACTGTTTATATGTTCATATGGCTTTTTAAAAAATGGCAAGCTTAATTCCTTAGGTTTTAGAGCCATGCCTGAAAATTGTAAAATAATTTTGTGATATAAAAAACTGAGGATATTATTACTATTAGTTATGTACATTTGTAGTTACACCACACTATTTTTCATATTAATGAAACAAATGTTCTCTCAATATCATGTAATTTTAAACAGATGTTGTATTCTAATTCAGTAATGGAGAGATATGTTGTTAAAGAACAAATATTTGTACAGTAATTATTTTTTGCTGTTTTTTTCATGGTACAGAATGGCCTGTACCATACATATGCGAATAAATATATATGCTTTTCTAAGTAGCTATGATTAAAACTTCCAAAGGAGAAGGTATGATCAGGTCACTTTTTTGGCCCCTTGATTTAAAAAATCAAAAAGGATTATAAATAATTTCCACATACCATCCTGCAGATGTTCATAAGATATCTATCTGTCTTTCGGACATCAGTATTTATATTTTTGTGAATTTTGTCCCGTGTATTGTCATTAGGGCATCAACTTCTCACATTTAGTACAAAACAGCAAAAACTCCCAAAATAGACACATTTTGAGATATTGTCATTAATATTTAGATATGAGCAAGAGCTTCACACCAAAAGATATTTAAGAAATAATTTGTGGGGGCTTGAATTTATCTTGATTTTACCATGGTTGGCCCTTTATGCTAAATATTTTACCACAAGCGACATTATGGGGTAAAATATCAGCATAAAAGGCCAACCTGTGGTATAATCAATATAAATTCAAGCCCCATGAATTATTTCTATTCTAATAGGACAAAGACAGCAATTCTTTGGATTGAAGTGCTCTATGTAAAGGGAAATGTTTGCTGTTCCCGTAATTGAACACACTATTAATATTGACGTAAACGACAAAGAAAATTGAATAAATGACATTCATAGACAATATACAATAACATGCTGAGACAGATTGGATGAATTTAATTGATTATCTTACTTCATTTAAGGTGGTACCTAACACTACAGGGAGATAACTCTGTAAAAATCAGCTAAACGTTTTAATTACGTTGTATTGTTAAGGAAATATTAAGCTTCTCAATGATCAAAATATGGGTTTGTCAAACTGCTATATAACCAACGAAATTTTTCTGATAAAGTGGTTGGTTCAAATTTTTTGAAATTTTTATATTTTTGTCAAAGGGTCAAAATTTTATGAAAATTAAACGAGCCAAATTGATATAAGTCAAGGTGTTGGGTACCACCTTAAGAAGTTAGAAGATATGGACATTATACAAATTCTTACCACCGTTTGTTTATTATGTTTTCATGTTTTGATGACTTGCAGTTTCCCATTCATGCATTTTCCCATAAAATCCTTACATTCTTATGTCATCGTTCAATGACGTCATTTACACCATTTGACGTGAGGCAAATCATTCATAAAAAGCATACGACGTGGGAGTAGGATTGGAACAGCCCAAACAAATCATGATGTTGCCTATCAGCTGACTTAAGAATATATTCGAATGTTACCATGGTGTGTACTCAAAGCGTTTGAAGAACGTCATATTAGAATTTGATACAAAATGTTTTTAACAAAGATGTTAATGTGTGTAAAATATTTTTTTGGGGTAAAGCTCTTGTTCATATATATTTTGACCAAAAATTATGCATGAAATGGACATTACACGGGAGCATTAAGGTTTTATCCTTGACCAACCGTCTTTCCATCTGTCTGTCCCATTTTCCTTGGTTTGAAGCTTGAGCAGGGGCATTCGTGTCCTCAGACTCATTCTTCTTTTATTTGGTAAAATAATACATGATACATTTATGAATCCAGATAATTAGATTAGATTCACAGTCTTATCTTTTTAGTAGTTCAAACTTGGTTATACTTATGTTACTTTGGTGTGGACAAAATACTATTAAAACTACTATGAAATACAAAGTGATGAGAGTGTGTTATATAATGATCATACTTGTTTATTCTGTTATAGGTGTAGCCTCACGAGTGATACATCTAGCTAATGGCCTAGAGACTTGGGATATGAAGCTTACCTCTCATTTAAATGGAACCCTGTCAATCAATGATAATGAATGGGGAAGTCTGGTTCAAATGATGGAAGATTGGTTGGTTGGGATCGATGAAGCAGAAGAGTATGTAGGAACCACTCAGAAAGAGGAGGACAGAGAGAAAGGAAGACTTCACACAAGGTATCGAGTGAAGTGCTGGCTGTTCATTCACAGTTGCTTTTAAATTAACAAATTTTATGCTTTCGGATTTTGTTCTAAATAATATTGGTTCACATTGCTTTTTAACACATTGTTAATGAAGAACTTTTGCATTGGAATGCAATTTTCTATTAATGTTGGTTCACGTTGCTTGTTAACACATTTAATCAAGATTCTTTATCAAGACTGATTCCTACTGCATTTTCACTAACTAAAAGATTGGCTAACAGCATGGATATACAGAGGTTAAAGAGAAAATCTTATAAGTCACTGCTTTCTTAACACAGAAAATGAATTGTCAGGCTAATAGTTTTAAATCTTCGTAATATTAATATCGAATCATAATATTACAAATTTCTTTGATAACTTAGTATAACTGCTTAAAACATTGTATTTTCTAACAAGTATCACTGATTTATATACTTTATATGTTTTATACACAGTTTTCACTATAATCATTTAATTCTCTCACATTGCTTTGTTTAGCACTGTTATTCTTATGTAAGCAGAGTTTGTAGTCATTATATAATGTAATTCTTTTCATAAATCTTATAATTTCTTAAAGTAGAAAGGGTTTACTCAAGATGACACATGTGTTGCACTGTATAGAGTGGTCACATGATTTTATGTTAGCGGTGGTTACTTGTTTTTGTTCACTTTAATACTTGAAGCAGAAGACTGTGAGTATTTAATTTAAAGACAGATCTTATAAAGTTATTGAAAAATAGTTGTGTTTACATCAATATGACCTTTAACTATATAAATTTATATTGGTTGACACAAAAAATAATTTGTTCAACATACATTAAAAATAGAAATTACTTAATATTTTTGTGATTATTGTCCATTGTCCATTTTCAAAAAAGTCAACCTATACAAGTATGGTTCCAGCACCCTTGAAGTATAAAAAACAACTCCATCTATATAGATTTTTGCAAGGATTTTTCAAATAACGAATATTTAATTTGAGATTTTTGTTAACAAACCTGACTAAAAAGTTGTACCAGGAAAATTGTATGGTATCACAAATCTTTTATTACAGTAAAAATATGGGGGTTATGTTTGCTATTACAGAAATATTATACCTAATGGAATGACAACTCATACTAAATACGTTTTATAAATGTGATGCATTATGTCATATTTATGCACTACATGTAATAGCAAGGGCAATTAAGTATCAATACATGCTATGAATATAAAAGGTTCATATAATATTGTAAAGATGGGTATTTAAGAATTGCAAAAAAAAAATTCAGAAACTTAAAAAAAAATATGCTTCATTTAAAAAATATTTTTTTCATAATTTATATTTTTTCTAGAATATATTGGATATGTATGTCTACAAAATATTTACAGCCTCACTTTCACTTAAATCTTGTGTGCAGTCTCTGGTTTTATCCAAGCAAAATAGAGAAAAAATAATAAATGTCCAAGTTATATTAAACATATCTCAATATATGTCTCTTGATATTCTCACATCAAATTTTTATAACAAATACTATATTAAAGGAAACAAACCTTTAAAGAAAATCAATCTTCCTAATTTATATTGACATTAAAAACATCTGATTACAAAAATTCCCTTTGCCAGTTATTTTTTATTTAAAAATCTTAAATTTAAGACATGACATTTATTTTTTTTTTAACTGCTTGGAGTAAAGCAGAGTATGCATAAAAAGTTTGTGACACAAGACGTTTGTATTTTAATGTTTAGTTTTAAAATATGTTTGATTTCTCAGTAGTATGAAATATTACCTATCTCAGTACTATTATTTTATTTAATTTATGATCATTCTTTATTCTTTCTCTAATAGAAATAGCTGTTTGTAATGGTTTTGAATTCAATGATAAAGATCATGCACAACATTTGTTAGTTGTTCAGTAGACGTAAATGATTTCAAGCAAAGTAATTCTCTATATGGTTATTCTTTATTTTGAGTGTATCAGCTTTCAATATGTCTTTATAAAATATATTTCATTATGTTTATACATTTTACTTTTCATCAACAGCATTGATATAACACAGACAGTGAAAAAAGTACAGAAGTGGGCATCATCAGCTACAAATTATATCGACAGTGAGGATGCTTTGCTTGTAGAACAGGTATTTAGAGTTCAATCAAAATTGATAATTGGTTATACAAATTGCATTGTCTTTTTTTTTTATAATCTTTATTATTTATAACTTCCAATTTACAACATAATATACACTGTAGCTTAGTATTTTTTGTGACAACAAATGGTAGTTTATAAATTTTTTTCCAATGATTTTTATCAAAGCCAAAACTTTGCATTGTCATTTTGTTGTACATGAAATTAGTATTATCTGGAGTACACAAAATCAGCAATTTACATTATATATTGAGGATTTTTCACATATATAGTAAATACCTATCTAATATGGATGTGGTTTTGTATGCTATGTTGACAAACATTCAGATATATCTTATTTTATATAAGCATGTATTGTTAAAGGTGTTTCAAAAGTTAACATCAGATTTAATGCAAAAATATTATCAGAGACGATAACTTCTGTTACCAAAGTTAATATGTTTGCTGTCATACTGTAGAAGAAGTTATAGTATAAATTTTTGTTAGTCGACTTTCAGATATATTTTTACATACTGTGGATTCATGGATTTTCTTGGATATCAGTTTTTGAGAATAGAGGAAAACTTGTATTTTTGAGGATATTTGATTTTGTGGTGTTGCCAAAGTCTGCTGAAAAGCCTATAAAATATATGTACTTCTTTGATCTTTTGAATTCATAGTTTTCCTATACCCACAAAATCCATGAAAAATTGGTATATCATGAAGAACAATGAATCCACATAAGGTATCTAGTAATAATTAATAGATAATTTATTCTAATGCAAGGTAGAAAAATTGTATAGCTCATTATTCTTTAATTTTATGCAGGTATCTCAATATCATTCTAAAATGGTTCTCTGGATGGTCCAGATGTTATTACGATTAGCTCCAGACTTGGAGGGGAACTCTAAGGAAGCAGCAGAGATGGCACTCATTGCTAGTTTACCACTTAATGAACTACATTCCAATATAAAGGTTTTGATAGAGCAGTTAGAAGATTTCTCCAGATATGTTGCCTTGTAAGGATTTGTGCTGTGGTCTTGTATATTTGTGTTGATTTTCTTGTTCTGACCATTTTTGTAACATTCATTCTTGATCTTTCTTATAGAACTAACTTAATTTAAAATGGTAAAGTTTTATGGATGAACATCTCATTATTTGATTTTAAAAATGGTCAGACAAGAATTTGTATGTAGATATATATATATATATAAGTGTACGTCTAAACAAGTGACAACTCTATGACAGATCCATCCATTGGATCACCAGTGAAGGTGATACACGGCTGAAAACACATATTATATTGATAATTAGTCTTAATATCAGCACTACAATGTTAAATCTGCAAATTTGCTTGCAAATTTTTGTTCTACCCTCGCTGGGATTCGAACTCATGCAATTGGAATATTGAGACAACACTGCCTGCACTGTGTCCAGCACTCTTGACCACTCGGCCACCTAGACTGAACATGAGTTCGAATCCCGGCGAGGGAAGAACAAAAAATTTGCTTCCGCAAATTTGCAGATTTAACATTGTTGTGCTGATATTTATATATATGTTTTCAATTTAGACTTGTATATATATATATATATATATATAAACGCCTAAAAAGTGTACACAACAACACCAATAACAAAAAAAGGAACTATAAATGTAATTATTTATAAATATTTCGGATAACAATTTAAAATCCCTCTCAGTCGACATTTGAGATCCCCTGGCCACACTAAGGCAGATCTCAATCGACTGACCATTACAATCATTGACCACAACTCTGCTTGGTCTAGGGAGGATAGACTCACTTGGGAAAGATTTTGGATAAGAAAATTAACAACTTTGGCACCAAATGGGATAAATGAAAAGATGTAGTTAGACTCCATGCAGTGCTTCACATTTGGGTTATATTACTTTTTATTACAGTCTCTGTTTCTATTTCTTTACCTTACTCATCTCTAAAATAAATCTGTTGAATATACCAATTTAAATTGCTTAATTTTTTGAGGGATGTAAAAGTACCAAGCCACGTTCAACTAGTTAACCTTAGTCAAAACTTATTATTATATTTTAACGGCCGTTTGTTTGCGATGTTTAAATACGCAGACTCTGTTGCAACTACTCTACCGTTGTCAAATTTGAAATATTTACAAATTTAGATCGTTCAGTGCTGTTTATTTGGAATTCTTATTGACGCAATCGTTCTTGTAACATCATAACTGTCGTCACCGTTAAAGCTTTAGAATTGTGCTAGTTCATATCGCACATTATTATTTTTATTTAAAGCATATATTTGAACTCTCTGTTGTAATTAGTCATATAACCTATGTCGTGTTTAACACATATTTAGAATTGTGCAAGCGTCTTACCTGATGTTTGGTTTGACATTTTTATTATATAAATTTCAAGATTGGTATAGTTTAATCTAAGTAGACTGATATATGATTCATTCAACATCACAATCATATTTACTGATGAAGGATATCTGTTATCCGAAATATTTATAAATAATTACATTTATAGTTCCTTTTTAGCTCACCTGACCTGAAAGGTCAAGTGAGCTTTTCTCATCACTTTGCGTCCGTCGTCCGTCGTCCTGCGTCCGTCGTCCGTCGTCCGTAAACTTTTACAAAAATCTTCTCCTCTGAAATTACTTGGCCAAATTTAACCAAACTTGGCCACAATCATCATTGGGGTATCTAGTTTAAAAAATGTGTCCGGTGACTTGGCCAACCAACCAAGATGGCCGCCATGGCTAAAATAGAACATAGGGGTAAAATGTAGATTTTGGCTTATATCTCTGAAACCAAAGCATTTAGAGCAAATCTGACGGGGTAAAATTGTTTATCAGGTCAAGATCTATCTGCCCTGAAATTTTCAGATGAATCCGACAACCCTTTGTTGGGTTGCTGCCCCTGAATTGGTAATTTAATGGAAATTTTGCCGTTTTTGGTTATTATCTTGAATATTATTATAGATAGAGGTAAACTGCAAACAGCAATAATGTTCAGCAAAGTAAGATCTACAAATAAGTCAACTTGACCAAAATGGTCAGTTGACCCCTTAAGGAGTTATTGCCCTTTATAGTCAATTTTTAACCATTTTTCATAAATTTTTGTAATCTTTTACAAAAATCTTCTCCTCTGAAACTACTTGGCCAAATCTAACCAAACTTGGCCACAATCATCATTAGGGTATCTAGTTTAAAAAATGTGTCCGATGACCCAGCCAACCAACCAAGATGGCCGCCATGGCTAAAAATAGAACATAGGGTTAAAATGTAGATTTTGGCTTATATCTCTGAAACCAAAGCATTTAGAGCAAATCTGATATTGGGTAAAATTGTTTATCAGGTCAAGATCTATCTGCCCTGAAATTTTCAGATGAATCGGACAACGCGTTGTTGGGTTGCTGCCCTTGAATTCGAATTTAAAGGAAATTTTGCCGTTTTTGGTTATTATCTTGAATATTATTATAGATAGAGATAAACTGTAAACAGCAATAATGTTTAGCAAAGTAAGATCTACAAATAAGTCAATTGACCAAAATGGTCAGTTGACCCCTTAAGGAGTTATTGCCCTTTATTGTCAATTTTTAACCATTTTTCGTAAATTTTTGTAATCTTTTACAAAAATCTTTTCCTCTGAAACTACTAAAACAAATTTATCCAAACTTGTCCACAATCATCATTACGGTATCTAGTTTAAAAAATGTGTCCGATGCCCCTGCCCGCGAACCAAGATGGCCGACATGGCTAAAAAATAGTACATAGGGTAAAATGCAGTTTTTGGCTCATATCTCTGAAACCAAAGCATTTAGAGCAAATCTGACGAGGATAAAATTGTTCATTAGGTCAAGATCTATCTGCCCTGAAATTTTCAGACCAATCAGGCAACATGTTGTTCGGTTGCTGCCCCTGAATTGGTAATTTTAAGAAAATTTTGCAGCTTTTGGTTATTATCTTGAATATTATTATAGATAGAGATAAACTGTAAACAGCAATAATGTACAGCTAAGTAAGATCTACAAATAAGTCAACATGACGAAAATTGTCAATTGACCCCTTAAGGAGTTATTGCCCTTTATATTCAATTTTTTACAATTTTCATAAATTTTGTAAATTTTTGTAAATTTTTACAAAATATTTTCCACTGTAACTACTGGGCCAAGTTCATTATAGATAGACATAATTGTAAGCAGCAAGAATGTTCAGTAAAGGAAGATCTACAAACACATCACCATCACCAAAACACAATTTTGTCATGAATCCATCTATGTCCTTTGTTTAATATGCACATAGACCAAGGTGAGCGACACAGGCTCTTTAGAGCCCCTAGTTTTGTTATTGGTGTTGTTGTGTACACTTTTTAGGCGTTTATATAATTTATTTATTGTGTACGTGTATCGTTACTCATAACGATCCAGCGCCCTCGTGGGAAAAATCGTTGACTATTATTCAGACGTTTTATATATATATATATATACATATCATGCTCTTTCTGTCTAGCATTCTGTAGCTTGCTCTGTAACAATAGTAAAGATTATTATATATATTAATACAGACAAATTCTGTTTTTCCTTTAAAAGTATTTTTTACAAGAAGTAGACATTCTTGTATTTTTTGCCTACTTTTGCTTTTAGCTTGCATACATCTAACTTTTCACTGTACTAATACCATTCCTTTCTTGTCAATTCATTTTAATATCACTGTAATCTCTCACATCAAAATGAAAACATGAATATTTTTGTAAAATTGTTATATACTCACTTTACTACTTTTTCTTTACATATCTGATGAATTATCAGTGCATTACATTTGTGCGCAGCTTTTAATTACATTTGTGCTCATTCATTGTACGGGTAAACACAGATAAATTTAGGTAAACACAGGTAAATAATACTGGTCTATTTATTTTAAGTTTTTACAAGTAATCCCTCCGTTAGTCTGAGTCCTCTGTTCACCAACATGGAGACTGAAGTGGGAGTTCTAGCAGGATAAGTCTGTTTTATTATGCAGAAGCAATAAGTCTGAAGATCGCCTAAAATTTCTGATTTTTGTATCGGTGCGTGCTGAATATTTGAAACCTACTGCTTTAAGAAAATAAATTCAGTCATCTGTTCCATTTTGGTATTTTCGGAATTGCTCCATCAGAAATTCTGTTTCTCTTCCTTTACTTCTACTTGCAAATGCTGGTGTATCACCCCTTTATGTTTGGAAACACAATACTTCCCTTGGCAATATTCTCAATTAATTACATGTATGCCTTACGAGATTATGAGATTTTATATGATCACTCATATATATATTTTTTTTAATAAATATGATAAATATGTTCAAAGTTAATAACTATTTATTGACATATTTGTTATGAATTATCTGTATATTTACCTGTATTATCTGTAAAATGAATTGCACAAAGGTAAAAAAAAGCTGCAAGCAAACGTGAAATAAATTGTAATCCCAAAACATGCCAAATGCATGCAAATTTAATGCACCCTGAATTGTACAATTCTGCAGTTGAAAAAAAAACCCATTCATTTATCTAGTATGGAGGGGTGTGGCAATGTTTCAGAGTAAAAATAAACAAAAATAACTATCATGCAAAAATATTCATGTTTACAGTATATGTTTCATTCCTGCATCAACTGTGCCCACAAAACTTGAGGAAGAAATGATATTGATAAAATTGATAACTGATGCATGTATATGTTCATTTAAGAGATTTTCAAACCAAATCAAATGTACAGAGAAAATGCTTTGTGATATTTTAGGTTAGATTAGCTAGTACAATTATTTCTCAAGTGTAGGGCACAGTTTTACTAACCTTGTCTTGTGCACCATTTGTAGATTAGTAGGACGTAGTTTGTTTGAAATCAATAAAGTAGACTCATTATTTGCTATGGCTAAAGAGTATGTGGAAGAGTAAGTGTTTTGTTTAGAAAGGTAAATATGAAGTCAAGGGGAGATAATTCTATAGTTATCACCCTTTAGCTTTGAAATTGATGCTTCAAGCTTTTCTATAGTCCACACTTTATTTAAATAAAGATTATATAGAAAATATGAAATAGATTTTATTAATGAATATTTAAGCATGAAGATGAGTTCTGCAAATTTTGCTTGAATACCAATAGATGATAGGGAAAATATGCAAAAACTCATTCAGATAACATCTTTTAATAGATTACCAGTATATATAGAAAGAATCTCTATTAAATAGTTGTGTGGACTGTTAATTTTTATCATTTATTTTATATTTTACATACAGACTTTCTGTATATTTTATCTTTTGTTCTGTATCACAATCATCAAAATTATGTATTGTTTTAACTATGTAAACCTAATCGTATATAGTCAACTACTTCTTTAAGACAAAACAGGATTGGACTGAAATATTTCATGTCCCACTTTTGTATGGAAGGCACATATTTGACCCAATATTTAGTGCAAATTTATATGTTGCCTTACATGATCTTTAATTACACTAATTAACTTGACTAAGGTAAAAGGTTTTTAGAAAATATAAAAAAAATTCACATTTTAGGAGTTTACATGGCAACAAACAATGACAAATTTAGATATTTTGTAAAATCCTTGATTTTCTCTGTTTTGTGTCAACTTTTGAAAATATATACTGCACTAGAAAAGTATGAGACACCAAATTAACAACTTTACATTTGATGACAATATGTAGATAGCTATAAAAAAAGTTTCTCTAAAAATACTTTTTTTTTTGCTGCACCAATATTCCAAAAAATGAATATTGATGGAAAAACTGCAGAAAATCATACTGACTTTGACCCCTTTGACAGTAAAACAATTGATTTTTTCTGATATGTGTACTGTGCATAACTTTTGTACCATAGCAATTAGGTTGACAAACTTTATATGCAGATGCACAATGGGATCAGGATGTGTCAATTACCAAAATCAGGTCACTTTGACCATAGCCTTGACCCTTGATAGTTATTTGTGTTAAGGGCATAACCGTTCTCTGGAGAACTTAGGTTAATCAAACAACTCCAAGTAAGTGTGCTAATGCATTATGGGAAGGTGATTTGTAAGTAAGATAAGGTCATTGTGGTATGTGGGTATTACTCCCACTATGTGGAGAGCTTTTAGGTTTTGTTTATTTTAGGTTCTTTATAATTTACTACATTCATTTTATCTTACAATTTAAGTGTTTTGAGTTTTATTTAAGCTCAGTTGTTAACTATAGATTATACTTTACAATTTTTATTGACCAAAGAGATAAATGTTGAACATTCATATAAACCATGTAACTGTATTTTGATATTTCTGAAGTTGACTATGATTTTTATTTCAACATCAAATCAATACATTTCAAGTCATTTGTAAAATTGGAGATAATTTTGTTTTTATCAGGTGCTGTACAGGAATCGTTATGGAAAATACAGAACAAAGAAGGAATAACAATGAGGATAATCCTGAACATGAACTGAAAGATATGAATGGACTTAGGGTAAGATAATGGACAAAAGATAAGTTAGTAACAATAATTATTAACTTTGAATTGACTTAGAATATGTTAATAATCCTGAACATGAACTCAAAAGATATGATTAGACTCTCAAAGTCAGTGAAACTGACCTTAGCTCTTGTTTTTGCAAAAAAGGATGCAAAAATGAAAGTGTCCATACAAAACTGAAATTGAGAATGGAAACAGGGAATGTGACAAAGAGACAACAACCCGACCAAAGAGCAGAAAACAGCCCAAGGCCACCAAAGGGTCTTCAACACAGCGAGAAAATCCCGCACCTGGAGGCAGGCTTCAGCTGGCCCCTAAACAAAAATGTGTACTAGTTCAGAGAAAATGTTTTAACAACAGAATTATAATGGTGTTCAGGAAAAAAAAGGGAAGCTTACACCTGCATTAAAGTGTTAAGGTATGAGAAATTGGTTAAAACTGCACATAGAATTTCCTTGATTTTCCATGTACTTTTGTTGTTTTTCTCTTGTTGAAACTGGACAATTTTGAGAAATTTCAAGAAACAACATATATTCTTTTCAATAATTGAACCTTGTTGAGTCAAAGTCAACAGGTCCTAACATGATTATTTCATTTATACATTTAGAGTTACGGTACAAGACCACACATCAAGGTTTACTTTTATCAGAAACATAAAATACTGGTTTGCTACAAATATGTGAATTCTCATTAACTTTAAGAACAAGAGATTTATTGAATAAATGACCATTTCATTTTAGCGTGAGTGTAAAGATTGGATGAATACAGCCAAGATTCTGACCAGTCAGCTATTAGAGGAACCACTAGATACTTTGTTCCCTCGCCCAGTATCTCTGGATGACAATGTGCCAGAAAAGCGTAAAGATTCACAGGATGATTATAAATCCTATCATGATCAAGAAAAATTACAAACTGAGGCTGCTACAAAGGTAGATTACTCTTAAGGAGGTCAATTTTTATTTCTTTAATTTTTTATTTTGATGGAAGTAAATGCATAAATTTCTGGTTATCAAAACATTTTACACATAGTCAATGGAATATTACACTGTGATTTTTTGCTGATTGAATTTTAAAAACATGAATAATTAAGGAATGTTTTTTTATATTCATTATAAAGTACTTATTATTCTTAATCCATTGGCTATGTCTGTTTATTTTTTAGCCTAGGGAAACTGTCAGTCCAACAGACACAGAAGAGAAAAAGGTATGTAAAATGTGTCCACTTAAGGAGTACATTCATAGATTATTGATTGAAACTTTACTGCAAGTGTATGGATGTGAGTACTGACTGTTACTCCTGTATAGATTAACAACTTTATATTTCAAAATTGACAAAATTAAATATTGACCTCAGAGTGGCTTGAGAAAAAAAGGTGATAACCTATGTACAAGTAAAAAAAAATACTTATATATTAAAGGTATACATAGTGTATCATCTCATAATCCAAAGCAAAAGATTACTTAATTTCTGGTCTTCATTAGTATATTAATTACTTAAAATATTGATGTTATATTAAATCTGAAAAAATGTGAAATTAAGGGATTATATTTGATTGTGTATTTTCTTTTTTATCTTACAAGGAACCAGTACAACAACCTACTGCTCCTCCACCTGAACCACAACAACAACAACAACAACAACAACAAGTACCAGAAAAGAAAGAAGACATGATGGAGGTCATAGGTCGTGATGATAATACACATAAACAGACATTGGAACATAGTACAGATGCTGTAAGTCACCATGACAACTATATTTACATTTAAGGATACAAGGCTAAAATATTTTTGAATTATAATTACAATTGAATGTCTAGGTCAAAAGTTTGTATTACAATTACAGAATTATTTTGCCTGTGTAGGAATTCAACTAGTGACTTTATGAAATGGGTTTATGATGAGTTAAGCCTCTTTCAACTGATTTTTCTCTCGCCTTGACGGAGTCAAAAAGCGAGACATAGGTATGCTGTTTCCGGCAGCGACGGCGGTGGTGTCAAAAATCTATTAGTTTGTGATTAGGTCTAGTTCATGGTGAACCACTAGTGGTAGGTCAATGATATTTGGTATGCAGTTGTATTAGCATTGGCACATCTCATTACCATGGAGATTATTTGGCCCCGCCCCCTCAGTCAAGGTCTATTGACTTTGAAACCTTTCATAGTTTACATGTATTAGTTTGTGATTAGGTCAATTTATGGTGAACCACTAATGGTAGGTCAATGATATTTGGTATGCAGTTGTATAAGCATTGGAATATCTCATTTCCATGGAGATTATTTGGCTCTGCCCCCTTAGTCATGGTCTATAGACTTTGAAAATTTTGCTAAGTTAACATGTATTAGTTTGTGATTAGGTCAGTTCAAGGGGAACCATGAGTGGTAGGCCAATGTTAATTGGTGTTCAGTTGTATAAGCATTAGCACATCTCATTTCCATGAAAAATATTTGGCCCCACCTCCTCAGTCATGGTCTATTTACTTTGAAACTTTTGCTTAGTTTACATGTATTAGTTTGTGATTAGATCAGTTTCAGATGAACTGCTAATGTTAAGTCAGTGATATTTGGTATGCAAACTTATTGGCATTTGTAAGTATCGTTTCCATGGAGATTATATAGCCCCACCCCTGATCATGGTTCATTGACTTTGAAACTTTTACATAGTTTACAAGTTAATGTTTGTGTTTAGGTTTAAAGGGAATGACTTATAATAAGTCAATGGTATTTTGGTATGCAGTTGTATTAGCATTGGCACATCTCATTCCATGGAGATTGTTTAACCATGTACCTTCCGTCATGGTTCATCAACTTAAAATATTTTTTTTGCATAACTTACATGTTAAAGTATTGCTATTTTAATTTCAACATTTGCATTATCAAAATTACAAAAAGGCGAGACATATCTCTGTGATAACAGTTTATTATAGTTCGTTCTTATGTTGTACTGTTACACCACTGTCCCAGGTTAGGGGGAGGGTTGGGATCCCGCTAACATGTTTAACCCGCCACATTCTGTATGTATGTGCCTTTCCCAAGTCAGGAGCCTGTAATTCAGTGGTTGTCGTTTGTTTATATGTTAAATATTTGTTTTTTATTCATTTTTTGTACATAAATTACGCCGTTAGTTTTCTCGTTTGAATTGTTTTACATTGTCATTTTGGGGCCTTTTATAGCTGACTGTGCAGTATGGGCTTTGCTCATTGTTGAAGGCCGTACGGTGACCTATAGTTGTTAATTTCTGTGTCATTTGGTCTCTTGTGGAGAGTTGTCTCATTGGCAATCATACCACATCTTCGTTTTTATATAATACATGTAGAAATTGAAAAAAAAAAATTTCAACACAGACAAATGAAATAAGACGTAACATAAACCATTGGAATTATTTGTGAAAAATCTTAGAATAATAACAAATGAGTAGTTCATCAATATTACACATAGAATTCTACACACTAACACAGTGAAGATTGAACAACATGTCAATATCAATACATTTCTGAACTCAATGAAAACTGATGCTGTGAACAAAGTTAGGTTTTGTGATTAGGTCAGTTTAGAACTAATGTAGATCTGATATTTTAGCAATTTCACCAGAAAGTAGTGTTTGAATTTTAATTTGTTGAATTGTTTCACTTTATGTCAATACCCTGTTTAGGAACTTACTGATATACATCGATAGATTAGTTGTAAGTTGGTGTAACTTATGTAAAATATATATTGATTTCACATATGAAATTTGAGATCTTTAAGCTTTCCAATTCTTAAAAGGATGAAAGAAATACAAATAAATATTGTGAGTACAAATAATGTAAGGTTGTGATGGAACACACTTTATAATTGCCATTGTTTAATAGATACCTGCTCTATTTGTTAATTGTTAGAACTATTGATAATTGTCTTTACAGCCACCTACTCAGTCAACAGCTGCAGTGTTACATAGAATGCCTGGTGTCCCTGATCCACAGAAATCTTTTGAGGCCTTATCTGCTGTGGACTCACTACAGACCCAATTGATGTAAATTATTAGATCATTAGATTATTGTTAAAGTACTTGTTTACAATTTATCTAAGAAACGTCAGGATAATATCCACATTTATATATTCACATTACAATCATGAAATGTCATGAAGGTTGAAATAAGAGAGGAAACTGTAATAAAATTATGACTTAATCTGAAAAAAAAACACCTTTTTTTTAGGTCCCACAAAATCATGTTGAAGCATGAAATAGTTGAGTTATCGTTGGTTGATTTTATTTTCTATTTGTTCTGTTAAAACATAGCAGTGTGTCCATGTGACATATGATGGGAATTGATTGAAGCAATATTTGAATGGAATCCATATACTTGGTTTTATTTTGCTGTTTTTACAGTCTTAAATGAAGAGCTATTCTTAAACTTCAATTAATTGTACTAATCTTCACAGTTTGACAAGAAGTGTAAAATTAAGACAAAAATGAGAAAAAGCATGACATAGAAATGTAAAAATTATCTAAAGGTAGAGATAAATGCATTATATTTAATTATATTTTTTTACAGAGCCACAGAACAAAGGGCTCAAGAATCTGAAGAAAGATCAGCCAACTTAGAAGTTGAATTAGCAGCTAGTCAGGAGAAGTTGCGTGAGTTAGAAAAACGTCTGGCTAAACTAGAACAGGGTGAAGCTGTACCAACAGAGGAGAGTACTGCCAGTGCTCCACAGAAAGTAGAATCTGTTTCTCCACCTAAAACACCTAGTAAGGAGAAATCGGATGCTAAAGAGGACAAAAAGAGGCCTGAGTCAACAGCATCTAAATCTAGTTCTAAGTCAAGTAAATCTAGAAAGAAGTAATTTATGGATGAAACTGTATGTCACCTGAAGTTACAGAGTTTTATTTGGCACAGAATATAATTTTATGCATGTTATACCTTATAAACTGTAATGAAGTTTTCAAGTTAATCCTTGACATTCTCAAACGGAGGTATTGGTTAGGTATGAGAAAATAGTATATGTAGGTATCTGAAGGTGTATAACTTCACAAATGTACTACCTGGCATCTGTAGCATTTTATAAAAGATAAAACAGATATTTTAAAATATATTAACAAATTATGATAGTTGGATAAATTGTCTGTTTTATTACATACTATTTTTACGATTTCATTGTGATGTTTATTAAACCTTATTCCGTCCAAGTACTTTGTTTTTATCAGAAATGAAAGATTACATATACTTAAAACGTAAAAAATTGTCTTGCATTTGAAAATTTTCTTGTTTGTTTTTTTTTTTTTATAATCTTAAATTTTACTGCTGATTGTTGTTATATGAGAAAAAAAAGCTGAAAGAGTTTGTTAAATTTTAATACATTTGTACAATTATTTTTATTTAAAATTATGAAATGACTGTGATACTAGTTTTACTTATTTTATGATGATTGATTTATGTATTTAATAAATATCTTTTTGACAAAATTTTGTTTGACTGCTTTTTTAACAGGATGAGTAGAATGATTGCCATTTTATACTGTTGGTATTTATTTTTACCTGCATCGCCAAGGGCGAAAGCAGGTCTAGCTCCCTGTCAGTCCGTCTTGACTTCTATGAAAGGGAACGATTTAATATTTGGTCTGCAGCTTTAAAATGTTGAGTTGTAGCGAGTGAGCAATTTTGACATCTGCTTTGTGGCCACTTCCAGTTTGGCAATAAGCTTAAAATTTTACAACACTCATTGTACAAGGAAAATTTTTTGTCAAAGTTTTCTTGGCTTCAGAGAAAGGGAATGGTAAGCTATGCTCCAGTATACATGTTACCTCAATCAATAGCATGCAACGACACAGGTCCAGACCAGATATTGGTCTTGTTTATTATGTTCATTGCTAATATTTTGAGGAGTATCTTGCTATCTTTTTGTTGGTCTGTACATCTGAAACATGTGGTTTATAAAATAATAATTTGAATACATTATAGAAGGACCTCACAACTTTGCACATTAACCAAATGCCATGAAACCAAGTCAAGGTCCATTATTAACTGTTGAAACAATCATAATTCCAGAGTTATGCCTTTGCACCATCACAAATTAGTAAAATTTATGTTTTCCGTAGGTAACTTAATTTTGCATACAAGAAGGGCCTTACAACTTTCAAACATTACTGTTATACATAAAGGTAAATTCAGGCAAAGCTCTATTTTCTCATTGTCTGCAATTATTGTTTTGGGTTATATTCTTTCAAGATGAAACAAGGAATGAGCTGTCAAATTGACAGCAAACTGGGTTTCTGTACCGGTATTTCAAAAGGCGCCTTTTTGACCAGCTACATTCTATGTCTATTCGAATCTATTAATTAAGAACAATAACTCCTGAATGGCAAAAAAAAAATGTTGTCAATATTGAGCACCATTTTGTCATAAAAACCAGCATATAAAAATTTTAAGAACATTGGTTGAACAGTTCATAAGATATTGCATGGAAACAACTTAAAGTGCCATTTTTCAATCTACCAAGAACTATTACTTCTGTAGGGCAAAAGTGAAAATCCTCAATATCGAACTTGGCCTCCATTTTTTCATCAGTAACAACATTTTAAAATTTAAAAAGCATTGGTCAAGTGGTTCATCAGTAAATGCATGGAATCAATATAAAGTGCCATTTACCAATAGATCAAGGACAACTCCTGATCAGTCAAAGTGAAAATCATCAAATATTGACCTGTACCTCCATTTTGTCATCAGTAACAACATATTATAATTTGAAAACCATTGGTGAAAGATTCACAAGTTATTTAAGGAAAGTCTTAAAGTGCCATTTTCCAATATATCAAGGACCATAACTTCTGAACTACAAGTGAAAATGGTCAATATCCAACTTGACCTCCATTTTGTCATAACATCAACATAAATTCGAAAAGCATTGGTTGAACGGTTCATAAGTTATTGCATGGAAAATGTTGGCAGCCACCCATCCATCAACTGTTATTTTCAATGTCAGAAACAATTACATATAGTTTCAGGTACCATGTTGCCATTATCTATAAGCATTAGGTCAACTATATTTGGTGTATGGAATGATTGTATGGTGTATGTTTCGGACTGGCAGTTTTCATTTCACAGATACAATAAGCAATAGGTCCATTGTATTTTGTGTATGGAATGATTGTAAGATGAACATGTCTGTCTGGCAGGTTTCATATGGCCTTGACCTCATTTTCATGGTTCATTGGTCAATGTAAAGATTTTGTGGTTTGATCTGTTTCTCAGGTACTTTAAGCAATAGGACCACTTTAATTTGTTTAAGGAATGATTGCAATGTGTACATGTTTTTTCTAGCACGGTTCATCTGACAGTGACATCATTTTCATGGATCATTGATAATGTTAAGTCTATGTGATACTTGTAAAAAAACTTCATATAACACTTTCAACATAACTTTGACATGTAAAGCTGGCAAGACATTTTTGTGTGTGCACTCTTGTGTAGTTCGGGTCTATTTCTCAGATACTATAAGCAATATGGCCACTATATTAGGTGTATGGAATGATTGTAATTTGTACATGTCTGTCTGGTATGGTTCATCTGACCTTGTCCTTATTTTCATTGTTTATTGGTCAATGTTAAGTTTTCATGATCATGAAGATTAGGTCTGTTTCTCAGATACTATAAACAATAGGTCAACTATATCTATTGTATGGAATGATTCCATGGTGTACATGTCCGACTAGCAGTTTTGATCTGACATGGGCCTTATTTTCATGGTTCATTGGTCAACTTTTTTGTTTCAGTCTGTTTGTTAGATACTATAAGCAATAGATCAGCTGTATTTGGTGTCTGGTATGATTGTAAGGTGTTCATTTCTGTCTGGCAGGTTTCATCTGACCTTGACCTCATTTTCATGGTTCAAAGGTCAATGTTTTGTTATGTCTGGGCTATTTATAGCTTGCTACAAGGTTTGGGTTTTCCTCATTGTTGAAGGCTGTACAGTGACCTATAATTGCTAATATCTACATCCTTAGGTCTCTGATGGATATTTGTCTCATTGTAATTTTTTGTTAATCCTAAATGTTGTAAACAATTAAAGCAATAAAGAGAATCATCAAATAAACCATAATAACAAGATGGAAGAGAATTACTTCAACTTAAAAGTAAAATCTTCATTTGAATTCTCCTGGTAAAGGAATGTCTATAAAAGGGTGCAAATTTGTATGTCTAAGAAACTTTACTATGATTCTTTGAATTTGTTCTGCAGTTTGGAGCATTTTTTTTAAATGGTTTTGATGATAACTTCTAGAGGGTATATAGGAGTAAGGTATTTTGCAACATTAAAAGTAAATCTAAATAATTATATTTTTTAATTTTCTTAAAAAAGTTACTGTGTATACATGTAGATCATTCTCTAAAATAAGTAAGAGAATGTATATAACAATACTATGTATAAACTACAAGATTCCATTACATGGAATTATCACAAGTCTGATCAATGTAAGTACATGCTTAAAGCCATTCATTTGTACAGTCAGTGGGTAATATCACTCAAACAGGCAGACACATTTGAATACTAAAATATAGGGATTTATAATATTCACATAGAAAGTCAGATATACTACTCAGACACGTTCATAATCTCTAAAACACATACACAAATCAGACACAACGTCAATTACACATGGGTTTGTCAAATAATTTCTGAAATTCTGTTCACTTATGAAAGCAGAAAAATTGGCACTTAAAGTAACTTTGTCACAACTACGTAATTTACTCATGCATTTTTACTGTGATTTAGATTTCAATGTCCTCCAAACATACAAAAGAATTTAGCACTAATCGATGTGTTACAAGTTAGTAGACATTCACACTCTAATCAACAACAGGGACTGTAAGCCATGCAAATATTCTAATTGACCCAAATTGGGATAATAACACATCCATTTGAGCAAAAAATGATGTCATATCTTTCTGAAAACACTCATAAATTGAAGAAAAAAAAAACATTTACTCAGCATACTATACTTTTAAATTTACATGGATTTCTGTCACTTTACAAATGTTGGAAAATTGTAGGCTTTTCCAGCTAGAATAGTTCAAGCATACATTTTTATAAAATATACCTGTTAGTTGAAATACAGAGAGGCAGAAAAGAGGTGAAAACTACAAGTAATCATAAAACATGCTGAAATGTATAAATAGCACTGTCAATATCAGTTTCATGTACAATAAAATATATAAATGTTTATTATTTATACACAATTTCTTTCTTAAAATAACAGGTATGAATACATAACAAAAATACAAAATATGGCTCTTTGCCAAAATTGCAGATCTGAAGTATCTTTTGGAGCCTTCCTTGGCAACCATACGTATAGCTTATACTTGTGCACCAAATGTACATTTGTTAATTAAAAGCAAATGTATGCTCTCTGCTGGCAATTGGATTGTACTTGTTACTGGTTGAAAAGTATCTTCTGGGTAAGTATAATTTTTTAGAGTAAAATGCCAAAAATATGAACTTTCCATACATTTATCAGTACTTCATTTATTTCAAATGTGTTTTTCTTCAAAAGTAATTTAATATTATTGATATTAGCCAACTATGAAATACAATTCAGTTTACATCAGTTAATCATATTTTCTGCAGTTTCCTCCATTAAATAAAATTATAATTTTTCTGTCATTAAAGGTATTGTGAAATTTTGCAAAGAATGAAATCAAATCTTGTTACACCCTTTTTCAGACTTTTTATCTAGAGCAAGACAAGGATATGACAAATGTAAAGATGAAAAAAAAAATATCTTCACAACCTAATAACAACAATGACTTCAAGTTAATTGAAGAATTCTTATCAAGTTCTATATAGTAATCTTTATACTTTGAATATGCATGGCAGTTTTGATATTACACAAAAAAAATAACATTGCAAGCATGTATCCATTAAACATCTGTACTTTACTGTAGGTTAAAATGGAAGAATTATAGTTTTACATACATCATTCAAATATCTGCAACATTATTCAAAAACAGTCATCATTCACTTTCTAGCATAACAATTATCAACACTCCACATTCAATGAACTATGTCAGGTTTTTAGGTCTATTTTTTACACTCCTTATGGCTGACTAGATCTGAATATCTGAACACGTCAGTATTAGTAAAACTCACAACTTGTACATGAACACAATCATTAATGGAAGCACTAAATTTTCTCCCTCATAATCAACTTTAAGCAATTAGATTGACTTCATATGAAGGTGGAATAATTGTTTTTTATTGTAGATTGTCTCGTAGTAGATAACATCTGTACACAGTACAACATATTTTTACTCCAGTTATGGAGATCCATGCTCGTCTCTTTGATTAGACCTAGGGACCCAGTCTCACAATGTTCCACTGGAAGATTACCCTACATCACATCTCAGGTTTTATTGTATCCTGTAGAATAACAGGTTTGATTTAATACTAATTTTGAGCCAGACTGCATTCAATAAGTGCTAAACTGGTGGCCCATTAACTCCTGGATGTAAGAAAGAACATGTATTTCCACGACGACAACCTCCTGCTGCAAAATGTCTGCATATATCTCTGTTTGTTGGTCCTGAAAAAAAAAACATTGAATACAAAATTACAGATTTTCCTGAAGTATCTTTGTTAAACTTCAAGATAAAAAGATATAGTGATCACAGAACACAAATATTGATAATGCCATCACTTTCCTACATCCTTGCTGTACAATTTTCCCTACAATACTGCATTTTTCTTATCACAATACATAACATGTACATATAAATTTCTCAGTCATAGGGAAAACATGAAACATTCAGGGACAGTGCTGGGCTTTGCCTTTTGCCAAATGAGATTTTAAATTTCATCTGGCAACAAAATACAGCTTCTGGCAATATTTCTGGTGTCACTATAAAAGAGTGATACTCTGCACAAATTTTATGAATCTGGTGACATAAAAATGGTGCTTGAGATTTTTTGGGGCAAGCCCAGTCCCTGAATATTTGCTATCATTAATGTCAATTTTTTTCTTATACATATTCCATGAAGAAAGAGAATGGCACATTGGCAAAAGACTGCATCATCTTTTTCTTTACAGCATCATAATATATAAATAGATATCTGATGGTTTAAAGAAATCATATTAAACTGTACACTTTCTAAATGTAACCGTGGATAGCAATTAAAATATGCAATATATCTAAAATGTCCGAAAATATAAACTTCATTTGTATTTAGAAATAGGAAGAAAATCGATGCTCACCAATTTTTTCCTGTTTAATAGCTAGTACAAATAACTTATATATTCTTTTATATTGTACAAATACTGTTTCTCAAGTAATGAAATATTTACAAACATGTAATTTGCTTTGGTCCAGACTGTAAGAAAAGTGGACCTCTAAAATGTACTGTGAGGTAAACTTTAATTTAAATATTACCAGTCACTCACCATGGAATCATGATAACAGAAAATGATATTTGTACACTATAAAATAACTCATTAGTTTATTTGTACACCTATATTTGTATGTAGTAAGTGGTAGATTTGAAGGACTTTCCTCCACACCAGAAAGTGTAGGGCTTTATATACAGTAAAATGGTATAAATTTCAACAAGTGAGAATTATGTAATAACTTACCTCTCATTCTACCACCTCTTTGATTCCCACCTCCTCTCATTTGAGGTGGAGGTCCCTGCATAGGGCCTCCTTGCATTGGTCCCATTGGTGGTCCTTGATTGGGTGGTCCTGGCATAGGCATTCTGCCTCCACCTCCCCTCATTGGCATACCTCCTCTTCCTCGACCTGCCATAGGACCACCCATCATATTCTCATTCCATTCTTCACCTTGGACAACAGGTCCTGAAAATAAGCAGAAATTGCTGATTCAACACTCTGTACTTCCATCTAACTGGACAAAGATACAAATCTCCTTTTTTCGTAATTGTATTGCTATATGTTCAAGAAGCTGGATACGACCGCAGAGGTCCAACCCTGAACAGTTGGGGCAAAAATGGACACAATATTCAAGCTTGATACAGGTCTGAATTTGGATTGTAATTAAATATTTGACACATTATAGGTTTCTGACACAGAATAAATGTAGTCAAAGAACTTGAAATTGGTTATATGATTTGAATTTATATTCAATTGAAGATTTCTTGCTGTTGTGCAATAGCAATAAAAAAAAATTTTTACCCCCTCCCCGCTCCAAAAAAAAAAATATTTGAAGAAATTTTCTTTTTGTAAAATGTGGTACAATTTAAGAGACATCCATACACTTAAACACAAGTAATTGTCTGAAAACTAGAAAAATGCTTGTTTTAGACACTTTTTGGCCCCTAATTCCTGAACGGTTTGGGCAATTAACCCCAAAATGAATCCCAACCTTCTACTTGTGGTATTGGATTTCAGAGCAATTAAAATACTTATACACAAGTTATTGTCCTGAAACTAGAAAAATGCTTGTTTTGGGTCGCTTTTTGACCCCTAATTCCTAAAAGGTTGGGACCCTCACCCCCAAATACAATCCCAACCTTCTTTTTGCGGTACTGAACCTTTAGATTAAATTTCATAGAGATCCATACACTTAAACTAAAGTTACTGTCCGGAAACCAAATCTCTTAGGACGACGTGATAGCAATATACGACCGCAATTTTTTTTTTTGCAGTCGTATAATAAAAATTTACTACTTAAATAATCTTTGTAACCTACCTGGTGGTGGAAATCTTGGAGGTCCTTGCATATTTGGAGGTGGACCTTGCATTCCTGGAGGTGGTGCACCCTGCATTCCTGGTCCAGGAATAAAACCGGGTGGTGCCTGGCCTAGTAGACCCAGTCTTGGACGAGGACCCATTCCTGGTCCCATTTGCATATTCATCATATCTGGTATAAGACCTACAACAAAGCCCATTTGGATGTACAGGAAACAAAACAAATGTAGTAAATCTTCTTAATTGATAATATTTTTTATTCATCTATGAATGAGTGATTAATCTATATTTAAACAAACAAATTTAAACCATGATTATTACTTTTTGTTTAGCCTGCAACATCTCGTTGCGGAAGTGACACATATCAACCCTACACTCTGTTGACGGCGGTGGTGGCATAGTCAACAATATGGTTCAGTGTATGGTTAAAGTTTTATTAATCATCAATAATTTTGTCAATCCTTCATTTTTTTGTAATCAAGACAGTATCCAGAGCAAAATTTTGAAAATATTTTTTTTCTTTTACTATATTTTACTGAAAAAGTAACTTAGGTTTTCTTTGCAGTTAACATTAAGATACAGTCTGGGGTTTAACATTTTTTAGACATCAATAACTTTGTCAAACCTTTATAGATTTTTATGAAACTTTGACTGAAGTTAAGTCTGAAGCAAAATTTGGAAAATATTTTTCTCATTGTCCGTATTTTTTCAGATAAATGGACTTAACTTTTTGGCAGTCAACAACACACCTTCATACTAGCAACAGAAATAGCAAGTGAGACAGAGGGTTCCATGAACCCTTTACAATTTTTTCAAAACATTCTCCTGTTTATAAATTATAATTTCATCGAATAGTAAGGTGAAATAATATACACTTATTTCCCTTGTGTTAGGGAGAAAACATTTGTTCATCAATGAAAATTCATACATAGCTTTTCGAGGGTGAACTAATCTTCATATCTCCCTAAGGCAAGGGAAATGAATGTTTTATTCCACTGCCTAGTTTTTTTTATTTCCTGAACATAAAATACTAATGTACATACGATTTTTCATAATCACTTACTTTTATAACTCTACATGGCATATAAAAGAACTGATCAAAAGTAAATTATTTTTTCTATGACATGGTTTTTTCAGTTTATTCAGTTTAGCTTCAACTTCTGAAGATAATAATTTTGAACATGATATTTTAACTATAATATCCCTATTTAAAAATGTTGTTCAAAATGTTATGTACATTAACTGTGAATAAAATCGCACAAGGTAGTCCCAATATTCAAAGGGGAATATGAAGTTTCGCCCATCAAACATTGATTTGCTAGGAATATTTACATATAGTGGAATAATACAAATTAATTGTATATCAAACAGCACAAAATTTATGTCTTTTAAAATTGGATTAAAATCATGTTAATTTCTTTACTGTGAACTTTAACCTGGTAACATGTTCTTAAGGTATTTGTGTGAAAACAGCAGACATTATCAATGTCCTACCTTGATTTTGTAATGGCAGTAGTAATTCCCGTACTTTATCATACATTTCCTGTGACTGGTTGCCCATGCTTCCCTGAAAATACAATGCTTTCATCATATTTTCTGAATAATAATGACTAAAAATAAGGCTGTACATAATATATTATGGATGAATAAATAAACAAGAAACAAAGGAATGACCACTCATTACAGCTGTTGATCAAGGTGAAAGCTTATTTTCAAATGTTACGTGTTAGAAAAAAGTCATATTTATTAGCAAGTGTCTACCTGTTCCTTCATGATATTCTTTATTGTTCCTTATTTGTCAAGTAAGCAAAATTGATACAAAATATATTACAGGGTATAGCATGCTCACATAAAGCTTGATACTACATTTCAGGAAATTTGATTCTTAAGATTCTGAGAAAAATTCATTGAAAATTCTGAGAAAAATTCATTGAAAATTTCATACATAGCCATTATGTGTATTAAAGAATATACGAGTATTCTGCAGACAGGATATTGATGAGCGATAAACATGAAAACGCATCACACTGTAAAACATACTCGAATGATTCCTGCTACAAAATTTCAGTAAGCTCAATTTTGTAGTTCCTGAGAAGTAAGGGACAAAATATTCATGGGACAGACAGATTGACAGTGGTAAATAAGTTTACCCTTCCTTCAGAGCAGGGGTATAATTATTATAGCATAAATGAATGGAAAATATTAATTGTTAAGAACTTGTGAGCAGGGCCATTACACTGAATGGAAAAACAATTGCCTTTAACACCTATTTGCACCTCAATATTTGTCGAGTTTCAATTAACCAGAATATTAGCAAGGTCACTTACCATTACAGAAGCTAAAACATTCTGGACATTTGCCATCAAGTCAGGCTGGTGTCCTTGCTGAAGTGATGTTATCATATTGATTAACTCTGGAGGTAAAGTGGCTGGATTGGTTGTTTGTTGTTGGCTTGGTGGTGGCAGTGATTTGGTCATGTCATGTGAATGGTATTGCTCATGATTGTATACATTGTTGTCCTCTCCTGATGATTCCTACAGTTTAATATCAAACTTTTGTTAGTACAAGATACCTAAAACCCTATTTCTACACATGGATGTATTCTCATATACATAATAAGTTCAAGAGTCTTGAATAATGATGTTTAGCTGCACCACAGAAATCCATAGACTTTAATCTTCACTTTGAAATTAACCATTTAATGTTTTCATCAATTTTGTAAAACGTGCTAGCATCAAATTAAACTCATGCAGGACTTAATGAATTTTACAATGAAATAATAAAAAGATCACGTACATCTTCTAAAGGTATGAACTTAGGATCTGATGGTTCAAATGGTTCAAGATCAGGTTCTGCTGGACTATCTGGTAACCTGTAAAAAACAAATATTTCACAAATACAACTTTCTGATGTTAAACTTATGATTATATTCCATTAAGTACATCATCAGGTAGTGTTCTACAACTGTGTAAAGTTTCAAGAATTTCTGTTTAGTCGTTTAGTTGTGTTTTATACATGGCACATGGACAGACATCTTTTGTTTTCTAAGGGGAAATAACTCAGATAATTTAGTTTTTAAAAGAATTTTACTGTCTGTCAATTTAGCTATTTCAAAATTATTTTTCTTGCAAGAAAACAATCAGTAATTTTTATTCATTTACTTACATATCCTTATTAAAGAAAAGAGCCTGTAGTACAACCAGTTCCCTCTCACGTTGAATGTCTTTCTCCACACTGTTTGCCCCATTCTCAATACCAGCAGGTAACCCTTCTATAACAGGTGGTCGTCTCCACTAAAAATGTACAAAGCTTGAGTTGATTACATTCAGAAAATATTCCCTGCAACTGGATCAACAAAAAATATCAAATACATCACATTTACAATATTTTTACCAAATAAGAAGTTGATTAAATCATGTGGAAACTTTAAAAATCAAAGATATTTTTGACAATAGACGAAAATGTACCAAATTCAGGTTTTTTTTATGTAATATGTGATCATCCATATGGAAAATGACCTTTGCTCTATCAAAATCGGTCTTAGAAAGTCAAAGACAGATTAACCTTGGCTGATGGACATTTATACCTTATAATGATTCTATATACCAGATATATAATAATTGAAATAAAATGCTCCGCTGGGGCGCAGCTTGATACGACCGCAGAGGTCGAACCCTGAACAGTTGGGGCAAGTATGGACACAACATTCAAGCTTGATACAGCACTGAATTTGGATTGTAATTAAATATTTGACACAGCATAGGTTTCTGACACAGAATGAAAGTGGTCTAAGAACTTAAAAATTTTCAATTTACCTATTCATACATGTGATGGACTGTGAAACTCAGATCAGGAGATTTGGAAATTTTGGTCAGGAGATTAGGACTCAGATCAGGAGGTTTTTAATCGACATTAATTTTGTTGTAAATGTAACCGTGTGCTGTAAAAATGGTCTTTTAACGCCAACGTCATACCAATATACGACCACAAAATTTTTTTTGCGGTCGTATAAAAAATCATGAGATAAAATAACTGTAGCTGAACCATGAAAATGAAATCAAGGACAACGGATAAATGCCAGATGCAAAATTAAAAACATAATACACCTGTATACAAGATGTAAAGTATCCAGGTGCCCTACCAGGTTGTCTTTCGGTTTTTTGTGTTGTTGTGTTGGAGTTTCCTTTAACTCATCAACTTGGGAGTCTTAAATTTATTTTGAATCTACATAATTCATGTTTCAATGGATAAGCTTATATAGGATTTACTGTAATTTTAAACTGTTTGTGAAACAATAAAGGGCATCATATTTAATATAAGATTAACTTGTAAAACTTTTTTCTTGTATTGCTACTAAATTTCATTTTTTAATGTTTAATACATTACAAAATTGCATACATTCAAAATTTTATTAAATAATAAAGATATTTCCCAGCCTGGAATGACTGAAAAAAAAATCAGGCTTTTTCCAATTTTCAAGGTAGGGTAGGAACTCTGTATTTAATATTTACATATATTCTCCAGGTTGAGTTTAAAGTTTGAACAACCAATTAAGTACATTTTTTCAAATAAAATACTTACAGGTATTTGTTCAGCCATTTTATCATGGGTCAATCTCTTGGCCGACTCCATTGCCTATAAACACAACAGAAAAATTTCTATTCAATTATGCTTAAGATGAAATCTACTAGTCCACAAACCACAATTTAAGCACATAAATTTATACAATGAAAAAAATGGAGCTTTCACATCCAGTACAATATGGTTGTAAATATAAGGTATGTTGGAAAATTTTCTTTTTCTTTCTATGATAATTCTAGCACTAAAACTTCACCAAGGGAAAATTACTTCATAGTATATTGTTATGAGAATAATGTATACATGCTAAAATAAAACTTAACTGAAAGTACCAAGCTTGAATTAATGTCAAAAGCATGAAAAAAGCCAAAGCAAAAATATTCTGATACACAGAAGTACAAGAACATGTGTGTAGTATACTAAATGGTAATAATATCATATAATAGAAACAACTGGACTGTTGTTAAGTACATACCTTTCTGTCCATCATCATTTCCTGCTTCTTCATTTGATCAAAGTCCACTCGGTTCACATTCACTGCAATATCAGAAAAAAATGTATTAATGACAATATATTGATAAAATTGTTTTCTGTATTTTCGTATCTATATTGTTTTCTGTATTTTCGTATCTATATTTAATTTTATTTTATTATCAGTTCATTTCAAAATAAATTAATTATTAACTCCAAACAGTTGGCCCAATCAATATTCTGCTTGACAATTTCTTTAATATTTTTTAATCTATGTTTTGTGTGAATGATGGCTGAAAGAACAGTTTTACAAACTGGGTTTCAAAGGTTGTGACTCAATACAAAACCCAATTAATAAAAGCCAATAAGGCACACTTTTTCAAAATTTTTCATTTTAACTATAAAAAGCAAAAAACAAAATCAGTGCTGCTTTATAATTTTGAAATTTTTAATTTTTTTAATTTTTCGCTCTCTCAACTTTTAACTGATTTATTAGTTCCTATAATATAGAGCAAATGAGTGATATTTCCTGTACAAGAAATATTTTTGAAGACAAATTTTTTTGTTAATCTTTAGCTCTATATCATTTCCAAAATGAATATACACATTGTATCTGCATAACAGCATTTTTTCTACTGAGTATTTTTTATAAAACCAAATAGATGTCATTATGATGTAATGATAGTTAATAAAATAAAGTTACTTGCTTTTGAAATGTAAATATATTGAGGAACATAATATAGTTAACTTCATTGCATTTCTGTATAAATCAACATACCTCTTTCTGTTTCATCTAGCGCAAAATAATGATAAGTCCTTAGTTTGGCTTCCTCAATCCAAGTGACATTCTTTCGTTTTTTATTCTTTTTATTTGCTGACCCATTTGTAAGAAGACCTTTTGGTTCGTTGGGATCTTCGGATATATTGTCTTCAGTTTTCTCTTCACTATTGTTTGATTCTCCTAATGTATATAAACAAATTGTATCATTTTGTTACAAAGGTCACATAAAAGTCCTAAGTGTCCCTTTGAAAATGTAAATCAAAATTTCCATTAGAAATAAATGAATCATCATCATCAGAATGTATAAATACAAATTAAATAATTATCAAAAATTATTATCTTAACTTGTGCTTATCTGATTTTTCCTATAGTAAACTGTCTGATTACCACTGTTTGATAGAAAATTCCAACAAAATGACACAAGATAATTTTTTTTTTTACACTAAATCATATATATAAGCATATCACATTTATAGTTTAACTTATTTTATATTTATTGTAATAAAAATCATAATTTACAATATATCTCATTTCTTAAATGTACACTACATTCATATCTCCTCAATACTCTTCAACTTCATACTTTATTTGGCCTTGTAACTTTTTTGATTCCAGTGTCACTGATGAGTCTTTTGTAGACTTAACATGTGTCTGGCATTCAAAATTTCAATCCTGGTATCTGTGATGAGTTTTATCATAAGGAATGACCACATAGTATATGTAACATATATTCCAAACCAAATTCTTCTAAAAGAAACAATTTACACCTTACTGTGAAATATGTAAATGTATTGTATGCTATCAACATTACAGGTCTTACCTCCATCTTCAGAAGGTTCTTTCATTTCTACATCTTGAGATATTTCTTTTTTCTCTAATTCTTCTGTGGGGGAAGGACTTTTCTCTTTTTCCAATGATTTCTCTGTTTCATCATTATTTTCTTCTAAAGTATCTTTGTAAAACTGAATTAACAAATAGTTTATAAGTGTGTCTTCAGATATAAGAAACTTTATTAACAATATATAAGTCTTTCGTTTATTAGAAAAAGTTAGTGCCATAAATTCATAGGGTTGGTAGATTTAGATATAATATTTTCTTCCTTAACATTTCTTTTATTTTTTAAATATGAAAATTTGTATCTTTTTTCTTAGTTCTGCATTAAAAAACCAGACAAAATATCTCTACAAAGTGTACATCAATTGGTCAACCCTCTGGCAATTCATGAGTAATCTTATATTCCATTTATTTTAGTCTGTTAATTTGTGTATTTGGGTTCAACAATTTAAACACTCTTTTTATTGATGCATTTATAGAAGTTATACTGTACAGTGTCCATCATCCCACACTATAGCAGAGGGAGTGGCCTCTAGTAAGTGCTTGGATTACTATAAAATCATCAGTAATATAAGATGAAACTATTTTCATAAGGAAAGACTTCAGAAGTCCTTTAAAGAGTTGATAATTGTATGTATATAGATAATGGTCTTACTGAAGGAACTGAAGGCAGAGATCTAGCTGTAACAGTTGCTGGAGATGGTGGTGTTGTTGGTGTAGGTGTAGACTTGACAGGTGTGGTGGTAGAGTTTCCATTGACAGAAGGCAGTTTTTTCTTCCTTCTCATAGGTCCTGGTTGTCTTTCTGTAGAGCCTCTGGTTATCATGTCCATGAATATACTACTTTCATGGATTTCATGACCTGTAGACAAAATGTTTTTTTTTTTTTAATATTGAGTTCATTAAAACTTGCCCACATTTTGGTTAATGGCAAAAACAAAAAAAGATTAAATATGGTTAGGAAAAATTATAATTTTCTTCATTATCATTTACTTATGAACCGATACATGATAAGCAGTTTATTGCTCTTGTCCAGTTTTTTTTTTTATTGCACAATTTGGCGATATGACTAAGAATGGTAAAACTGATCTCAGCCTATGATTTTTGTCTAGGTGAAACTTAAAATATCAATTAGATTTGTGTATATATGTTCTACCTACCTTTGCCTTTTCCAGGTGGAATGGTCTTTAAATTGTTTTGTAAATCGGTTGGTGATGTATTGGTTGGTGAAGATATAGATGTACTGGTGGGAGCAGTTGCAGCTAGCGATGTAGAAATTTGAAGTCGTGACTTTTTCTCAGGTGGTTCTTCATCTTTTGGTTTTTGGTCAGAACCTGGTCGTTTTGAACTAGGTTCAGAATTGTTTATTTTTTTCTTTGGTAAGACAAGTTCCTCTTCAAGGCCAGTTGATCTAAAACGACCAGGAAGACGTTTCACTGTTGATGCCCTCTTTTTATTATCATTGGAGTCTTTTTTTTCGTTATCACTTCGTTCTAACTTGATGTGAATTTTTAGTCCATTTCCTGGAGTTTCTATTACTCTTCCTTTCACTACATCTGAGTCTTCATTTTCAATTTTCACTTTATCTGATTTTTCAGATTTACTTTTAGAAGCATCAGATTTATTTTTAGAATCATCAGTTCTACTTTTACTGTCCGATTTACTTTTCTCTTTGTCCTTCTTTTCTTCCTTTGAATCTTTACTACTTTTCTTTTTCTTTGATTTATCTAAGAGTATACAAAATATGATTATAATTGTAATAAAAATGTTATGCAAATACCAGTCACGAGTAAGTGAATTCTATTAACTCAAAAAGCTTATAATAAAAATATGAAAGTTAAAGCACTACTTTTATAATTCAAATACTTGAACTCATTCCATTTATCAAATAAAAAAACCTGCAGACTGTTATGTTTACTTTTCATCCATACCAACCAAATCTACATATAAAATGATAAAAATAAGCAGGAAATTTCACACGATATTAATTTAGACAAGAGCTGGGTTGACTTACCACTATCTGTACCTTCTGCTAATTTTCTTTCTCTCACTTTTTTCATCCATTTATCCACTATTTCTGTTGACAAAACTTTAATACCTACCGGTACAAAAATTAAAAAAATTAAACAAATAATTTTCATGTCATATTTAATTATTCCTTTAGCATGTACACACAATTATTATTATTAGCATCAAACATTAAGCAATTTTTTATGTTTCTTGCATTATTTCTATGTGTAAAAATATAGGAAGATTTTTATTATTTAACCTAGGAAGGGGGCGGGGAGTCTAATAATTTCTGTAACTTCTGAAATAGCTGTTGTTTGAAGGAATATTCTATATCATGATTATATATTTCATAATTTGGTACATCAAAGAAAAAAGATGTATTAGATACACAGTCAACTTAAATTTACAGTTTAACTGTACTCATACGTACATATTATTAGATTTTCTGCATAGTGATACTGTAAAATATCAGCTTAGTGCCACAATAGGAAGATTTTTGTTAAGTGAGAACAGCTTATTAGTTCAAAAAGGCTTTATAAAAAGGTCTATATAAATAGTATTGAAAAAAATTCAAGATTTTTACCACAAACTGTATTTAGTTCTTAACAGAATACAGACTTACATTATAAAAAGAAGTATTTCACTTGATATTAACAGAATTCTCTTTTTACTTCACTTTTCAGGTGCAAGCTTTACTTATTTTTTGTAAGAACAAATAAACTTTTATTCTGCATGCGCCTTTCCCAAGTCAGGAGTCTGTAATTCAGTGGTTGTCGTTTGTTGCTGTATATCATATTTGTTTTTTGTTCATTGTTTTGTACATAAATCAGGCCATTAGTTTTCTCGTTTGAATTGTTTTACATTCGTCATTTTAAATCCTTTAAGAGCTTACTATGCAGTATGGGTTTTGCTCATTGTTGAAGGCAGAACAGTGACCTATAGTTGTTAACTTCTATGTCATTTGGTCTCTGGTGGAGAGTTGTCTCATTGGCAGTCATACCACATTTACCTATTTCTATATTTCACCTCATATTCTCGCTAATGTCAACCTAAATACTGCAATCACAAATAACCTAACAATATTCTCGCTAATATCAACCTAAATACTGCAATCACAAAGAACCTAACAAAGTGTAAATAACTTTTTCTTTACCTTCATGTTCAGACTTTCCAAGTTGTTTGATTGTTTTTGCAGCACTATTTTTTTTCAGTAAATCTACAGTAACAGGAAGGTCTTTATAAACTTTCAATATTTCTGTTAACAATTGTGGATTGTCAATTTCTTTAAAATCTGACAGCCAAAGATTCAATATATCCCATCCCCCATCTTCAATGAATCTGTAAATGATACAAAATAAACTTGTCTTAAAACAATTTTTATAAGTTTAATTCTGTAAAAAATATACGTTTTCACACAGTAATCCTTATTAACAATCAACTGACATAATTATTTAATAGCACTATTTGCTGGGAAACAAACAATGAACAAATAAATGTACTTCTATATTATACCGTTTTTTTTTTTTTTTGAAAGAGAAGAAAAATTATCTATGCTCTTCAAGGAATCCCTTTTCTATACAATAAATAGTGATCCAAGACTTACTTCTCCAAAGCTTCCTGGGATTCTGTGGCTTTCAAAATGTTAATATAAATACACCTACTGACCAACTTTGATGCCTCTTTCATCAACCTGTAAACAAAAATTATTCATGATATTCTTGTTTTTAAAGGTGAAGACATAATTTTCTTTTGCATTTTTAACCAAATTGTTTTTTTAACATTTTTTTTCCAGATAACACTCAGCTATCTCTGTTGTTTGTATCGCTGAAAATAATTGGGTCCAACTTATTGGAAAGACTGCCTTTTGAATCCCCCTCTCGACTAAGTAAGCACACGTACACCCAAAGAGGGTTTGAACAACAAGTATTGCAATGTGTTTATATGGAAGTATAAGCATTGCTTTCCACTCTTATTCTACATATCTGAATAATCTGAGTAAAGACATCATAGATAGAATGATTTATAAAACCAATTAACTTACCCACAAATTCGTGTGGATTCAGCAGGACCTTTAATTCCACCTTCTGAGGTCAGAAGAGTTGCTAATGCTCTTAATAATTGTAGTGGGTCTATAGGAGGCTGAAAAGAAACAATTACGTTACAATTCTGTTGATTAAACATATTTTAAACTCTCTTAACATCAATCTGTTCAAGGAAATTAATCTAGTTTGAATCATTTCAATGAGTGATACCTGTGTATATAAAAACTCAAATGGAAAAATATCTAATCATTTATACCACAATAATTTAATTTTGTATGTAACATGTCTTCTGATTGGCTGACAGTTCATAGACATAATTTTGTTATGTGACCATGACGTCATCAACTGTTTTTCATGATTTACTCCGGCTTAAAATGGAATTTAGAATTAAATTATAAGGAATGACTGTTATATTTTTCTGTCTATTCGAAATAACATGAAAAATGTGGTGCACACTTTAAAATAACCCGCTACACGAGTTATTCAGTGTGCACCACATTTTTATGTTATTTCTTCTTAGACAGCAAAAATATTACAGTCATTCCTTAAATATAATTTGGTTGGAAACACTACAAAATAACACTGATACAAGAAGTTACTATATCCCCCATTTAACATAGCTTTTTAACTGTAAAACAAGTCTTTTGGTTTTCTTGGAACATGAGTGAAATTGATAACCACACAGACTTATCAAGTAGTTCCTGTTAAGAGACATGTTTAGAATTTTTTGAGTTTTTGTTTTCACTAGAGGCAGTATTGGACCAACAGCTGTGGCTACTTTGGGTTATTTCCTGTTGTAGAAAGCACATATTTACCCTGCATTTCCAATTTTGTGCCATCTTATTTGCCAATTCAAGTCAGTAGTTTTCCTGTTGGTTGCTCAACTTTTTTTATTAATGAAATATGGTCTAGATAGACCAAGGTGGAGGCGGCTTGTGTCTACAGCTTCAAATTTCAAAATTTGTAATTAGGGTTCTCCTCCCCCAAATGAAACAGCGTTGGTTTTGTCTATTGTACTGTTGATACTTTTGGTTATTCCTATTAATTTTTTTAATGTATTATTTACAATACCAAAAGGCACATCTCAAAACGGATATGGCGCTCTGCAAATGTTTTCTAAAATATTCTGCCTTAATAAAGTTTATGAACCTTATCCAAATCTAAAGTCAAAGCAAAGATATTTGTGATAATTAAGTTGGAGAATTGTCTTTTTCGTTGGGAACTTAGTTTAGTTTGTAGCCCATATGATATACAATTTTAAATGACAGATATATGGAAAGCAACTTTCTCCATATTCTTCAGATATATACAGGCCTCAAAGAATCAATTCCCCCAGTTATTGTTTTCAATAACTACCTGCATGTTTGCCCAAGACCTGCATCTAGAATAGCAAAGGTACAACTAGGCAGTTGCTTGTCCTGCAACTCATTAATTATTCTCAATTGTATATGCTGTAACTATACTAAAAGGTAAGCTGGGTTTTTTTTTTGGGGGGGGGGGGGGGTTAAACAATTTCCTTCTGAGTTGCCCTTCTTGCTAAGTTTCAATGCCTGTGTTTGTCTGAACTCCTTATAAGAAATACTGGACACTTCTATAATTATAGACCACAATCATTGCAAATAAGTTCTTTTCAGCAAATGTTGGGAAATATCATTATAAAAATACCAGCTAGAAACATTAAATACTATTTAATATAAATAACAAGAGATTTTCCTAAATTAAGAGTTGTTTTTTTTGGCCAGATATAAATGCTCAAGATAAATTGAACCAACTGGCCATTAGAAAATTCCTTCTCGTGTAAAATATTCTGAAGAAAAAATATAAATTCAACATTCTCATATAGTATTACTTCCAAATTATATGTTCTCTCACTTAACCTATCAAATGATTGTCCCCTTTTCTAATATATGAAGGCTATAAAAATGCTCACCAGTATTTTAGATAGGCATGAACCAACTTGAAGGAATTTGTTAGCTATTTTTTAGTCTTATTTGGAATAAATTGCTTTGCTGAGCGCAGCTGGATACGACCGCAGAGGTCCAACCCTGAACAGTTGGGGCAAAAATGGACGCAATGTTCGCGCTTGATACAGGTCTGAATTTGGATTGTAATTAAATATTTGACACATAAAAGGTTTCTGACACAGATAACTGTAAAGAACTTAGAATTGGTTATATGATTTGAATTTATATTCAATTTTTTGCTTTTGTGCAATACACTTTGCTGTTGTGAATTGACCCCCCTCCCCTCTCCTCACAAAAAAAAAAAAAAAAAATGTACCCCCCCCCCCCCTTTTTTTTTTGCTTTTGTGCAATACACTATGCTGTTGCGTATTAACACCCCCCCCCCCCCCCCCCCCCCCCCTTCCACTTTTTTTTGCAAAAAAAATAATATTTGAAGAATTTTTCTTTTTAATTTCTGAAATCTGAAATGAGAAAAAATTGACCCCCCCCCCCCTTTTTCCCCAAAAATTCTTTCCCTCAAGATATGGTCATAATCTCAAATCAAATTTTTAATGGAGAGTGCAACCATTATTACTCATTTAAATTTACCATAGTGAGAACTTAATCTATTTTTATAATAGAATTTAAAATATGGTGTCAAATCTTTCATATGGATTTTTTTGTGAAAAAATAAGATGCAACATTTGCAGATATTTTTACTGGTCTTCCTTTATAAATATGCATTTATTTCAACATAATTTAAAAGCAGTGTAAGGGAGGTAATCAAAAAGTATTTGAATTACCTCCCTTACACTGCTTTAAATTATTTTTTTGTACTAAAGAATTTGTCATTAACCAGGACACATTTGTTTTTCCCCCCTAATTCTAATGGTTTGAGCTATAAACCCCCCCAAAGCAAATCCTAACCATCCCTTTGTGGTATGGAAACTTGTGCGTATAATTTCAGAGAGATCCATACACTGTTCCACAAGTTATTGTCTGGAAACTAGAAAAATGCTTATTTTTGGCTCCTTTTTCCTTAACTGTTGGTACCATAACCCCCCAAAATCAATCCCAACCCTCCTTTTGTGGTATTGAACCTTATGGTAAAATTTCATAGATCCATTCACTTAAACTAAAGTTATTGTGCGAAAACCAATGTGTCTTCGGACAACGACGCCAACGTCATACCAATATACGATAGCAAAAAATTTTTGCGGTCGTATAAAAACTGTTCTGCATACCCAAAATAAAATTATAGCAAAAGTAAACAAAAACAATTCCCCAAAATATTCCATCATTGATACGATCTTTTGGCCTTAATTGCAATAATAGCTCATTTAATCTATGCATCCTACATTTCCTTTTCATCTAGTGTCTGCTTGGATAAATCATACTTTTTAGATAATTTTGTTCTTTTTCACTTATTCAAATATACTTGGAATTAAAATGAATATACCCTACAATATTTTGCTAGCAATTGCAGTTTATCCAAAAAAATACAAATAAAAAAACTCCATGGAAGCAACCTTAAATTGAAAAGATATATGTATTCATCATTTCTGTGGATGCAGGTAAGCCCACCATTCTTTTTTCTCACTTAAGAATTTTTTTTATTAGATTAGATAGAATTGAAATAACCTAGACCTTTAGCTATAAATCCTACATTTAAATTTAATATCCTGGTCAGATTTACAGCCAGTCTCTTAGACTCCATTTGCCTTGTTGAAATTATGTCTATAAACCAAAAATGTAGACCTTTTAGCTCTCCTTCGACAAAATATTTGGGCACTATACATATATTTTTTAGATTAGATGTTACATGTAATTATTTTGCTATCTTTATCCCAGATAGCTTATAGAGATATGTCTGCTTTTTTTCAATTATTTTTTTCAAATGAGACTTCCATTTTCACTTTTCAATATCAGCTAAACATTTTGAAATTTTGTAAAATGAAAAAGTTTCTTCAGTGAATGCAAGTCTCATTTTTTATATCTGCAATGTACATAGTTACCACACCAAGTATTTAAAGGGGGTTATATCCTCTGCGTCTCATTTTGACATCTTTTTTTCGTATTTAATAAACTGTCATTACTTTACCTTTGGAACACGACACTACATATGCCTTTGCAGTTCATCCTTTGTTAAAATGACATTACCCAAACCAAACTTTTTTCATAATTTTATCAAACATGTTGATAATGTTCATGGCATAAGAACTTGCTTCTTACCTACCTCTTTTTCATGCATCTGCACATCATACTGCCATCATTCTTACTTTTATTTTTTTTTAAATTAATTGTCTGGATAAATCATTTTTAAAAAATAGAGAATAATGGGCCTTCAGGATGAAGAATGAATTTACTAGAGCTAAGGGGAGATAATCCAAATAAAATCATTTTTCAACATATTTTTAAAGAGTAATGGCCTTCAGGATGAGAAATGAATTTGCTACAGCCAAGGGGAGATAATCCAAAGTATTATATTTTCTTACTCAGTTTAAAAATTAAACCTCTTTATGGACCAACTGGTATGGAATGAGCACTTTCAATATAGTAATTTATTTTGTGTTTTAAAATTTTTTCAGTTTTCAAACATTTGAATAGAACAATTCTGCAGTAAAAAAGTAAACAATAAACTGCTTCGCTGACACAGCTGGATATGCCCGAGAGGTCCAACCCTGAACAGTTGGGGCAAAAATGGACACAATATTCAAGCTTGATACATATAAGCGGATCCAAGGGGGGGGGGGGGGGGGGCCTTAGCCCCCCTTTCGTGGGAAAAATTTTGGTTGATTATATAGGGAATCACTGAAGCATGACTGGAGCGGGCCCCCCTTATGAAAAGTTCTGGATCCTCCACTGATACAGGTCTAGATTTGAATTGTATTAAATATTTGACATATTATAGGTTTCTGAATAAATGTAGTAGAAGAACTTGAAATTTGTTAAATGAATTGAATTTATATTCAATTAAAGATTTCTTGCTGTTGTGCAATACACTGTTGCGCAATACTTAGTAAATTTGTTGTCAGACTATAAACAATTTAAGTTCAATTAATTCTCAATGTCATATTATAAATTTATGAAAATGTAAAGGGAGCTTACATCAGTAGATATAAACAATTCACCAAAGTTTCATGAAATTGCTGACAGCATTTTTGAGTTATTGTCCGAAAACTGGAAAATGCCCCCTTTTTTAATGAATAAAACCCCACAACTCAGTAAAATGTAAAATTTATAAAATTCTAAACAGAGCTTACATCAATAGATATAAACAATTCACCAAAGTTTCATAAGAACTGCTGAAAGCATTTTTGATTGTTTGTCCGAAAACTGGAAAATCCCCTTTTTTTTTATGAATAAAACCCTGTAACTCGGAAACATAAAATCTAAAATATATAAAAATCGAAAGGGAGCTCATGTCAATAGATATAAACAATTCACCATAATTTCTTGCAAGTTGGTGAAAGCATTCTTGAGTTATTGTCCGAAAACTGGAAAATCCCCCTTTTTTTAATGAATAAAACCCCATAACTCGAAAACGTATAATCTAAAATATATAAAAAACGAAAGGGAGCTCACATCAATAGATATAAACAATTCACCAAAGTTTTATGCAAATTGGTTAAAGCGTTTTTGAGTTTATGTCCAACATGTTGACAACGGACGGACAGAGGTATACCATAATACGTCCCGTAATCGGGCGTATAAAAAAAGTAAGCCAGGTGAAAAGGGCCAATCAGCTATTAATGGAACCATTTCACATACTGTTTGTGTTGCTAATCATTTTTGCAATAAACAATTTTAACTTAGCTCCTTAGTGTTTGAGATAACAAACAAAACTTGACAAAAAAAGTCAAAATTGACATTTCGGGGCAAATTCCAAAACAGGTAAGATTTTCTGAAATTTTCAGAACAGATAAATCTTGTCATAGTGATGATTGTTGCATTTCATATTTTTAACTTAGCTCTACAAAAATCCAAGATAACTGCCAAAATGGGTCAAAACAGATAATTCAGGAGCAATAACTCAAAAAAAAAAAGTTGTTGGTTGTTTCTCCAATTTCCAGGGTAGATAACTCTATTAGTGTCTTGGTAGATGGAATGTGCCATGCTGGTAATTTTTGCAATTTACACTTACAGCCAAGAACTAGTTTGACACCCTAGCTTTATTTTAGCCAGTGGACATTTTGGTTGATCATCCTAAATGAAAATCAAAAACTTCATATAGATTCAATCCAATGAGTAGTTTGTGAAATCTTTGAGAAAAGTTTAGGGAAAAAGGACAACAGATGCAAAGTGATGGCAATGCCATGTAGGTGAGCCAAAAAAACTAAAGGAACAAGATAGCCTTTACCACTCACCTTGTTTCTATGCCAATTCCAATTATTTTTTCAGCATTCTTGCTTGGTCCATTACAGGATTATTCAGAATTATTTTTTTGCGTTTCCTTTTTTTTTAAATCTCAAAACTGACTCATCAAAATTGAGATTTAATGTTTATTTTGCCCTCATATTCATCCATCCAAAACAATCTATTGGAATTTTTTTAACCAATCATGCCCCCCCCCCCCCAAATTCATTTTTTAAAATTAAGTCTTAAGAGTATTTTTATCAATCTTCACATATTTTTTAAGGGCCCAGTTTTCCAGTGAAAATTCTTGTTTATGGATATATGCAATGGATTGATCGATTGATAGTTGCTGGCTTAATGGCCACTGAATTTGTATTTTTATTGTCTATATCAGCTTATTTTTTGCCATTAAATTATAGATGTTTTTAAATGTCTTGCCAATTAAAAACTAACTGGCTATAGCTACACACATGACACATTTGAACCAATTTGACAATAATTTATCAAATTTTACAAACTAAAAAACTTATCTGTAGTAAAAATAAAAGTGAAAAGAGATAAGAATTGGGATTTTTTTTTTTAATCTAAAATTGGAATATTTGTCCTTCTCAAGACTGGCCTTTAATCAAAGACTTCAAAACTGAAAGGTCCCCACCTTTAGTAAAGTCACATACAGTCCTACTCTATATGACCCATTCTGATTAAAATACAAATCCTATGTACCTGCTTTGCTTATAAAAATCTAACAACATTCTGTTCTACTTTCTGTTATGGTAATTATTACATCAGCCAATGAAATTTCAGCCTTCAAATTTTGGATTGAGTGCATCATTAATACAAAACCAGAGGATCCTGAAAGGTCTATTAAACAAGAAGAACGGAGCATTGTCAGATCCTTGTAAGTAAAGTGTTGACACAGGATCTGTATTTCAATCAGATTGTTTATGACCATTCCATCGATCAATCTTTTGCAACAGGTCACAGCTATCTAGGATATGGTTCAATTGTAGGAGGTAAGTATCCTGGAAATAATCTTGCCAAAATTGAGAAAACTGATCAAATCCATTATTTTCAAAAGACACAGCATTTACATGAAATAATTTTTAAAATGGTTCACTGTTACCCTATTTTACCAATAACTCAAGAATAATAATTAATAATCTTATCAACTAATTCAAATAGTTGACTACCAAATTTATATAATGTTTGGAAATATATAATGTCTAGTTATAAAGGACACTTGTTTAAAAATAAAAATTGAATAGATATGAAAACATCAATCATATTGACTGTTTTAAAGTAATGTTCTAAAAAGAAAGCTCAAAATACATACGAAAGGAAGATCATCTTGGCCATGCTTTGCCACACGATTAGATTTTTTTCAATTTGCTGTAAAATTATCTCCATTTCATATCAGTTATTAATTGTTGACAGTTTAAAAAAAATATATTAAAATCAATAGTATACAAACAAATTTTGATTAAAAACAGAGACAAAGCAATGATTTAGGCATCAAATATTCAATTTTTGTATGGGGCATGGTTTAGAAAAACCTTTTAACTGTTGACAAAGATATTTCTGACTTGTATGAAATTTTAATAATATAATGCCAATGTTGAAATTAAAATGGCAATAATGTAACATGTAAATAAACTCATCATAGATACCAGGATTAAAATTTTGTATCAAAATTATGCAAAACAATCAGTCAATGAACCATGACTGTAAGTGCAGGGCCAAATAATCTTCTTTGGAATGAAAAATGCCAATGCTAATACAATTGCATAACAAATGTCATTGTCTTATCAAGTGGTTCCCTTTAAATTGACCTCAACAAAAACTTTTTAAGATGTAAACGATTCAAAAGTTTCAAGTTAATGAACCATGACTAAGAGGAAAGGGCCATATATATATTTATAAGCTCCATGGAAATGAGAAGAGCAAATACCACTGCAAACCAAATATTCAAATATCATTGACTAACAATTGGTGGTTTCCCTTTCATAAACTGATCTAATCACAAGCTTAAACTTGTAAATAAGCAAGTTTCAGTCAACAGACCATGACTGAGAGGACAGGGCCAAATAATATCTATGGAAATGAGATGTGTCTATGCCAATATTACTGCTCACTAAATATTATTGACCTACAACTAGTGGTTCCCCTTAAACTGATCAAATCACACATCGATACTTTGTTAGCGCCGTCACCAGAAAAAGCATGGCTTAGTCGAGGAGACAAAAGAAAATACTGTTTCCATTGAAAATTAGGGGGAAATAAAAAAATTCAACCTTATAGTTCCACAAAAAAAAAACAACTTGTATCTGAATCTTCTAAAGAATTTTTTTTTATTTTTCTATTTATTAGTCTTATAAAATTGATTGAAAAGAAAAACATCCACCTCCCCCATAAAAGATGAATAGTCTAATTGCTCAATAACAATTTTTTCAGAATTAATACATCTAAAATGTTATCACGACAGAAAGTTCTATGAAAATACGATATTATTAATTTGGTTCTTGATTTTTAAACTTCCCTTGCCTTGAAACAGAATTTAATCATTACAATTGAAAGGAAAGAATATTTTCATTACACTGCCCTTGTTTCAACTGCAAACTTTCAGGACCCATGGCCAAAAATTTCACCAGTTGATCAACCAGAAAAAATTATTAAAATGCAACAAAAAAAATACTGCAGGGATGGGTATTATAAAAAAATAACATGCACAGTAATCTCTTAACATCATTGTTATTGAAGCCAAGTAAATTACAAAAAAACAATCCACAATGCCCCCAAAAAGACATCTGTGGTAAACCCTTCATTTATCATAATCAAGGTGTGATTTTGCAAATCCCGATATCAGTTTTCAACATTTTTTATAATACTGTGAAAGAACTTGTTTTGATGTATTATGATATTTTTTCAAGGTTCCATTTTTTTTAATTTTTAGCCTGTGTTGTAACTCAATCAATGGTTGCACCAAACAACTTTGGTACTACAGATGGATTCATTTTTGAAGTAGATAAATCTCTATTTCTAGACAGATACTTATTGCCCTAAGATGAGGTAAGCAATTTTAATATTTTCCATATATGTTTTGCTCTGATGTCCCTCAGCCCCAGCAAGTCCTAAAAGAGACGATCAGATGCCATAGCTATCTCAAATATTGGAGGTGTAATTTCTATTCTTTATCCATCTCTGGTTATGTGTGCTTTCTAAAATTATCATCTTTTTATATGCCATGAACATTATCTGAAAATTACAAAGCATTTTTTTCTATGCCTTGATAAAAGCATTACCATTTTATCTAATATAAATTTTGATTTATGTCAAAATTTAAGTAGTTCCGGTTTAAACGGCAAAAGGGTTCTGTAAGGTTAACTGGTCTTTCATTGGGTACTTTTCTTTATTATCTGAAAAGAAAATAGAGTAAGTCATCACCATAGCAGTCATTTCTAATCCTGTAATATAAAGTTTTCAACATCTTAATATACATATATATACATGTTCACATAGGTAATGACACAAGATAAACAGAATTTATCAGATATTTCTATTGAATCTACCAATAATTTTCAATAAACAGAAGCTGCTCTTGCAATTCATTAGATTTGGTTATTTCTTAACTTTTGATATTTAGTTGATTCAATTCTTTGGAATGTTGCAGATTGTAGCAAAAGTCTGCTTTTAAACAATTCAAAACCAAAACTTTAATAATATTTCCTTTTCAATGTTTTCATTTTTGACTGTAAAAGTTCTTTTCTTTTGTATTGCAGCATCATAGGCATCGAGCACAATTGTTTGTCTGTTCATGTACAATGATGTATCCTCAAATTTAAGGATCAACTCTGATAACAATCAGGAAAGAATTAAGAAATAAATGTGGATAGTGTCCACATGTGGACACAGATGATGCCCCCGCTTGAATATCATATAGTTATAAAGGGACATAACTGAAGAATGGTAAGTGACGCTACCCAAATTTGAACTTGATCTGAGTTTTGTGGTAATAAGCATTGTGTGCAAGTCTCATAATATTTGGTTGAGGCTAACTTAAGAAGGGAACAGAAACTAAAAATTCAGCAATTTTTCTATTTGTTAACACGCATAACTCTAGAACAGTTGTGTATAAGTTTTATAACATTTAGTTGAGACAAACTAAAGTTAGAGAACGGAAACGAAAAATTCAGCAATTTTTATGTTTATAAAGGGACATAACTCAAGAATGGTAAAAGTGTTGCCACCAAATTTCGTACTTAATCTGTATTATGTAGTAATAAGCATTGTGTACAAGTTTCATAACATTTGGTTGAGGCAAACTAAAGTTAGAAAACGGAAACAAAAAATTTGTACTTGATCTTAGTTTTGTGGTAATGAATATTGTGTATAGGTTTCATAATGTTTGGTTGGGGCAAACTTAACTTACTAAAAATTTGCAATCTTTCAATTTATAAAGGGGCATAACTCAATAATGATTAAAGTGACACTACCCAAATTCAACTTGATCTGTGTTTTATCAGTGGAAGTCAAAATTAAACATTGCATTGTATAAAGCATTGATTGTAGTTGATTCAACTATAAACATGGACAAAGGAAGATAACTCCAATTTTAAGAATTACTTGATATTTGGAAGAAAATAAAAATTTGGCAATTTTTCCATTTATAAAGGGGCATAACTCTAGAACGGTTAAAGTGACGACACCAAAATTTAACCTTGATCTGTGTTTTGTGGTAATAAGCATTGTGTATAAGTTTCATAACATTTGGTTGAGGCAAACTAAAGATAGCAAACTGAAATGATAAATTCAGCAATTTTCCATTTGTAAAGGGGCATAACTCTAGAACGGTAACAGTAACGCCACCAAAATTCAAACTTGATCTGTGTTTTGTGTTAATAAGCATTGTGTATAAGTTTCATAACATTTAGTTGAGGCAAACTAAAGTTAGAGAACGGAAACCAATTTTAGGACGTATGTACGTACGTAACTAGCAATAACAACTGTTCTCCGTGTGATACTACAAATGATTCCATCTTTTATATCATTTAAGCCTATTAAATGTGCTAATCAAGACTTGCGGCATTAAATTGTAAATCATGTTGCATTCAATGTGTAAGCTACACAACGTATTTCATAAAGAGTTTTCCTTTTAAGTTACTTACTATTTATGCAATGCTTTGATACACAATTGATACACTAACATGTTGGTTTTTTTTAAATAGATAAGACTTCTATGAAATTGTACTGAAAGTGTTTTTGAACCATCCAATAACCATTACAATTAATTAATGGTCTTTAGTGGGTGAATGGCCATCTTTGGAAAATGCATTGTCTAGAGGTATGTCTCTTCAATGAAACTGCAGCTGCTTTAACTGACAATGTCTACATATTCAGTAAGGTCATGCAAAACGATTGCTTGTTTCCCCTAACCCTATTGGGTCAATATTTTTTTCTATTCTTTTTTTTGCAGATGAAAAAAAAATGTTGCTCTGGTTTCTTTTGACTATTTTCAATGTGCTTTTTTAAATTGTCTGATAATCTCTTAAAAGTGTGTCAACATTGCTCAATTATCATCTCTTTAGTTTCACATATAGCCTATCTATAATATAGAATGTAAACCAAGAATTTACTGTCAGGTTATTAACAACAATGTTTTCAGTAGAGTGATACTAATTTTTCACAAAAAAATAAAATAAAAAGTGTTTCCTGCCTGCTGGACCTATATATTTTTCACATGTTGGGGGGAACCAACATTCATTGTTTCATGGCCTAAATATGTCATGGAAAACTAAAAAATTCACATGTACATGCAAGCAATTTCATTTCATGGTCTGAATATTGTCTTTCATCTTCGGTGTCTTCCCTAGAAAATGTTTCATGCATGGTGGGTCCATGGTGAACTTGCAACGCGGCATTGTTACATTGTATATTGTTCTGTTTAAGGTAGATAGGATGTCTTCTTCCATCATGGATTGTAAAACAGCAGAAAAAAATTGGTCTAGATCTTTAAAGAAATGTACAAATTTCAGGAGAAGAAGTAATTCATTTGAGACTTATCCAACTTTATGAAGTAAATTATCTTGTGTTTTATCATACTTTTACAACGGTTTAAAAAAAAAAAAAAAAACAGAAGACTTTTGTTTTGATTCAATTTTTTTTGCAATATAAGGGGATATAATTTAGATACAGTAAGTTTTGTACAGAATAGAAGTATGCATTTACCTATTTTGTTTTGAAGCAAGAAAACTAGTCTTGACCCCAATTTTTCTTTTCTGAGAGCACATTATAAGAGCTGTCTTCTCATATCTTATCTTGAAATTCTATTGTTTATTTTTCTTTTTTCACAAAAAATTGGATTTCCATGCAATTGTCATTTCACGGGGCTTTTTATAGCTGCCTATGTGGTATGGGTTTTGCTCATTGTTAAAGGTTGTTCAGTGACCTATGTGTGTTAATTTCTATGTCATTGGGTCTCTAGTGGAGAGTTGTCTCATTGGCAATTATACCACATCTTCTTATTTTCATATAATCTATATACAAAATCTGACAATTTTGCACAACCTGGAAAGAAAGGTCAGTGACTCATACTTTTTACATTTTTGAAAAAAGGCAGGATAGAAGCTACATTACAGAGATCTTGAAAAGTGGTGGTTCGAGGGGTTTTGACTACCAAAAATTGCAAAGGACCGACAAAATTTTGGAAAAATGCAATAGAAATAATAGAGATGACCAGAAGACTTTCATCCAGGACCAACAAGAAATAAAAAAGATTTCGAGAACTCTTGACATTATGGCAAATTATTAAAAATTCTATCCATTTAATTTAAACATCCTCCCCTTTATCCATCTACCTTATTCAAATTATCAGTGGAAAAAAAACCTCAAATATGAACTCTTAATTTACAATTCTGTGTTTCCATGAAAAACCTTTAGTTTGTAATATATTGTGCATGTTGTGCATGTATAATTACATTTATTAATTCTGTACACTTACAAATCTCCAACAAACTTCAATTTCATGCCAAGACAGTTGACTTAAGTGAAAATAGCAATAAAATCATAACATTTGTATGTTACAATCTATAATACTTATGTTATAACATTTGATACTTTACAGCTGTTATCCTAATGCTACATGTAGCAAGTTAAAGGTTTGGTTTGCTTGCTTGCTTTGTTTGTATTAAAGTTTGCTCAAGCATTGTAATTAAGACTGACATCTGCAAATAATAAAAGTAGGCAGAGTTAAACCTGTATATACATGATATAGGTAAATTTGATTATTTGATAATGTCCAATCAAATTTAAATATAATGTATACATGTCAATCTTAATTACAATGCTTGAGTAAACATTAATACAAACAAAGCAAGCAAGCAAACCAAACACTTAGGCTTTAACTTGCTAGCATTACTGTAGGATAACAGCTGTAGTTGTGTGTGTCTATAACTTTACCTGTGTCTCCCTGATGTGGCATTTAATTTAAAGGCACTTGATTTTCAATGTGACATGATATTGTTTGTGTGTTGCATGCCCTCCAGGGGCCCTAATTTGGTGAATAAAAATATTATGTTCTATTCTATAAAAGGAAAAAAAATTCCATTTACCTGATTGCATCCATCAAAATTCTAATCATACATCATTCATAATCATCAATCAAATCATCTGACATATGCATGTATCAAAGGAATTTGTAATTTTTCAGTCTTGTATTTTGTGATGTTTTATTTTTCAATGTTTGTTTTGTCTCCACCAGTAAAAGTCTAGTCAATTCCTTGTCTACCTACCCAAGTATTTTAGGGTTAGACAATTGATGCATTATCACTGAATATGATTCATTATTGCATTTTATTTTTAACAAGAGCAACACTGTAGGTGTCACTGGTGGAGCAGGATCTGCTGACACTTCAAAAGAACATGAACCTGATTTTGGGCTAGGTTGGTGTTGCTCAATACATGGTTTCTGTGTATTGTCATCAAAACTTTGTGTTGTTGTTGTTTCATTTTGACCATGGTGTTGTCTGCTAATATTGGACCAATGATTTAAGTATCTTCTCTCTCTCTTTCAAAAATCTATTTTTTTTTAACCTTAGAACTATTTTTGATCATTTAGATGTGAATAAAGATATCAGAGAATAAGTTATAGTATAATAAACAAATAATTTTCAATAATTTGTGCGTCTCATCAAGGATTTGTATAGTCACTATACAAATCCTTGGTCTCATATAGTTTGCAAGGTTTATTTTGTTAAAACACGTGTGATGGTTTATTATGGTCACGTGACAGATTCTAATTATAGTTGTCGTTCCGAATTTTATTCGTCGCCATTTTGAATCATTGTTAAAACTTCTTTACGGTCGCTTTTCTCCTCTCAAAACCCTTTTTGGCGAAATATAATTCAACATGTACACCTTTCATACACATACACACATGAATACAACTAATATTTCCAATATTTCAAAGATTAAACTTACATTTTAAAATATGGTGTTGTTCCTGGTGTCCACGGGCTTTATTTCAGCCCAGTCACAACCCCTAAAATCTACCATGAAAACCCTGATAGAGGTGGAATTATCACGTTCCACTTATAAGTGGTTTGTAGAGTTCGAGATGAAAGAAAAATATCTGTGAACTGTCAACGGTGGCGAGTTATAAACAGCCTCGCCAAGAAAAAAAATTGCTGATCTGTTTTAGGATTTTAACGGTAGATTATTCCTTTTGAAGTATCGTATGATGATCCTTTATGCGTTGTTAACCGTTTAAGCAAGAAATTATAATCAAAACAGTTTGCAAAAATCAAAATTTTGTAAAATATTTAACTACTAAGTTTCAAAGCTCATATCTGCAAACTGCGCTCGAATTGACAGTTGGCAGGTAGATTGTGACGTCAGAGATAGGCCTTGGCTGCAGAGAACTATATGGGGTTAAATGGAGCGAAATGTTTTGGTATCGATACGTTTCTTCAGTTAGGAATACAATACATTTATTCTGAATCATGATTTTATTTCATTTTGAAATGAAATAGTAGAATATATGTGTCAATATACATAAAAATTACTTTTCGAAAATATACATAACTGAAAAGCCCCATTCGGTTCTCTATTCCGGATAAGGAATATGGGTCATGTATAATTAAAACAAAAATTGTAATTGAACATGTAAATGCATGCCCAGTTTAATGTTTTTGGTCATTAGTAACTCACTAGGATATACACATAAATATGATATCGGATGTTTGAATATCGGTTTTTGCAGACTTGCTAGTGCTTTTGATTTGGTAGCTTCCATTGATGGTTTTATTAGGGAAGAGAAGCCTGGAAATTTTAGCAACTCAAATATATTGTTGTGTTTTAGTATTACTTTTGATATTTTTCTGCATTACACCCATAACATACAGTTTAACCATAAAAATCAAATAGCTCGATTCACAGTTAAAATTTATGGAAACAAAATAGTCAGTGCACATTACATATACACCCACTTTCTGATCAAAGAATGGAATCGCCTGTTAGAATGTATGACAACTTCGTCCCCTACAAACTCGTTCCTTTATGGACTGTTGCATTTGCACACCCGTATCGTTTATTAAGTTGTTTTTTTTTTGCCTTATTATTCAATGCGCATTATTTGAACAGACCCAAGTTGATTTTAATTTTCTAAAGTATTTTGATAGAAAAAATCTTTGGTGTTTACGAAGATTTTTCTAATTTCAAAGTCCTGACCATCATCAAGTTGCGTAAATATAAGGTATCGATCATTCTAACCGAAACAGAGTCTCGTCAGGCCACACTAGACTCAAAGATGATACTGACATAGCAAAATTTCCATCGTGAAAATGTTTGTTGGTATTTGGCTAGTAATGGCCGGAATGAATATATAATTATTAGCCTGCGGAATAACGATTAGAAAACTGCAACAACTACCAGTCAGACCATGCTTTCTTTTTTGGAGTGCTATATATTTGATGCATAGCAAGTTTAAGAGTGATGTAAATTTTCAAACCTTACGTGCTACTTGATAGGCGTCCAGCAAAGATACCCTATGAAGACGGATTCAGGATTTTGCCTAAAGGGTGGGGGATTCAGTGGGTGTGAAAAATAGGCGACTCGGGTCTGGAGATCGCCGCAATCTCCATCAGGTCAAGGGCAGCGCCCCCTAAAACAAATATTGAAAAACAGACAGATCTGCAAAAAACTAATGGATAGATCACAAACAGCGTGTTTAAAATCAACGTTGGACAAAGTTGAAGACGTAGAAAATTAAGTCAGCAACCGGGTAATATTGCCGTACTAGGTGAACTTGGTTTACTTCAACTTGCTTTAAATGCCATTGAAATAAGTCTTTATTGAACTATTGGTTTCATTTATTTAAAGCACAAAACTTTATTATGATCTTCCATTCATGTAGAGATATATATTTTGTTCAGTAATTCAGTATTTGTAGTAAATTAACAAAACAAATACGTAACCAAAGTGGTTTTAATCATGTTTGACTGAATCAAACATTTTCAAACACTTAATTATGTGCTTTTAAAAAATTAGTTGGAAAGCAAGGCATATAGTTTAATTGGTTTTTGTATATTGGAAACAAACACAACATAGAGAAAACATTTCAAGAAATCATGGTATAAATTAATGATATGATTAATCAACTCAAAATCATTGTAAAATGAAGTAAACGTTGGGGCCTTTTATAGCCGACTATACGGTAAAGGTTTTTCTCATTATATACGGTGTCCTATAATTGCTTACATCCACTTCATTTGCACTCTGGTGGATAGTTGTCTTATTGGCATTGATTTACTTTAGAATCTTTAACCTTTTTCACGTTATTTGGGGGACTGGGTTTCAATGGCAGATCTTTTATGATCTGTTATTGTTTGTGTTTAACTTTATTCACAATTTTTATATAGATTCGCAAGACGATTTATGACTTGACATAATGTGTAGACCGTCTGACTATTGCTGAAAATAATTGTTCTTTGGTTATTTGTGTCGTTGGTTTGTTGTCTCATTGGCATGTACCCACGCAATTTATTCATTCAGTTTAAATCCGTTCTATCGGAGACTACTATATAGATATAGGAAGATGTGGTATGAGTGCCAATGAGACAACTCTCCATCCAAGTTACAATTTATAAAAGTAAACCATTATAGGTCAAGGTGTGGCCTTCAACACGGAGCATTAACACAGTGAGTTATGGTATCTACTTTAAAATCGGTTCATGACGAAAGCAAACTGACGAAAAACAAAAATATATGTTTCATTATGTAACACCCCTCGACTAGTTTCGTCGATATGGTATTCGGCGACCAATTTTGAAGAGACGCCGCATCCATAATAAATAGACTAGAGTCTATTGATCTGCATCTCATTTATTTTTTGCTGTTTAGGACCAATAATTTGGAATAAAATTGATTCCAAACGTAATAATCCTAATGAAATTTAAAACAATTGATTTTCTAAAACTTACATTTTTTTGTACAAACACAAATAAAAAGGTTCCCAATTTTAGAAAGTAATTATTCTCATTATAACCTTTATACCATTCCATTTCATAAATTGCAGTTATGCTTTTTGTAGAAAGTTGCTATTCTATTAAAGTTTTTTATGTCGTAATTGTAAGGTAAGAGTACACTGTATATCTGAAGTAGTTAACACACACCTGAGCTATGCATTATCACTATTATTTAGTAGCACAATATTCCTAATCATAGGACTCATTACAAGTATATCAATCAATTAGCATAATATATGATCTAACAGAGTTTGCTTTCGATCAGATGTCGGAATCCAATGGAGGTAAAACAGGCCTAATAGATGTAAAAACACAAGGACTATATGCTTTGCTGGAAAACAGAAGCAAGTGTTATTTACAGAAATATCATCACAAACAACATAGATTTACAATATTACTTTACTAAATATATTCCTCCTTTTTACCGGAAGGCTATTACGAAAATAAGACTATCTAGACATTCATTAAATATTGAGACTGGTCGTTTTCTAAATGTGCCTGTATAAATGGATCGTTTATGCAAAGTATGTGGTCTATGTAATCAGGACGAGTTCCACTTCATTCTTGTGTTTTCGGCATATAAAGACTTGTGGGCAAAGTTTATAATACAATACTACTGGCATAGACCGTCCGAGCGTATTTAAACTGATACAGTTGTTTAGTCTACGAAATTTTAAGCAGTTGACTTTTATGGGAAAATTTATCATCTTGGCTTTTAAAATTAGGGACAGTATTTTACAAAAATAATTAACATTCTCTGTCTACAGTACATGTTTTATTGCATTCTTGTTTACACCGATGAGCTGTAAAGGTAAAGGTAATAAAGTATATATATCTATATTCCAAGACCTAGCTGGCATTAACTCTACAGTTGTTTTTAAATTTTGTTATCCGTTATCTAATTGATTGATTGTTGTTGTTTAACGACACTTTCCACTGTTGACTATGATCGTGGCGGTCAGTTTTTATTACATTCAACTGTGTGACTGTGCATGTTTCCTGCAGTCTTCATTAATATACTACAAATATTCAGCATGTTGAATAATCTGGTAGGTAATTTATCTTACTTTATTTTAAACATACTCGATTCGTACTCCTAAGTCTTCGTCAGATTTAGGGCGTCTGTTTAAAAGGACGAAATTAAATTTAGTACGAAATGTCCCAAGGAATGTGTAGAACTGGTTCCCGACATTTTGAAAACAGAAAGAGACCAGATACGGTCAACATGGACAAATTATTTAGACTAAGGCAAATCTCGAAGTTCTGTAGGAGCTTTGTTTATAGTGCACACTGTTCAGAGGTTACCTCACTTTTTATTCAAATGTCTATTAGTTAAAGTAATGTTCTGACAATATCCTATACGATTAAACGCATGGGAATAAATGTAAACAGTAAAACATCAGACTGAATAGAGGCTAGTCCAAATAATAGGGCTCTTCACGGTTAGTTCGGCCATATAATAATTTGGATAGGGGGCAGATTTTCATAATGGAGGTAAAAATGGTGTGAAAAATTCGGGAAAACCACATTAAGACAGAGCAGTTGCTTGGAAACATGCATAGGATTTCCCATACTTTCATACTTATTAAATGTAATTTACTATTTCCACCTCTTTCAAAAAAATCTGCCCCTATCCAATATGGCTGAACTAACCGTGAAGAGCCCTATTATGACGTCTTGAAAGGTGATTTTGATTTTTTTTCTGGGACGCCTTCCTATGACGTCATAACGCTGAAGCCATTTTTTCCGTCCAAATTAAAATAGCCTTTCAAGACTTCATAATTATTTGGACTAAATAGAGGCATGGTTATCATGCAGACTGACTTACAGATCTCAAAAGGTAGTAGCCACACATCAAACAGTTGTCCTACATTGTCAGGTGTCCCAAAATCTCTATCCTTGGTCCATGTATTCTAATTTATTGAAATGACATGTCTGAAAACCTAAATGTCTTTAGTATCTTTTCAATTTTACAATGTCATAGACATAGTTAACTGAATGTCACACACTTCAGACAAACTTACATGAACGTGGAATCCGAGTTCGTTTGCTCAAAATCATGTTCACTCCCAACAGGTTTGCACCCTGGGTCTGTTCGCATTTTACTTTACACCAAACTGACCAAAGCTAGTTATAGCATGCACAGCAATCATGATTTTCGAAACACATACCATTAAGACCACATTAGCTTTGTAAATTCCAATTAATAGTACTAAAAAATAAGTTTCTTTTAATAATTAATCATCTAATCATCAAACAAAATAATTCATTTAAAAAAAATTATGAATTTTTATTCATGAAAATATAAATATTTTTATATATACATCTGAAAATACATCTTGTATTTGAATAAAAAAAAGGGTGTAGGGTGTGAACGTGTTTTGGGAGTGAATGGACCTGATACCCTGAATGGGAGCATGGCTAGCTAATATCATTATACCCAGACATGTGAAATCATCTGTACATTAGGAAACAAATAAACCTGCATGTATAAACCTATTAGTTTTCTATAAACACTACATAATCACTGCATAATAGCTTGGCATTACAATTAAAAATTATCTATCTTGGAACTTGCACACAAGTACTATTTCAAAGAAAGCAACTGCAGTGGTAAGATTCCCCAAATGGACTGCAAAGATCAATAGCATAATAAGAATATAGAATTAACTTCTGAAACAAACGTCTGGCCAAAATTAGAATATTGTTGTGTTGTTTGGAAACCTTTGCAAAAACAACAAACACATGTAAAAGAAATCAAAATGATTAAGATACTGGTATACTCTAATACAGCTACCAAAGTAGTGCAAGTGCCATTCTTGAACACCATGCTGCTCAACTAGTATTAAAGAATAAATCTTGTAACAAACAATCAATTTATTTAACTTGAACTAGTATCAATAGTTATCTGAAAACCTATTTAATGTTGTTGTTTTTTTTAAAGACTATATATGCAGGAATGAAAGCTATGGAACCATTATTATTTTCAATATGACAAATGCCCCCAAAAAATGTTATAGTGAATATTTATAATAATTTGCATTGTTCATCTTATGCATATGTTACAAGAATTAGAAATAAATAGATCACTAGCAAGCTGAACACGCACAAAAAAATATGGATAAAATGTTGATAAAAAACCTTAGTTATGAGGCCAAAACTCCAGTTGAAAATGTTTAAATGAGCTGTTGTGATTAGACAACTCTATTACAGGCCTGTTCTACAAAATACAACATCAACTAGTTTCCATCTAAAACAAACAATCTTTAGTCTGCATTCAACCCAACTAATTACCTTTCATTATTCATAGAACAATAAGGTTGTGGAATTCATTACATTAGCAGGTTGCCAAAAGCCAAGAAACACTAACAGTACCTTATTCAAGTTGTTGTTTCAAAATTAGGTGTTGATTCACCAAAACTTTCATTGTTGGCTTCAAGTTATTATTATTAAGTAAGTAAATTTTATTTGAAGTCTGCATATAAGAATAAAGAGATTTATGATCATAACAACAAATGAAAGCATGAGCTTTTTTAAGAAATGTTCAAAATAATGCTCCAGAAGGTGAGGAATATCCCTTTTGAATTTAAGGTCAATAGTTCAAAGATTAAGGTCACAGAGACAATTGATAGACTGAAATTTGTGCAACATTTTGGTTTTCCCATATGTTGTACTATATCATGCATATGTACAACTTTTACCAAAATTGTTATGATATTGGGCAATGGGATGAAGAAGTCCCTAGGTCAAAGGTCAAGGTCACTTCAGCAATTAAAAACAGAAGTTTTGGGAAATTTTTGGTTTTCCATGTTATGAATTGTCAGCAGTATTTACATTCTTCATCACTAAAAAAACCCTTTTTTTATTTCCATTCTGCCTTTACCATGTTTCCATCTCAACTCAGCTAATCACCAATGGTGCTTCTTTACAAAAAAATTAAATGGATCCTAGAGCTCAAAATGAAGCATAAGGGCAAAACTATGTCATGTACATATGTTACAATGTACTCATGATTATAAACATTGTTGATCATATAAAAGGAATGTAAGAACTGAAAGGTGATCTTAGGGATCAACATCAATGAGAAACAATCACAGACAAAGAAACATATAGACATTCAGTCTTGTAGTTCATTAATAGACCGGTATCTTTTACTACAATATATATTTATATGAGAGATTACTCTCATGCTTTTCTACATGTACCATTATTGAAAAATATTTTTCCAACAAATAAGAAATGAGAAATGCCTGCAAACAGATATACTACATACTGAAGTTACCAATATGATCATTGTCCTTTCAAATTAAAATACCTTACATGTATGTCACCGTTAATTGGATCTTATTTTTACAACACTGATGTGATATGTCTCTGTGCTGACATTTTTATAAACATTATGATTGGATGAAGTACCGGTAAGACTAATTTTGGTAAGGTTTACAACTTTACTGCATAGCAACTCCTTTGTTTTATGGAAAATTAGATGAGCTTAGGAAATTCAAAGACAAAAAGTGCTTTAATGGTTCTGGATAACTTTAAATTTGTATCTGAAGAAAAATTTGTTTGTGCAGTTTCAGAATGTAGTTCAGTCAAGAAATCTTTGCACCACTGGTAGACGATGTTTCATACGTAGGGGTGAAAAAGTTTTTGAAGAAGAAGATAATACTGTTATTGCTCATGAGAAACGTCCATACATACAGGAATCATGGGATACAAGTATCAGATATTTAGAAAGTGATTGTAAGTTACCTTAAAGTAATTAAGAAACAAATGAGAAGATCAGATTAGAAAGGTTTGCCAATTAATTGACCCTAAAAAATGTAAATTAATTGGATTTTCATGTCATTGATTAATTGTTGTTTAACATCCACTAGTTATTTATATTTCTGGCATATATTTAAAGGGGCACTAGCTGTCAAATTCATGTTCACCGATTTGACTCAAATTCTCATATTTGATTTATAACAATGTAAAACATTTATCCAAATTATAAAAAGTCTAAAATAAACAATATACCGGGCATGGGCTCATGATATTTAGCTTCATTTCATGTGTATTTTAGTCTAGACACCATCTAATTAACTGTCGAGTTGACCTCCGAACACCTCTGATTGCCATATAAGCGATATAAACATAAATATAGATATAAATAGATATCAGACTCATGCATTTGGATTTTTCTAGGTCTGTTTAATTTCATATTATAGATTAAAAATATATGTTAATCATCTTTTTTACCTGTATAAGAATGATTTTTTTGTGGATCGAATCAGTCAATCAAATGATTTACCTTTGTTTCACTTTCAATGTTGACATTCTTTTCATTTAAATAATTGAACACGAACAAAGCATGCGGTATTCATCTTTAGCTAAGGGGTTAAATTGAAGTTCACATGAATACGGATTCAATGAGGTCAAATTATTCACTTGCAAGTGAATAATTCATCATCAATGTTTCTTAGCTTATTTTGACAAAATTGAACCATACTGGCTGCTAAAAGCGATATATTATTTCACTATTTCACTTTCATTATTGATTGAACAAAAAAAATCATATTTTATATTTTTTATATATCTCGTAGCTAGTGCCCCTTTAAGACAAAAACAAATTTAACAATAAATATGCATAACCAACCCAGTCATATTGATTATGCAAAGTGGTAGGATCAATACAAATGTCAGAAAATTTGCACTGCACCTTGAAATAAAGGTTCTGCATAGTTGGAGCAGATTTTTTTTGTATCTCCCCTTTTAGTATGGGTACTGTAACATTAGCCTGTCAACACTGAGGTTGAGAGTTTGAGCCCTGCAGGTGGCAGGTGTGTTCAACTATCTGAATTGACTTGAATTGCCAGTTTTCCTGCTAAGGTCCTGTTTAAGGCAAAAGGTCAGGTCAAAAAGATCACACAAACTTCAATTTTTTCTGAATTATGTTAAAATGAATGGGTACAACTGGATGAAAATATAATATCCCGGACAATATGACCTTTTTGGAAGCCATGGTAACCTTTTTAGTCACTGCATCTACATGTAGATATACTGAAATATTATTCCCATGATTGTCATAGTTATGTTACTGTAATTTGCTTGCTTGTTATTTTTTATGTCATTGTTATTGAGTAAGTGCATTGATACAATACAATTAAGCTTGACATAAGTGATGATCAACAAAAAAAATAAGACAAAGATGGAGCTTTCATTTTAAACTCCTCCATTTTCATGTCAATCTTAATTGATAAAACCACCAAATTTTGATTACATAATTCAGTGCTATTGCTCTGATTTATTTACAGTTGAATGATAATGAGATTACTGCTTGTGTATGTGAATTAACAGCTGCATATATCAATTTAGATAACCCAACATCTTGACCTAGTAATTTTTTAGCTATCATAAATACTTATTTTACTACTCACTACAGATGTTTTGACCCCATTAGTATGTTAGATTGGGCACAAGACATTTAAGCAATAAATTTAGTACTACTAGACCTAAATATCTATTACACAGTTTGAATCCTGTGCATATTGCTCTGTCCCATTATCATAAAGTGGTTTTATTTTTAGCTTACAAAAAGACTTATGGTGATGATGTTGTTTGGAAACATTACAGAAGAAACTTTAAAGGAAATTATGCACCTGAAACAAGAGAGAAATGTATTGTACGTAACTAAATTATATGGTTGTGAAGCAGTTATGAAAATAACCATACTTGAAATCAATTACATAATCTCAGATAAAAAAATTGATGACATTTGTTTAAAGTTACTACATTGTTGTTTCCGGGTATCACATGTATAGGTGTCTCATTGGTTCAGGGATTTCCATGGATGAAAATTTAACGATGGAGGAACATTCACCATGACAAAACCCTGCGTTTACGGCGTGGCATCATCGAAACTATTTCATTCCTTCATTTCAATGAAAGGAATGGTGAACAGGCTGATATATTGCTTAACATATTTTTTTCATTGTAGAATAACCAATATTAATTATTATCATTAATTGTCATTTGTAACAATTCCAATGCCAAGCCTGCATGGCTCCTCTAAGTCAAGAATGATCACAAGTTGTCCTTAAGGTCCCCACATCGTTTTCTTGCTATTTAGGTAATGAATAGGGCTTAAAATTCGTGGGGGGGGGGGGGGGAGTCTTTTTTCACTGTCAAATTCAGAAGTCATGAACCGGTATCGACTATTTGCAGCATCAACAAGAAGAAGTTTTGTTCCTGTTTTGTAAAACGCTAAAGACAGATTTGGAGGGCAAACGTTTACAACTAAAAAGGTTTTAATGACTTTAAACAGCAAATATCAAAGTAATATACTGTGCTACATGCATCTTTCAATTCTGAATGTAAACCAGAAAACCGGATGTATCAAGTTGATTGTAAACTACGAAATGAATTCGGTATAACGATGTGAAATTTCATCAGATTATCAAGTCATGTATTTATTATACGACCGCAAAAAAATTTTGTGGTCGTATATTGGAATGACGTTGACGTTGTCGTCGTCGTCCGAAGACACATTGGTTTTCGCACTCTAACTTTAGTTTAAGTGAATGGATCTCTATGAAATTTTACTATAAGGTTCAATACCACAAAAGGAAGGTAGGGATTGATTTTGGGGGTTATGGTACCAACAGTTAAGGAATTAGGGTCAAAAAGGGGCAAAAAATAAGCATTTTTGTAACTTCCAGACATAACTTGTGTGTTAGTGTATGGATCTCTCTGACATTGTACCACAAGGTTCCATATCACAAAGGGAATGCTGGGATTGATTTTGGGGGTAATTGCCTCAAAATTTTAGGAATTAGGGGCCAAAAAAGGGGCAAAAACAAGCATTTTTCTAGTTTCATGACAATCACTTGTGTGTAAGTGTATGGATCTTTCTGAAATTGTACTACAAGGTTCCATATCACAAAGGGAAAGCTGGAATTGAGTTTGGGGGTAATTGCCCAAAATGTTTAGGAATAAGGGGCCAAAAAGGGGCCAAAAATAAGCATTTTTCTAGTTTCCAGACAATAACTTGTGTTCAAGTGTATGGATCTCTCTGAAATTGTACTGCAAGGTACCATACCACAAAGGGAAGGCTGGGATTGATTTTGGGGGTAATTGCCTCAAAATTTTAGGAATTAGGGGCCAAAAAAGGGGCAAAAAACAAGCATTACACAATTTCAAGACAATAACTTGTGTGTAAGTGTATGGATCTTGATGAAATTGTACTACAAGGTTCCATATCACAAAGGGAAAGCTGGGTTTGAGTTTGGGGGTAATTGCCCTAAACGTTTAGGAATTTGGGGCCAAAAAGGGGCCTAAAAACAAGCAATTTTCTAGTTTCCAGACAATAACTTGTGTTCAAGTGTATGGATATCTCTGAAATTGTACTGCAAAGTACCATACCACAAAGGGAAGGCTGGGATTGAGTTTGGGGGTGATGAATCATAAGGGGGTTCAAAAAATTTGGGGGAGGGATTTTTTTTTCCTTTTTTCCTTTTTTTTTCTTTAAAATTTTCCATTTTAAATTGGTTATTTCTGATTTATATATAAAAGCAAACAATAATGATATGGTTTGAATAGGTAAATTAAAATTTTTTAAGTTCTTAGACCACATTCATTGTGTGTCAGAAACCTATGCTGTGTCAAATATTTAATCACAATCCAAATTCAGTACTGTATCAAGCTTGAATGTTGTGTCCATACTTGCCCCAACTGTTCAGGGTTTGACCTCTGCAGTCGTATCAAGCTGCGCCAAGCGGAGCATTTTATTTTTAAACTTGTAAAGTGATTCAACATTATCGAAAATTGCTGTACTTGTGTTATTTGGCATAATATTATGGTCTGTTTTACGTCTTATTTTGTTCATGTTTAAAAACAGGGATGCTGATTGCGTAAGTCGATATAAAAGCATGTGTTCGACTTGTTACATTTTTTTCTTTGTAACTGGATTTACAATTTATTTTTGATCTAAATTTTCCTTAGCATTTGCTGAAACGTAATTAAATAACGCAATCAATCACCTATCTTGCTCAAGTGTCTCCTGTCAGGTGTGTCGATCTACCTGTGAAAGTGATTAGCGATCTTTAGCCGGATATCCCTCAGGGCTTTATAACTGTTATCAGGAGGACCCTTTGGATTATAATACTAAAAGCCTAAGGGTTATGCAATAACATACAATTGGTTATAATTGCTAACAAAAATGGCAGCAGCTAGAGAAACGAAAAAAAATTTTGACAATGGCTGGGATCATTTGATGATGGCTGAAGATAATTTAACTATAGCGGGGATCATTTAACGGAGGCGGAAGATATTTTAACGATGGCTGTGCGCCATCAAAAAACAGGTCATAGAGATCCCTGTGGTTATCATACCACATCTCCTTATTTTCATATTTATTGCTATGTGATACACATGCATGCTATGACCCCCTTTTTGTTGCTGAAGTGAGACAAATTTATCCTTCATTCTATTGTCCACGGTGGCCTCAACATTTAGGTTTAAGTCTGTGCTTAAAGTTTTTTTTAAACATCATGATCTTTAAGAGTTGTATGAAACTTGGACAGAAGCTTTCTTATCAAAAGACAGTATCCAGTGCAAAATTTTGAAAAATTGTTCTTAAAAATGTTTCCTTTTAGTCTAATAAAGAACTTGTTTTTTTTTGCAGTTAACATTTAGATACACTGTGGGGTTAAAGTTTTTTTTATGCCCCACCTACGATAGTAGAGGGACATTATGTTTTTCAGTCTATGCGTCCATTCGTTCGTTCGTTTGTCCGTCCATCTGTCCCGCTTCAAGTTGAAGTTTTTGGTCAAGGTAGTTTTTGATGAAGTTGAAGTCCAATCAACTTGAAACTTAGTACCCATGTTCCCTATGATATGATCTTTCTAATTTTAATGCCAAATTAGAGTTTTTACCCCAATTTCACAGTCCAATGAACATAGAAAATGATAGTGCGAGTGGGGCATCCATGTACTATGGACACATTCTTGTTTAGGCATCAATTACTTTGTCAAAACTTCATAGAAACTTATGAAACTTTGCCAAAGATATTTTATGTTTAAGAGATAATGTCTGTTGTAAAATTTAGAAAATAAATTTTTCTGTATTTTTCTGATGACTAAACTATGTTTTGGGGATAAAGATTGCATTCTTCCAATCAAAACCCTTATGTGGATTGCTTGATAGTTATCAATTTTCAAGACTTGATCACCATTTTTGAGATTAAAATATTGCACTGAGCACAACATTTTATACATCCTAACCATCAACATATCAAGAAATTTATCAATGAAATGTATTCTCAGATGTTCAAGTTACAATATGAGTTGTATGTGTATGTATTACCATGCTTGTCAGGAAAATTACATAAATTGTACTTGGTGCATGAATCTAGTATCTGTTCTATAAATTTCAATGATGTTATTGTTCAAGTAATATATAAGAAGTTATCTTCCTTTGTGCAGAATTGTAGTTGAACCAACTACAATTATTGATCTCCGATTCATAGTGTTGCCTTCTAATGCTGAATACAATGCAATGTTTGTTCCCACTGCAAAATGAATGCAATCATGTCAAATAAAAAGATAAAAAAATTATCAGTGATATTAAAACACTTACCGTACCATGTTTACAAGTAAATGAATTTAGGAATACATTGATTTAATCAATCTTTGTAAACAGAAGGAAAAGGTATTTTAAACCCTGTTTTATTTATATATTATAAGCAACTTGAAACTTCCACTTTATATTACTTCTCTCAAAATTAAGTGTGATTGATTCCTGAGGAATTTGCAATGCTTAATCACTAAAATTGTTTTAATTCTAAACTGAACATGATGTATGCCACAAATCAGTCTTAAACTTTTTCACAAAAAAACAGGTAGTTGAGACTAAAACTGATGACACAGCTTGTTTGTTTACAGGATGAATTTTACTATTTAAATCAAAGTGAGATACATGTATATGATTTTCCTCATTTTTTCAGACTAGGGAACTTCTTAATTTTTAACCAAAATGATCAAAATATAGTACGTACCTATTTTGTGTTATCAACTCTTCCTACAGTGTTTAAATTCTTTATAAAGCTGCACAGATAGATTGCACACATGTTGAAGTTGTGTATCTAATTTATGGAATTGTTTAAGGATTTTTTTCAATTTTCTAGTCTTCAGAACTTAGTAATTTTCAAGAAAACCATCTATACTACTAAAATAATGAGGTCCAATTTGTTAGCCGGCATGACGTAAAAAAGACGAATCAAAGAATTCAACTTTATTTATAACTAATATAGGACAATGGTGTTGATTAAAAATTTGTTTTCCACGTAATTAATATTACCAATAATTAACAAGTTCTGGGTTGAATCCGATACCGATACCAATAGTATATGTCACATGTAGTTTCGGATTGTATGTATGTATGTATGTAAGTTCTGTATCTTCCTCCTTTATAAGGAGCACCACTATGGGTAATGGTGTAAAGGAGGACATTTAACACACTGTATCGGAACAGATTTAATGTGAGCATTTGCCTACACAGTTTCCCAGCCTGGCCATGACAGGTCTTACTACCCAAAAGTTAACCCTCCCCAAAACAATAAGTACAATGCAATAAAGCATACGAACACACACTTAACTGATTCACTCATCCTCATAATATAAAAACGCAAAATATAAAAACAATTAAATACAAAATAAGGGATAAGGTCACCCCGGATGCTGCACAAATGTCATATCAACAAACGGGAAACAGGTAAGGACATACTGTAATAAGAAAACCAGGACAGGTTTAAACAGAAAGATTTTGAAAGCAGAGAAAACTGTGCACCTTATAATCAGCATGACTTTATGAGATGAACATACAAATACTAAAAATAAGGCGTAGGTACTTTAATACAGCTATGTCGCAGGTGTGCTCTAGTTTTAATAAAATTACACAAATTGCAGAAAGTGGTGTATGGTGAATTAATCTATCTGTTCTAGTTATAGGCAAAGGAAGATAATTTAATTCAAAATTTTGCCCAAATAAAGGAGAAAAGATTGCTTTGTTTTTTCATTGTAAACAAAAAATTAAAGCACTTGGACTGACTGCTATTTTTAAAGCAGGGACCTTGGCATTTCTCTGTTACTATAACAAAAAGTCATCTATATTTTGTGTTTAGAATGATTTTAAGGTGTACATGCCCTTACAAAAGGCTTCATAAGACCTTGATCTTATTTTCATTGATCATTAGTCAAAGCTAAGTTTTTATACGACAGCAAAAAATTTTTGCGGTCGTATATTGTTATGACGTTGGCGTCGTCGTCGTCGTCGTCCGAAGACACATTGGTTTTCGCACTCGAACTTTAGTTTAAGTGAATGGATCTCTTTGAAATTTTACCATAAGGTTCAATACCACAAAAGGAAGGTGGGGATTGATTTTGGGGGTTATGGTTCCAACAGTTAAGGAATTAGGGGCCAAAAAGGGGCCAAAAATAAGCATTTTCTAGTTTCCAGACAATAATTGGAACGGTGTATGGATCTCTCTGAAATTATACTACAAGTTTCCATACCACAAAGTGATGGTTAGGATTTGCTTTGGGGGGGTTATGGCTAAAACCGTTTAGGAATTAGGGGCAAAAAAGGGGGAAAAACAAGGTTGTCCTGGTTAATGGACAAATACTTTAGTACAAAACATAATTTAAAGCAGTGTAAGGGAGATAAATCAAATACATCATTTAAATTATCTCCCTTACACTGCTTTTAAATTATGTATAAAGTAATGGTTAATGAACAATTAAGATAATTTAAAACAGTGTAAGGGAGGTAATCCAAATACAACGTTTTGGTTACTTCCCTTACACTGCTTTTGAATTATGTTTAAAGAAATGCATATTTATAAAGGAAGACCAGTAAAAATATTTGCAAACGTTGCATCTTTTTTTTTTACAAAAAAATCCATATGAAAGATTTGACACTATATTTCAAATTCTATTATAAAATAGATTAAGTTAGCATTATGGTAAATTTAAATGGGTAATTATGGTTGCAAACTCCATTGGAAATTTGAATTGAGATTATGACCATATCTTGAGGGAAAGAATTTTTTGGGGAAAAAAGGGAGGGGGGGGGGGGGGGGGGTAAAAAGAAATTGTGGGGGGTCAATTTTTTCTCATTTCAGATTTCAGAAATTAAAAAGAATTATTCTTCAAATACTATTTTTTTTTCAAATTTCAAATATTGAAAAATTTCAAGAAGTAATCTTTAATTGCACAGTATGGCGCATTAGATTTGTAAAATCTTTGACCACATATATTTATTTGTTTTGCCGAATCTAACCGTGTATTTAGATTTTTAATTTTGGGTCCAGTTTTCGAATTGGTCTACATTAAGGTCCAAGGGGTCCAAAATTAAACTTTGTTTGATTTTAACAAAAATTGAATATATGGGGTTCTTTGATATGCTGAATCTAAACATGTGTTTAGATTTTTGATTTTTGGCCCAGTTTTCAAGTTGGTCCAAATTGGGGTCCAAAATTAAACTTTTGTTTGATTTCAACAAAAATTGAATATATGGGGTTCTTTGATATGCTGAATCTAACCATGTATTTAGATTTTTTACTTGTGGACCCTGCTATCAAATTGGTTCATATTGAGGTCAAAAGGGTCCAAAATTAAACTTCGTTTGATTTCATCAAAAATTGAATTATTGGGGTTCTTTGATATGCCAAATCTAACCGTGTATTTAGATTTTTAATTTTGGGTCCTGTTTTTATACGCCCGTTTACGGGACGTATTATGGTATACCTCTGTCCGTCTGTCCGTCCGTCCGTCTGTCCGTCCGTCGTCAACATGTCGGACATTAACTCAAAAACGCTTTAACCAATTTGCATAAAACTTTGGTGAATTGTTTATATCTATTGACAAGAGCTCCCTTTCGTTTTTTATAAATTTTAGATTTTACGTTTCAGAGTTATGGGGTTTTATTCATTAAAAAAAGGGGGATTTTCCAGTTTTTGGACAATAACTCAAGAATGCTTTCACCAACTTGCAAGAAATTGTAGTGAATTGTTTATATCTATTGGCCTGAGCTCCCTTTTCGATTTTTATAAATTTTAGATTTTATGTTTCCGAGTTACAGGGTTTTATTCATAAAAAAAGGGGGATTTTCCAGTTTTTGGACAAAAACTCAAAAATGCTTTCAGCAGTTCTTATGAAACTTTGGTGAATTGTTTATATCTATTGATGTAATCTCCCTTTAGAATTTTATAAAATTTACATTTTACATTTCTGAGTTATGGGGGTTTTATTCATTAAAAAAGGGGGGATTTTCCAGTTTTCGGACAATAACTCAAAAATGCTGTCAGCAATTCTCATGAAACTGTGGTAAATTGTTTATATCTATTGATGTAAGCTCCCTTTTGATTTTCATAAATTTCTAATATGACATTGAGAATTAATTGAACTTTATTTGTTTATAGTCTGAAAACAGATTTACTAAGTATTGCGCAACAGCACAGTGTATTACACAACAGCAAGATATCTTTAATTGAATATAAATTCAATTCATATAACCAATTTCAAGTTCTTTGACTAGATTTATTCAGAAAACCTATAATATGTCAAATATTTAATTACAATCCAAATTGAGACCTGTATCAAGCTTGAATATTGTGTCTTTTTTTGCCCCAACTGTTCAGGGTTGGACCTCTGCGGGCGTATCCAGCTGCGCTCAGCGAAGCAGTTTATTTAAATTGGTCTACATTAAGGTCCAAAGGGTCCAAAATTAAACTTAGTTTGATTTTAACAAAAATTGAATTCTTGGGGTTCTTTGATATGCTGAATCTAAACATGTGTTTAGATTTTTGATTATGGGCCCAGTTTTCAAGTTGGTCCAAGTTGGGGTCCAAAATTAAACTTTGTTTGATTTCAACAAAAATTGAATATATGGGGTTCTTTGATATGCTGAATCTAAACATGTATTTAGATTTTAGATTTTTGGCCCAGTTTTCAAGTTTGTCCAAATTTGGGTCCAAAATTAAACTTTGTTTGATTTCAACAAAAATTGAATATATGAGGTTCTTTGATATGCTGAATCTAACCATGTTTTTAGATTTTTAATTTTGGGTCCCATTTTTAAATTGGTCTACATTAAGGTCCAAAGGGTCCAAAATTAAACTTAGTTTGATTTTAACAAAAATTGAATTCTTGGGGTTCTTTGATATGCTGAATCTAAACATGTGTTTAGATTTTTTATTATGGGCCCAGTTTTCAAATTATTCCAAGTTGGGTTCCAAAATTAAACTTTTTTTGATTTCAACAAAAACTGAATATATGGGGTTCTTTGATATGCTGAATCTAACCATGTATTTAGATTTTTTATTTGTGGGCCCCGCTATCAAATTGGTTCATATTGAGGTCAAAAGGGTCCAAAATTAAACTTTGTTTGATTTCATCAAAAATTGAATTATTGGGGTTCTTTGATATTCCAAATCTAACCGTGTATTTAGATTTTGAATTTTGGGTCCCGTTTTTTAAATTGGTCTACATTAAGGTCCAAAGGGTCCAAAATTAAACTTAATTTGATTTTAACAAAAATTGAATTCTTGGGGTTCTTTTATATGCTGAATCTAAACATGTGTTTAGATTTTTGATTATGGGCCCAGTTTTCAAGTTTGTCCAAGTTGGGGTCCAAAATTAAACTTTGTTTGATTTCAACAAAAATTGAATATATGGGGTTCTTTGATATGCTGAATCTAGCCATGTATTTTGATTTTTGGGCCCCGTCATCAAATTGGTCCACATTGAGGTCAAAAGGGTCCAAAATTAAACTTTGTTTGATTTCATCAAAAATTGAATTCTTTGGATTCTTTGATATGCTGAATCTAACCATGTATTTTGATTTTGGACATTGGACCATAATAGGTAAATTAAAAAAATCAAGTTCTTAGACCACATTCTTTCTGTGTCAGAAACCTATGCTGTGTCAAATATTTAATCACAATCCAAATTCAGAGCTGTATCAAGCTTGAATGTTGTGTCCATACTTGCCCCAACTGTTCAGGGTTTGACCTCTGCGGTTGTATCAAGCTGCGCCCAGCGAAGCATTTTATTGTTATTTAGTCAGTTCTCAGTAACTATAAGCGATAGGTCAACAATATTTTGTGTATAGAATGATTATAAGGTGTACATGTCCAACAAGTTTCATTTAACATGTTTAATACAAATTTATTTTCATGGATCATTTATAATGTTAAGTTTATGTGATACAGGTAGAAAAACCTTGATCTTTCATTTCAACATTAATTTCAAATAAAACTAGTAAGCAGGTGAGAAATATTCAGCATCTTTACTCTTGTTTAAAAATGTGCTCTTAATGGATCTGGATTAAAACTGATCACAATCTTACTAATAGTGTTAAAGTTTATAGCTGCAACGGTTTCTAAAGGTTTGATAAAGTTGTATATTTTGCCAGGTGAGCATTTCAGCCTCTATGTAGATTCCTGTTTCATTTCTTTGATTCTAAGGGTTAATAATTTTAAGCCAGACTAATTCAGATGTTTTATTTCAGAGACAAGGAAAAATTGCCTTAGCAAGTCCATGTCCTCTTTGTCGAGATGAATACTTAACTGTGGATTATAGAGTAAGTCAAAATTACTGTCACCAATTAATGAATTATGTAGATGTATGGGAAATAAAACTTATTTAACATAGGAATTAAAGGAAGACTCACATCTGAATTTCAGTTGCGGAAATATTAAGCAAATGTTATATATAAAGTCGTATTATTAAGAGTTATAGTACAATTTTGAAAGTTTTGGATGACTGATTTTTTAACAGAACAGCAGCAATTGTAATTATTTTGATTATCAGTTTAAACTGAATTTACCGTTTGGCAATAACTCTTGAAAGTATGTTTTCAAAAACAAGTTTTCAGAAATTTTCAAATGCTGTTATGTTAATTCCGTAACATATATATTGAATCTGCATATGATGCTAACTCTTAATGATTTGTGATTCAGCTGCTTATTTCTAGTCTGTGGTGCCCTATAGTAATCATGATGTGTATTTGTCCATCAGCACTTGTATGTGGTATGTTAAGTTAAGATTTCCTCCACCATTTCCATATCTTTAAAACATAGTGTTAAAACCTGTTAAAGGAAAGTCCCTTTCTGTTTTTGTAAAATTTGGGGTAAAAAACTTAGATGTTGCTTAAAATTCACTAGGAGGCTGGGATTTCAACAAAAATTTATAAATAAGTATAATAAGCTATTCCAAATTCATTGCAGGTGCCAAAAAATAAAATAAGATTGTGGTATTAACTAATTTTTGTTTCAAAATCGCAAATTATTTTAAAATCTTGTTATATTAGGATTTCAGCAAAAATTGATATCTAATTTTAATATGCTATTCCTAATTGATTCTCTGCAGAATGCAAGACAGGGATGCTAATTGATGGTTATTTGATCAAGTTTTCCTGATAAGGTCAATTTCGCAGATACTATTAAGCAATAGGTCGACTTTATTTGGTGTATGGATTGATTGTAATGTGAACATGTCTGCCTGTCAGGTTCATTTGACCTTGACCTCATTTTCATGGTTATGTTTCATGGTTAGGTCTGTTTCTCAGATAGTATAAGCAATAGGTCAACTATATTTGGTATTGAAAATTATTGTAAGGTATACTTGAATGTCTCGCAGGTATTGTTTCACCTTGACCTAATTTTCATGCTTCATTGGTCAACATAACGTTTTTATGGTTTGGTCAGTTTCTCAAAACAATAGCAGTAGGAAGATGAAGAGTAGACTGGAAATATTTAATAACTACTCCTGCATATGATAAACTAATTTAATGTTTTAAACCTTTTGATGAGATTGAACTTGACATGTTTTTTTGTATGACCAAGATGATTCTTTCTAATTCAGTTGATCATATTTTAGATATCAAGAGTTGTTGAACAAAACCATGTGTTTCATTAATACTGGGAATAGACAGCTAATGTGAACAGTCTTTTTTATTGTAGAATATTAAATTACTGAGACAATTTTTAAATCCATTTACTGGTGAAGTTTTGCCTTCATTAAAGACTGGAGTTTGTCAACAAAGATTGAAGGAGTTACAGATACAAAGACTTAAGGCTATAGACTATGGTAAATTATCTCTGTTAAAAACTTTGACTTGAAAAGTCATTATAAATAGATATTTCAACTAGTTCTACCTTTGACACAATGTTGTGTGGAATAATACAAATTTAATTTTTTACCTTTTTTTTTAAACTCTTGAAAAATGCTGTACATTTTAGAAGGAAAACACCACATGGTATTGTATACATTTTTATCCAAATTGTTTCATTTTTTACAAAACAAAATTAAAAGGCAATGAACTCATAAACTGAGGTCAATTCACTTGTCAAATAAAATCTAAGTGGTAAATGTAATTAATTCACTTGCAAACTATTTTTGACCTATAATGAAATATCAAATTTTTTGGAGGCAATATGAATAGTTAACAAGAGTTGACATGAACATGTTCTAATATGGTGCCTGCTGAAATATTTTCAACCTATAATTCATTATTTCAAGCTACACATTTAATCCACATACATAGAGGATCACTTGAAATGAGGTCAATATGAAAATATTGAGATGTGGTATGATTGCCAATGAGACAACAAATCACCAAGTACCAAAGGACAAGGATATAAACAACCATAGGTCAGTGTACAGCCTTCAACAATGAGGAAAACCCATCCATGTAGTCAGCTTTAAAAGGCGGCTTAGGCCCCAGCTTGACAGAATATAAAACAATTCTACAGAAATTTACACTAAAAACAATAAAAGCAACAAACGACAACCATTGAATTACCGTCACAACTTAGAACAGGCACATTAAGTATGTGGTAGTGTCAAACATGTTTGTTAGTGCTCAACCCTACTCTAACCATGGACAGTGGTGTTACTGCACAAATTAAGAACAACTTCTGAAAAATCAGTTGGAAAGGGCTTAACTCATCTGATCTCACAGCAACCAAAGAGAAGACAAAAAGACACATTTACTGAAAGCTACCGGTAGTTCAAAGCCAATTTCAACTAATACATAAACCAATGGTTTCTGCAGGAACTACAAGTTTTTAATAACATTCTAAGTGTTAATTTTTTGTTTGAACAAAAATGTAAACTAAAAGTTGTGAATATGATTTGATGAAATATCTAGTTGCAATTTAAAAGAAAAGATCATGTGAATTGAAGGACCTAATGACATTACCACACATTTTTCTGAAACAATTTGTAATCTTCTCACGACTGGAAATAAATGAACTTCATGCAATAGTGCTATACCATGTTTCATTTTGTTCACCACCATACCTCAACCAATCCCAAATATCGGATTGAAAGTTCACTGTTTCTTATTTGTTTATATATTTTTTTGAAAGCTTATATTTATTTTTCAGGTTTTGTACAGATGCCTCTTAAACAAAGACATTATGACTATAGTGAATATCATAATCTAGCAAAAGAATCAGAACAGAAATCTAAACTTATGCCTAATTCAACAATAACAGATATGGATACCTTGGAGGAAGCAATGGCCTCCCCATTAGATTTTTCATCTTCAATAGAAACCAACATGGCTGCTTCTGAACATTCAGAAGATATGAATAATGATCAAAAGAAATTGGAAGGAGATGAAGACCAATCAGATTCTTCTTCTGATTCTTCTTCAGATTCAGGATCAGAATCTGACTCAGATTCAAGCTCAGAATCAGACAAATCAGAAGATTCTGGACCTCCTAATGACACTTAAGATAAACCAGAAGATCAACCTAGCTAACAAATGATTTATTTATTAAAATAATCTAATTTCTTTTCAGTCGTTTCATGTCTTTCCATGTTATTGATATTTTTGTTGAGAGTAAAATGACAGGTTATGGATGCAGATTTTCCAGACAAAGAATTTCGAAAGCTAAAATACAAATTCTAAGAATATAAAAACTAAAATGGCCTATACAAATAGTCAATATAAATAAGAAGATGTGGTATGAGTGCCAATGAGACAACTCTCCGTCAAAGTCACAATGTATAAAAAGTTAACAATTATTAAAATAGTCAAAGCTGTTTGAGTTGAACTTTGCCTTAGAGATTTGCTGACTTGGTTTTTAAAGTAACTTAGTATTTGCTTTGGAAATGTTTTAAAATAAAAAGGTCTATTTTAAGTGTATCCCTGTATCAAAGCATGTAAGCATTTGTGCAGTTGTGTAATGGTACAGGGCTATATGTGTCGACATTGATTTAAAAATCCTTTGTTGTAGTTGACTGATCTTTCTATTACTTCAACGGAACCATTTTTGTCGAGCCTTCGACTTTAGTCGAAAAAGCGAGACATAGCGATCCTACATTCCGTCGGCGTCGTCGTCGTCGGCGGCGTCCACAAATATTCACTCTGTGGTTAAAGTTTTTGAAATTTTAATAACTTTCTTAAACTATCCTGGATTTCTACCAAACTTGGACAGAAGCTTGTTTATGATCATAAGATAGTATCCAGAAGTAAATTTTGTAAAAATAAAATTCCATTTTTTCCGTATTTTACTTATAAATGGACTTAGATTTTCTGCCAGGAAACAACACATTCACTCTGTGGTTAAAGTTTTTAAAATTTTAATAACTTTCTTTTACTATTTTGGATTTGTACCAAACTTGGACAGAAGCTTGTTTATGATCTAAAGCTAGTATCTAGAAGGAAATTTTGTAAAAAAATAAATCCATTTTTTCAGTATTTTACTTTTAATGGACTTAGATTTTCTGCCAGGAAACAACACATTCACTCTGTGGTTAAAGTTTTTAAAATTTTAATAACTTTCTTATACTATTTTGGATTTGTACCAAACTTGGACAGAAGCTTGTTTATGATCAAATGCTAGTATCTAGAAGGAAATTTTGTTTTCTTCCAGTTAACATTACATTCAGTCTGCAGTTAAAGTTTTTAAACATTTATTAGATTCATAAACTATCCTGGGTTTTTACCAAACTTGGACAGAAGCTTCTTACAATCAAAAGATAGTATCAAGAGGAATATTTTTATTGATTAACTTCCTCATTTTTGTTGCGCCTGCGATTAACAGAAAAAGTAGGCGAGACACTGGGTTCCGCGGAACCCTTACGAATTTTTTAGCTACCGTAAATGATTTCCTATCAATTAATACTTAACCACAAACTACAGGACATGTGGTTATCAATGTAATGGCTCCTATTGTTTGAGGATGTACTGCCTTCAAAAATTAAAATACTATCAGAACTGATGATTTCTGAATGACCAGTTGTTTTAGACGACCGCAATTTTGCGGTCGTATATTGGTATGACGTTGGCGTCGTCGATGTCGTCGTCCGAAGACACATTGGTTTTCGCCTTCTAACTTAAGTTTAAGTGAATGGATCTCTATGAAATTTAATCATAAGGTTCAATACCACAAAAGGAAGGTTGGGATTGATTTTGGGGGTTATGGTACCAACAGTTAAGGAATTAGGGGCCAAAAAGGGGCCAAAAATAAGCATTTTTAGCTCACCGGGGCCCGAAAGGCCCCATGTGCGCTTATGCCATCACTTGCTGTCCGTCGTCGTCGTCATCTGTCGTAAACTTTTTCAAAAATCTTCTCCTCTGAAACTACTGGGCCAAATACTTTCAAACTTTAACTCAATGTTCCTTAGGGTATCTAGTTTATAAATGGTATCCACAGTTTTGATCCATCAACAAACATGGCCACCATGGCTAAAAATAGAACATAGGGGTCAAATGCAGTTTTTGGCTTATATCTCAAAAACTAAAGCTTTTAGAGCAAATCTGACATGGGGTAAATTTGTTCAATTGGTCAAAATCTATCAGCTCTGAAATTTTCAGACGAATCGAACAACCCATTGTTGGGTTGCTGCCACCAAATTGGTAGTTTTAACAAAATTTTGCAGTTTTTTGTTATTATTTTGAATATTGTTATAGATATATATATACTGTAAGCAGCAATAATGTTCAGCAAAGTAAGATCTACAAAAAAGTTAATATGACCATAATTGTCAATTGACCCCTTAAGGAGTTATTGCCCTTTAAAGACAATTTTAAACAATTTGTTCATCAAGTTTGCTAACATTTAAAAATCTTCTCCTCTGAAACTACTGGGCCAATTACCTTCAAACTTTAACTAAATGTTCCTTAGGGTATCTAGTTTATAAATTGTATCCGAAGTTTTGATCCATCGACAAACATGGCTGCCATGGCTAAAAATAGAACATAAGGGTCAAATGCAGTTTTTGGCTTATATCTCAAAAACTAAATCTTTTAGAGCAAATGTGACGGGGTAAAATTGTTTAATTGGTCAAGATCTATCGGCCCTGAAATTTTCAGACGAATCGAACAACCCATTGTTGGGTTGCTGCCACCGAATTGGTAGTTTTAACAAAATTTTGCATTTTTTTGTTATTATTTTGAATATTATTATAGATATATATAAACTGTAAGCAGCAATAATGTTCAGCAAAGTAAGATCTACAAAAAAGTTAATATGACCATAATTGTCAATTGACCCCTTAAGGAGTTATTGCCCTTTAAAGACAATTTTACACAATTTGTTCATCAAGTTTGCTAACATTTAAAAATCTTCTCCTCTGAAACTACTGGGCCAATTACGTTCAAACTTTAACTAAATGTTCCTTTGGGTATCTTGTTTATAAATTGTATCCGAAGTTTGTATCCATCAACAAACATGGCCGCCATGGCTAGAAATAGAACATAAGGGTCAAATGCAGTTTTTGGCTTATATCTCAAAAACTAAATCTTTTAGAGCAAATGTGACATGGGGTAAAATTGTTTAATTGGTCAAGATCTATCGGCCCTGAAATTATCAGACGAATCGAATAACCCATTGTTGGGTTGCTGCCACCGAATTGGTAGTTTTAACAAAATTTTGCAGTTTTTTGTTATTATTTTGAATATTATTATAGATATATATAAACTATAAGCAGCAATAATGTTCAGCAAAGTAAGATCTACAAAAAAGTTAACATGACCAAAATTGTCAATTGACCCCTTAAGGAGTTATTGCCTTTTAAAGACAATTTTACACATTTTTTTCATCAAGTTTGCTAACATTTAAAAATCTTCTCCTCTGAAATTCAGGTGAGCGATTCAGGCTCTTGAGAGCCTCTTGTTGTAACTTCCAGACATAACTTGTGTGTTAGTGTATGGATCTCTCTGACATTGTACCACAAGGTTCCATATCACAAAGGGAATGCTGGGATTGATTTTGGGGGTAATTGCCTCAAAATTTTAGGAATTAGGGGGCAAAAAACAAGCCTTTTTCTAGTTTCATGACAATAACTTGTGTGTAAGTGTATGGATCTTTCTGAAATTGTACTACAAGGTTCCATATCACAAAGGGAAAGCTGGAATTGAGTTTGGGGGTAATTGCCCAAAACGTTTAGGAATAAGGGGCCAAAAATAAGCATTTTTCTAGTTTCCAGACAATAACTTGTGTTCAAGTGTATGGATCTCTCTGAAATTGTACTGCAAGGTACCATACCACAAAGGGAATGCTGGGATTGATTTTGGGGGTAATTGCCTCAAAATTTTAGGAATTGGGTGCCAAAAAGGGACAAAAAACAAGCATTTTTCTAGTTTCAGGACAATAACTTGTGTGTAAGTGTATGGATCTTAATGAAATTGTACTACAAGGTTCCATATCACAAAGGGAAAGCTGGGTTTGAGTTTGGGGGTAATTGCCCTAAATGTTTAGGAATTTGGGGCCAAAAATCAAGCATTTTTCTAGTTTACAGACAATAAATTGTGTTCAAGTGTATGGATCTCTTTGAAATTGTACTGCAAGGTACCATACCACAAAGGGAAGGCTGGGATTGAGTTTGGGGGTGATGAATCATAAGGGGGTTCAAAAAATTGGGGGGGGGGGTTCCTTTTTTTCATTTTTTTTCTTTAAAATTTTCCATTTTAAATTGGTTATTTCTGATTTATATATAAAAGCAAATAATAATGATATGGTTTGAACAGTTAAAATTAAAATTTTTTAAGGTCTTAGACCACATTCATTCTGTGTCAGAAACCTATGCTGTGTCAAATATTTAATCACAATCCAAATTCAGAGCTGTATCAAGCTTGACTGTTGTGTCCATAATTGCCCAAACTGTTCAGGGTTCGACCTCTGCGGTCGTATCAAGCTGCGCCCAGCGGAGCATTTTATTACATGAGTTATAGCCTTGCTTTGTCAGGAAACTATCTTGAAACAAAGTGCAAATTTGTATTGTAGGAAAGTAGTCTTAAGGTTTAACACCTAAAGTAAGCAAAAGTGATGAAATCATTAGGGCTGATCCATCGAAATATAAATGATACCCAAGGAAGGTACTTTGAAAATGGGATAACAATCTCTAGATGCAATTTTATCATTTCTTTTACATTTCATTTCACATTCAGAAAAATGCAACCCAGGTCCCGTGAATATTCTCTTTAATAGATAAAACAAAAACTAAAAGCTGCAAATTTGCCAGCAAAACAGGATTTACTAAAACACTTAATATGAATAATACAATCAATTGACTATCTATAGGAAATATTGCCCTTAAATGATGATATTTGACAAATGTTATCTTTCTAGCACTTGGTGTCCGTCATTATCGTCTATCCATCAATCTGTTGATTGTTCTAAACTTTACAAGCAAAATCTTGTCCACTGAAACAACTGAGCAGAATGTTGCAAAACTCTACCTGAATGTTCTTAGGGGAATCTATTTTGAACAGGTATGTTAGGAGTCTGATCCATCAAACATGACCACTATTGCTTAAAATATAACAAGAGGTTAGAATGCAGTTTTTGGCTT